TAGACGAGATCCTATCACCTAAGATTAATCTAGAGACACATGCGGGGACATGGGCAAAGAAGTGCGAGTGGCTCCTGAGATCGTCCCAAGGGCCCAGGGGTTCCTGCAACACCAACTGGCGAATCGGAGGTCATAGCCGGTCTGCATCAAGACACTCCCATCACCTCTCCCACGTGTCATTCGTCACTCCCTGGATGGAGAGAAGACTTACACGCTCCCTCTCCTTATCTATGTATATGCACGGTTTGCAACCACATCACTCAAATAGGAAAGGCGAGCAAGTCAAAATGCAGGGTCATAGATCATCAATTTTGCTACGTAGCGCCTCCGTAGTGTGAGATATGCTCTCCTAAACCTAACCTAATACTAGAAACCAAACCAAAAATCAGGCAGACAGTCCCATCCGCCTGCCCAGCTCCGCCTTGAGTGCCGCGTACTCGTCCACAGTCCTCCCCACCGCGTCCCTGTTCTCCGCCGCGCGCCGCATGAGGTACGCCATGCACTCCTTGAGCGTGCCCCAGGTGGAGCACTTGTAGATGTCGGGCGTCTCCAGCCCCGCGTCGCTGGCCTTCATCTTGAGCAGCTCGAAGCTCACGTCGTCGGACATGCCGTGCAGCTGGGCGAAGCCGACGGGCACCGTGGGGAGGCCCTGGCGCTTCTGGGACATGTGCGTCTTGTACGCCTCGACCAGGCTGAACTTGTTGTGGCTGGCCAGGAAGAGGTTGGAGGCGGGGAAGGCACGGCCGTTGACTCCGAAGCCTTCGTACTGCTGCTTCAGGAAGCCCTGGGCGATGGCGTTGTAGGCGTCGTCGGTGTTCTCCTTGGTGTCGTGGATGAGGCCGCGGGGGTCAGAGGCCATGTAGGCGCCGCGGACGACCTTGACGCCGAGAGTGAATCCTTCGTCGAGGGCAGTCTGCATGTGGGTGCGGAGGGTGCTGGGTGTGCTCTTGAGGTATGCCTGGTAGGTGTTGAAGATCAAAGCCTTGTCGGTGGTGTTGTACTTTCGCATGAGGTCGATGGTGACGCGCATGATGCCCCATTGGAATTGCTGGGACTCGGCGTCGACGAGGATTTGGGCTTTGCGGGCGTTGCAGTTGGAGCAGATCTCCTCGAGAGCATCGAGAAACTGTTGAGGGGGCGCCTTGCCCTCTGCAAACGCGTTGGTGACTCGGGGTCCAGCTCCAGAAAGTCTGCATATTCATGTTAGCGATTGTCTAAGGCACCAGGAGATGAAAGTAGATACATACTTCATTGCCAGTTGATCTCCTTCCTGGAGAAGGTTGACGGTTTCCATGTTTCCAGTTCTCCATGCCTCGATGCTAGGGCAGTTCTCACCCTCCTTTGCGGAGTTGGAAACGCCCTGGCCGAAGCTGCTGTTGGAGTGGAAGTCAAAGACAGTTTCCTTGGCGTAGGTGAGGATCGTGCCGCGGAAGCCCAGGTTCTGCAGCAGGTCCATGGTAGAGCGAGTCTCACGCCCGCTCTCGCCGGCGCAGAACTGCTTGTAGAAGGTATTCTTCATAATCCATCGTAGCAATGGATTTCGGTCGACGTTGAGAATGACGCCGCTTTTAGATTTGGAGATTTTGGAAAGGATGTAGAGGGATGGGGATAAGAGGTACGGTCTTGAGGACACCGCGTTGATGAAGAATGATCTGAGAAGTACGCCAGTCGGCAAGACTGATAAAGGGGACTTTTTGGATGTGGTAGAAGAAGAAGATACAGCTGGAGATACCGAAGCCGACGAAGGGTGCGGTGGGCTTCGGACCAGTTGTGTGGTAGAGAGGTGGCGAACACCGTGGACAGCGTCCCTGCACACCTTGGGTTGAATCAAACGGCGTGAGGTAACCATTTTTAGGGTATTAGTTATGTGACAGAGTCTTGGGTTGGTTTTCGTCCAAGTCCAAAGATGGTGCTTTTGACTTATAACCTGCTTCAATCGATATGCTTTCGACTGTCAAGCCAATATCGGGTAAATACCCGTGGCCACTGCCACCTATTCCAGGCCAATCTCGATGCGGGGTATGGATTGTAAAGATCATGGGGTAGTATTAGGGTGCCTAGATCAATACTTTGTTAACGCCGCATGTTCCAGGGGAGGCTAGATCAGATCTTTGTTATCTCCCGGAGGGGTGTCTAGATCCAAGGGGTGACTTTGGTGTGTACGCGTGACCATTGCCATCCGATAACGGTTACGTATCTGCCCCGGGACCGCCACCGATATTACATACAGGAATCTATTTGCTCTGTTTCAAACTACATTCAGGCAAGGAGCTTCTAGCGCGTGGGAAGAGAGAACCCGAGGTGTGGATGAAAGGGGTGCCTCCAGCCTCAAATTTAGGGGTCAGGGGGTATCCGAGCCGTAGAGTAAAGGAGATGCCAATATTGATCATTTGAGTAAAATAATCTCAATCCAACCTCATAACGTAACAAAATGGGACAGATTTGTAATTTCGGCTTCAATGCTTCGAGGAACTAGAGAAGCGACGTGCATTCATGCATTCGTGCATGCCAGACTCCGGGTTTTCATGGCCAGCCCTGTTTCACGCAACAAAACCCAAACAGAAGAGTGTTCTTCAGAACTTCCAAATTTATGTTCGGCATTGTATAGCTCAAGAAAATGATGTTGATTGGTCAAGAACCACTACAGTCTAGCTAAAATTCATGTCCAAGCAACTCTTGGTGATAGCCACATATTAGTTAGTATACTAAGATCTCATGCAGAAAAGCAAAAACAGCATATTCTATCTATCAAAGTGATAATATCCATCATTAGTCGCCAGATCTAGATTCTAGATTTGGGGGCAGGTCTAATCTCGGCAAACTCCTTGGTCTCTCCCAGGCGCCAGCTCACAGCTCCTCCCCAATTCTTATCCTCAGCGCTGGCATTGGGGTCCTTCCATTGCCATCTAGCAATTGACTGCCCGCCCTTCTCCAAAAGAGTCTTCACCCATGTCCCGAAAATGGGGAAGAACTTGAAGCCGTGACCTGAGTCACCTGTCAACAAGACCAGAGATTCCGATGTGCCAGGGACAAAATCAATGATGAAGTCCGAGTTCTGGGTATCGGCAAACCAGCAGAGGGACTTCTTCACAAGAGGTCGGTCTGCCAGGTATGGGAGAGTATCGGCAAGAAGCTTGCGCATCTTTGCCTCATCATGGGCTGGGACGAAAGCACTGTCATACAGATTGGTGGGGGCATGAGAGAAGCCGGTCTTAGGGTCTGTGTTCACATAGCCACCTCCCATGGGGCAAATCTTGAGCAGGTTTGTCTTCGGGTCGGGCTCAAAGTAGAAACCAAGGTCGCGAGCGTAGGTAATAGGGATGCCGCGAAGCGCAGAGACCTCCTCGTCCGAGAGATGGACGTGGGCGACGGACCAGGACTTGGCAACGACTTGGGTTCCGATCTCGGGGACCAGCTTCGTGGCTGCAGCACCGACAGCAACAATGACCAGGTCAGCGGCACGAATCTGTCCGTCAGCCAGCTCGATCCCTGTTGCCTTCCTGGCCCCAGATGCGGTTCCGTAGACGATGCGTGACACGGAACCCTGCGAGCCAAGGAAGAACCTCACGCCGCTGGCCTGCGCAGCGCGATAAGCCGAGGCCAGTGCATTGCCAGAGTGAGCGTATCCGTCGTAGCCGTTGAAGTAACCTGTCCAGCCCGGGAAGGATCCTTGATACTGCCAGAAGCGCTTCTGGATGTCCCCATCTTTGGTGAAAGGTTCAACATGATCCTTCATTTCCGGGTGGGCATCCGCTGCCACCCGGAACCGGCTGAGGGTAGCAGAAGCCTCCTCGGGTGCATCCTTGGATACACAATGGATGAACCCAGTCTGGTGGAAGTGCGGGGCAAAGAATGGTGTCTTCCATGCTGCAATGGCTTGCTGCACGTATATCACATTAGCACTCCATTTCGGACAAGTGTGGTGGGTACAGGGAGATACGCACGATAGTCAATTCCGTCCAGAATGGATCCTCATACTCTGCTCTGACAATCTTGTTGAGGTCATTGGCTGCAGAATAGCGAGGGGGGATTTGGTCGTCTTGCTCATAGATAGAGATGTTGGAGAAGCCGGCCTGCGTCAGATGGAGAGCTGTGGACAGGCCGAATGCTCCACCACCGACAATGACTATTTCACTGGACTTTGAAAGAGGCATGATGGAGAATCTGATATTGAAATTCAGATTGTATTGTTTGAGACTAATGTCCAAAGATGTTGATGATCCATTTGCTAACTAACGCTTGCCCTTTAGATTCTAGACAAGGCCGTATATAAGTGAAGCCACCAAGAGCTCAATGAAGCCAAAATGACAGGCTATTATCCGAACTCGGAATCCAAAGTATGATCAAAGTCAACAAACGTATGATCTTGCTCGTCTGAGTAGCAAGTTGGTGATAGTTGACGCTGACTCGGCCCCACTCCCGACTCATCTGCTTGGGTTGTCTCATCGAGATGACAAGCGGCTGGCGCAAGCACCTCCATGCTTTGGTCCCATGACCACCCCAGCCAGGCCTGAGGTGGCTAGAACATTTACTTGTTCTAGTGCTGCCGCTCAAGGGTCTATCTAGCGTTTCCTCACACGAACGCACACTGTCCCCTGCTTGTGGGGAAGTTACTATGCGGACCCAGTCCCGACAACAGATTAGGAGAAAGACTTGCTAGTCAGTCGCCGTCATGGTGCCCACATGATGACTATCTTGATACGCAGTCCCGGGAATTCGCCCGACGCTGTACGCTCTTCGTCTACGCCTTTGATACTAGCCCAAACCAGTTTGGGTTTCAAGAGTGAGAGATAGGGAAGCGAGTACGAAAGTGGCAATTCATTGGAAGCCATCATGCTCAAGAATGTAGACTGTATGTAGCCTCCTAAATCATGCACACGGGATCTCACAAACCAATTCTAAAGATACGTAGAGACAGTAACAAGCCTCGTTCATTTTATTGTACGATCATTCATGTATAATTCATTCTATGTCTAAACGCTTTAGCCTGCTTATGTATTCTATCCAATGATTGTTCGAACGATCTCAACCCTGAATTCAAAGTCAGCTTCACGAACAACATAACAAAAAAGATAGACTCACGTAGCAAAAATGCCAGCAGACACTGGTAGCGCACGAAGTAAGGATGGGCCGAGTCCTTCCATGAATCCTGCAAATCCCTGAATCTTCCACGTCTTCAACACTGCATCTCGTGTATTCTTGTACTTCCTTCCCTCTCCAAAGCCATCACTCTGTAGTCTGCTCTTGATGACATCAAATGGATTCGCTAAAAGCCAGTTCACCTCCCCAGCAAGGCCACCGCAAATTGCGATCTTCCAGCTCGGAAGTTCGGAGCGAGATCTGTTGTCCATCTTGGTCAAAAGGCTCACAAATACCTCGTAAGACGCGAACCAGGCGCCAAAGCCGTAGAACTCGCGAACCATCGTAGCAACTTGGCCACGGAAAATACCAGCAATGCCAGCTTGCTGGTAGATCTTGCGCGCGCAGTCTACGGGCCCGTTGTAAAGCTTTCCGCTGCCAGATGGCTGAGTCTGGAGACGGATTCTGATGTGCTCGACAGGGCCGGATATGACACTGTTGGCCAAGCCAGCTCCTCCGCCCGCCACGAATAACTGCCATATCGGCAACGAATCTTTGGAATTCCCAGTTCTGCTTTGGCGGTTCTGGAACAGCTGCCGAAAATACTGGAAAGCCCCGAATTGAATGCTCCCCTACCCAATTGTCAATCTCCATCCATCGGATATTTTGAGTCACAAGAATTGCACACTCACGCAGATGCTGATGCCAATTAGCGGCGGAAGAGAACCCTAGATAATATCAGTATCGTGTGTTTATACAAGCCAGGCTTCTACGGTTCTCCTCACTTTGTAGAAAGCCAAAGGCCCCTCTTTGAGCCAAATATTTCGCGCGACCGCGAGGCCACTTCCTCCACTGGTTTGGAGTCGGACCTTGACGATGTCTATCAGAAAATCGGCAGTTTGTTAGGTGAAAATACATAAAAAAAACGTTCCCGGCTGAACAAACCGAACGGTTGGCCTATAATGATATGGTTAACTTCAGAGCAACAATATGTGGCCGGGCGACGGAATGCCTACCGATGAGAACCTGGGCAACACCACCCGCTGCACCGGCGATGGTATCTCTTGTTGTCTCGCTAACCATGTCTAGTTTTCGGTATAATTTGGGCAGGTAGGTAGATGGTTAATTGGAATACTGTGTGTTCCAGGTTTCGCCTTGACACCCAGCAACCACGTCGGAGAGGGGACCGGAGGGTGTCAACCGATCTGTGCCAGATGCCCTAGACAGGGGAAATGCATAACGTGAATCTCCATAATGTGAGAAATGATCCCGCAGGCTCCTCTTTTCTGAATCTGCTCTAGTTGATAAATCCAGACGCGCTACGGAGGTGAATGCGTTATAAGCCGACGCCAGCCGTATTAGCCACATTCTACTATGATCGTGAGTCCATGACTAGCAGTTCAGTGGGGAGAACTACGCCGTCTGTCATAAGTAAAGTAAAAGAAGAGCATATTTTCTGGAGTAATCTTAAGCGAAAGCATCCGTTTTCACTCTTGTATATCAGCGTCTACTGAAGCAAGCTCTAAGCAGGCTGAGAATAACAGCCATGAGCATTAAATAGGGATAGAGGCAGCAAATCATATTTCCACACAGCGGCGACTCTGGTGACCTCCCAAGCGAGTGAATAAAACATGCATACCAAAAGTCTGTTCACGTAAGTCAGGAAACTCAATAAGATGGCAATAAGAAAATACATAATTATTATTCTATAATATTTAGCTTGATATTGTATTTATTACTAATTAATTGTTTTGATATTGTGCTGATAGTATGCCATGTTCTATGTCAGTCTTATGGCCACATTCTGCTCGTGCCACCCAAAAGGACCATCTCTTCAGTATGTTCGTTCCCTAGTTGGCTTATGCTCTCTTCGCTGGCTTATGTTCCCTTCGTGGGTCTCTAGCGGCCGTTGGTCTCCCCTGAAGGGTGTCAAGCACCGCGCGGATCTCACGCAACTGTCGTTCAGCGTGCTCTGCGCGAGATACAGCAAGGTCTTCGACCCTTTCAGCTGCCTTTTCGCGCTGTTCAGCCTCTCGGAGGCTAAATAGAAGCCTCTTGACCTCCTCCCCGAGATACAACACCTATTTCTGGTGTTGCTCATCAAAATCAAGCCTTTCACATCCACTTTCACATACTATACGTGACGTCCAATAATTGGTAGCAATTCTGCTCCGATGAGGACAACCATAACCATCACCATACCATAACCATTTATTTTTTCTGCCCGTCCAACAAGCCCGACGCGTTCAACATATCCCTCCCAGCGGTTGCATCCCTCCCAACCCGTCAGATCTACCCCTTCAAGACATCCGCTCGGCGGATGTCCGCACTGTCCTACTCACATCAAATATTATTATTCGTGGAATCCAAGCACAAGGCTCTCCTTCGACTCCAACGATTGCGATACATTCGGTGCGCTGGACACACTCGGCCTTATCCCTCCCAAAACCCGGACAGACGAAATCTTTCCACCTGAGTGGATCGAGCGACGAGGCCCATTTCTCACCGTCCTGCGTCGTAGGCTCGGACCCTTGCCTTCTCCTCGAGTTCGAGCTTGCTGGCCTCGCTCTTGGCCTTCTTCTCGTCTAATCCAATTCCAAGTTAGAGAGGGTTAACAATCAAAGAGTTATGAATACTTACCGGTTTCCCACTGCTCCCGCTCGTCCTTCCTCACGGCAAGCTTATGGTTATCCGCATGCATCATCCAGCCTAGCGCGGCGCCGGAATACAGCGCAGGGGCACCAATTGCCGCAGCAATAACAACTCCCCATACGGCGAACAGATGATGAGTTTGGGGATTCTGGTCTTGGGGGAGGACGTCCCGGCCCCGGAGCACTAGTAGTCTGGCGGTAAGGGGTTCGACAGGAGGCGCTCGTCGTTAAGGGATTTGATCCAGTACTGGATGGGTGTCCCGGTTGGCGGACTGGACGGACGAGGCGAGGGGCACGATGCCATCCATCCAGACGGATTGACAAAAGGGAATCGAGAGAATAAAGGTGGCCTTCTGCTGGCTACAGTAGAAGAAAGGGAACGACCTGAGGCAACGACCTGAAGAGATGGTGAGATTGGGGATTCTGCCCTTATCACCACCGCCTTGGATTTGAAGAGAAAGTGAAAAATGGCCCTGCGACCCAGAGCAGCGACTCTAGTGACCTACCTACATATCAGGATCCAGACCAACCAAGATATGGCACGCCCCAAGCGAGTGACATAAAACATTACACACCAAAGCTCTGTTCACGCAAGTCAAAGACCTCATTTTCTTATTAATAATACTAAAGACAATAATAATAAATTTACTGATTATTATTATTTAGTATTTAGCTTGTAATTCCAGATTATTATTGATTAATTGTTTGATATTGTGTTGAAATTCAACTCTGGAGGTCCTGGGTGTGCCACGTTTTATTTCATCCACTTGCCATTCCAAACAAATAAGCCAACTTGCCTACACATCCTCTCATCAATATTCGCTAAGTTACTATTCATAACACCGTCGCCACCATCCACTCCTAAGACAGTAAGTTCATTAATCAGAAACAGTCAGACCACTCAGAGGCCCAAACCACCATCCCACATGATTGTCCCGCTTATCTCTACTTTCAGCGCGCATTCCACGTGTAAACCATATCGGAAATGCCGGGTTCCTCACAACTAATCTCAGGGCGATGAAATGATCGTCCGATCTAATTTCCTCGTGTTATGAGTCCTTCCAAAGTATCGGGGTCCAAAGGTGCTCACTCCGTGCCAGCTCCAAAGTCCATTAAGGAACAAAGGAATCAAACCATTCTCCCATTTATCGTCCTTTAGCCCATTAAACCGATCAACTATTGGAGACGTATTAATAGGAAAAAAACAGCCCTCCGATATCATATTCGAACATTTTCAGCCGTGATCGGCGGATGCCAAATATGGGCATCTCCGCTGGTAGATGCACCAGGGGGATGTTATCTGTGCGCTCGGCAATGGCCAGCCTAGTTGGAACTTTTGTCTTGTCTACGCTCGCTCCGGACAAACCTGAATTAACAAATCTGTTAGCGTCTACTTATATTCATTCTAGTATCAAACGAGAGACGCGTGGTTCCCCAGCTCCTTCCGGATTTTGATGGAGAATAGCTCAGTCGTTAGTCGCACAGATCAAATGACAACTAACAACTCAGACCAGTTCAATCAAGCATTTCTATGCAGGGATAAGGAACGCGGGTCTTCTTTCTGTACTGTCGTGTACTCTATGTCTAATCGCACTACCTACTATACCAATAGTCCAAAACAGATTTCCTAAAGCCATTACTCTAGACAAATCGCCCCTGTAGAAAGATGAAAGAGGATGAAGTGGTTGGCATATAGGTGTCAGGATGGATCGAATTAAGGGGTGTCCAGGATATATATTAACCGTGCATCCAGAGCGCGCATTCGGCAACACCCTTAAACAGACTGGCGGATATGGAAAAATAGCAACTCGGATGAGATTCTAAAAGATATACGCGCAAGGAAGTAGGATCAGGGAATCAGAATTCAAGCTATTTAAGATATCCAAGGCTCACCATCGGACGGACTATTCAATTCATTCCCTCCACCACTCAGACATCCAATACTCTTTCAGCCAGCCAACCACCAACCTCTTTTCTCAACTCTCTCAAAATGAAGGTCTCTACCATCTTAACTTCATCCCTTTTCCTACTTGCATCAAGTACCTTTGCATACCAGGACCTCGCCACTCGAGGCGAAGATCTTGTCGCCAAGGGCGAGTACCTCATCGCACGAGGAGAGTACCTCATTGCCCGTGCCAATAAGAAGGCCGCCCCCGCCAAGAAGGGCAACAAGTCCGGTCATCTTGGAGGAGCTGAGTCTGGAGTATGCACATCCCTCCATCTTTTATGACTCGCACACCACTAACCGTGTACTTCTAGACCTGTGTGGTTCAGGCAAAGGGGGCGGGACCAGGATTCTGCAACCTTAACACAGGGCACAGAGTTGCCTGCGAGGCGAACGCAAAAGTAAGACAATAACACTCCTATCCAAGACAACAACAAACGCCAGCTGATATTTCCCCCCCCGCAATAGTGTACCCCGGCAAAGAAGGGTTGCGGTTGGGTTCCCGGTAGCCAGCGAGCCCAATGTGGTTTGGAGGCCGGTCGACTTGGCCATTAACTCTCCTTTCTAGAAATTTCCCCCTTAATCTTTTTGTACTATCAACATCAAGTATCTGAATATATATCTTCTTCACTACTACCTTTTCTTCACATGCCGTCCTACCACACCCTACAAGTCGAGCCAAACAAAGTTTAATCCAAGTCAAACAATTAAGTAGAAAAACTAGTCAATGGAATTTATGAGCAAGATATATGTCATAAATCGTCTAGTTTTGTGTGGAAGAGAAGACTCTCAGGCCATCTGATCGTAACATTGTAGGGCGACCAAGCTCTCCAGTCGTCTAATTCCAACTTAGCGGATACTCAAGGAGGTATCCGACACATGTTTTTTAACTGGAAACTTGCGTGTATTTATTAAGAACAGAAGTAATCTGGATTGACCAATATCGCTGCTGTTATCTAGATGTCAGAAGATGGTTTGAACCGAACTTTCTCTCCAAACTTCTTAACAAATTAATCCAGCACTGTTGCCACAGCTTGAAATCGCCTATTCAAGAGGGTGTAATTGAAAACTTAATTTTCTATTATCTAGGGACGGTCAAGTCTTTCTTTTGGTATTCTCGTTCAATTGGTGATGAGAAGGGTGGTCACGTGATTCTACCGGTCCTACCTGGCGTACCAATATTCGCCATATTACTAAGCAGAGCCTACCCTACAGTCATGAACGAAGTAATCTACTATTCGCTTGGTACGACCAGTGCAATTGGATTACATTAAGGGTGCTGATGATGGATGACTCCAGAAAGCGATCTTCATAATTTGCAGCATGATGATTTTTTTTTTGACTGTGGAAGGATGCTTCACACCGTGCGCACGGAATCCTAAGATCAATACTTCGAATGATGGGTGAGAAGATGACGTCACTAAATATCATCTAGAGCACGTGACTTCGCGACAGATTGCTCTGTCACGTGGGATCGCCGAGCGCGCCAAATTCACACTTTGCGAACCTTCATCTCAACTCATCACTGTCGCTTTGCAAGCCGCAATAGCTAAAATAATCAAACATGTCGCGCCGTGCTTTAGTCATAGACTCCTCTAGCGACTCAGGCGATCGTGCGCCCTCGGAAGCCGACTACGAGTCCGACGAGTCTCCCCTCAATCAGCTGATAGACCTGGAGGCCGTGGAATCGGATGAAAGTACTGACGAATCCTCATCCACTCTTGGACATGAATACGATGAAAATGACGAAGGTCAACCAGCACGAGTTTTCACGAAATTTAACGACCTCCCGCCGGAGCTGCGACGCCACATCTGGGAGGCGTTCTGCCCTGAGTTGGTAAGCCAGGCTCGGATAATATGCCTCCGGATACAATGGCACCCAGCTCGACCATGGCCCCCTCGCCAACCTTTCTGGAGATTTGCGGACAGTATGGAACTTTCAGACCAAACGGAGGCTCTGCGCACGGTCGCGGCTGTGAACCAAGAATCACGCGGGATTGTCCTCCGCCAGAACCCGGATACGCTTCGTCTCAACGCCGGGTCGGGCGACGCAGAAGTTCGCTTCAAGAAAGACCGGGATATCGTCTATTTCAACGACCTGGTCATGAACGAGCCGTACGAGGCACCGTACGATGCCGACTTTTGCAGCAATATTGTCCATGCCGCGATCGAATTGGATGGATTGGGCGGGAACGTGACTCCTAGCTCGCCAGAGCAGTTCGAGAGTATCATGCACTTGCTGCGCGTTCTGCCGAACCTGGAGACATTGTATCTCATCAGGCAGCATTCTGTACTCAAAAAGAGGAGCATACAGTGGTGTGGCTCTCGGATGATGCGGCATGCCAGGGTAGAGACGTTTGAGGAGCAACCTGGCGTTGGGGAGGATCTCGAGTGGGTGTATTGCTGGCCGGATCTTAACAAGTACTGGGATGAAACGACACGCCAAATCATAGACGACTTCTCAAATGAAGTAAGTCGTCGGCTGACAGATTATCTGTCGACACGTGGTGTGAAACTGGCGCCCATGGTTTGCTTTGAGTTTGAGAAAGCAATAGAATATTTCGAGGAATTGGTAAAGAAGCATGATCTCGGCATCTTTCCGTTGGACGTGGAGGAAGAGAGCTCAGACGAAGAGGACGAGGAAGAGCAAGAGTCCTCCGAATACGAGAGCGAAGGCATCGACGACAACGAGATCATTTCAAACGACTCATCTTCGGAAGATGAATTAATACCTAACCCAATCTCTCCCGGTGGCTCGCCCGATCCTGGAAATTTCAGCTCAGCAGAAGAAGATAGTGATGCTGTTGTTGCTAGGTTCTCCAGTCCTGAACAAGATGCTTCAGACGATGAAGAAGAAGGGGGGCATGTGGAGCTCGCGGTCAGGATTCCAAAGCGTCGCATTGTGAGCGATTCAGAGGACGAAGACGTTGGGCCCAGTTCAAAAAGAGTTCGAACCCAGGCGGTTGTGGATGTTTCCTCCGATGAGGAAGACGAAGCTCCCCGAGGTGCTTCACAGCGCTCTCGTGCTGGTCGCGGGACACAAGTGATCTCCTCAGATTCAGAGTCTGGCTCTGAAAACGACGATGCCCAAGAGGACCCTGAGGACGATGATTCACAGTCCGAAAGCGAGGACGACGAAGAGGACGACAAACCACCAGCTCGTCTATCACTAGCAGAGAGGTTACAGCTCCACCGCCAGGAGAATCCTGTTGGTTTATCTGACGAGGACAATAGCGAGATGGGCAGCGAGGAGTATGGCTCATTTATCGACGATGAAGAGGAGGATGGATCTGGGGATGGTCTTTTGGATGATATGGCTGAGTTGTCCGAGGGTGAAGGTGAAGGGGAGGACGATAGCGAGGACGGGTGGTAGGTAACACTTGGATAGCCTTTCATCACTATCCTTGGGCTGAAAACGAACATTCATCAATACCATTGGGTGTTTCCTCCAAACATATCCAGTGTACTATATTCCTACTAGCTACAAAATGTTAATACTATAATCATCATCAGACTATACTCTATAATGTCTTCCCCTCTTCCAACAGTTCCACAAACTGCTCTATCCTCTTCACCCTCGTCTCCGCCTTCACCGCCGTCTCAATCCTAATCAAGAACGAATACCTCGCCGACCGACCCAGCCCGCCCCAAAACTCCCTCGCGACCTCATTCCCCTCCAGCGCCGCCAGGAAGTCCGCCGGCGCCTCCATCGTCGCCGGCCCTGCGTACGCCCTGTCCCACCGCCCGTCCTCCCTGGCCGCATCCACCTCGGCCCACCCGGCGGGCTTCATCCTCCCCTGCGCGGCGAGCGTATCCACCTTGGCCACGTTGCGGGCGGACCAGATGCTCCTGGGCCGTCGCGGGGAGAAGCGCTGGGCGAAGTGGGTGCCCGGGTCCGGGATGGACTTGCGCTGGCCGTCGATCCAACCGTAGCAGATTGCGGTGTCGACGGCCTGGTCGTAGGTGATGGAGGGCGGGGACGTGTTCTTCTTTGCGATAAGGAGCCATGTTCCCTGGGGTGTGGTGCTGTGGTTGGCTTCTAGCCATATGATGAAGGCGTTGTCGTCTGGGAAGAGTAGAGCATTTTGTGGGGATGGGGATGAAGTGGCTGCTGAAGCAGTTGTGGCGGATGAAATGGCTTTTGGTTTTGTAGCTGCTCGAGGTTTTCGAGGCATTGTGGCTCTGGATGGTTGTTTAAGCGAATGAAACGCGAAAATTGGCGTGAATGAAAACCTCATGGTAGGTGAGACGTGCGTGAATGGAATTTGGTTCGAGTCTAGGGTAGTGGAGAGTTGACGCCTGAAGGGATTGCTGACTCACTGGTAGGAATCAAACAAAATCATAGGAATGGAAGCTATGAAAGGTACGATTTCCATGCGAACGAGATAATATTATTGGCTAGATAATGGCTTATCTTTTTCATATTAACAGTACTGCCCGATATCAAACGCTATAGTCTCTAATATGATTCGAAGATATACCATGGAATAGCAGAACTGGAAGATGTGTAAGCATCTAATCAAAGGCCTTCACAAAAATGCACAAAACTACTGTAGTGACCAGCCACTTGATTGTTAGTCTTAGGGGCTCACAAATTCCGCAAAAGCCGCCGCTAGCAGCAATAGTCGGGTTCAGGGGTCAGCTGGTTGGTTGCACAGCAGACATAACAGAAGAAACGATTTCAGCTGGGGCTGACAGAATTTCTTTTCGTATGGTGTGATTATTGTGAGCAATCAATTGTTGGATTGTCACCTATTTGATGTCGGTCGCTGGCAAGTGGATTCTAGAGTTGCCCAGATTGAAATCGCCAAGGGCATCCTTACTCCAGCTGCGATCTGGACCCAATCTGTCACTGGCGATCATTAAGCAGGGAGGAGACCACATTTACCAGGGCATGGGCACGTTGGGTTCGAGTATGCTATTTGGTTGCGACCTACGTGGGAATACCTCCCGCCACTTGCCGTTAGATGGATGGTGATTTACTGATTCTAGACCGGCGGGTGAGAGCCTAGGAGGATGCAACTAAGAGAAAGAGGTAGGGATCATCACGACACAACTCTTTACGAGCTGGCGTACGGGAGGAGCTGGTAAGGTCGGGCCCATTGTCACTCCGCGTGGCAGACTGGAGTCGCCTTTTAGCTACCGCGGGCGGCCGCGAAGCTTAAAGGTAAAAGACGGTGGGATAGGGACGATGAGGGGACCGAGCAAAGGACTAGAGGCCGAGCTGAATCTGGTCCCATCCCCTACCGATGGCTTGGGTGCGGCTGAAGGTGCCTGAGCACATCCAGGTCTGCCTTCAGTCCCACTAGTTGCAATAGCGCCTTATACTGGTGCTGCAAACTCGACGGGGATTTGCTGAACCAGTCGCCGATGCATATGATATTGGTGAGCCAATGCACATGCAGTCATCATGCTGTGTTCACATAGAAAACGAGTCTCTGGACCCCTGCTCCTCAAGTCCTAGGCTCTCGCCATAACAAGAGGTGTTCCCGACCTAGACCCCGGCACAGTGTTTTCAGCCATCGAACTCAGCAAGTAGAAGCAGCGGATATTAGATATGTAGGTCCTTTCTCCCGTTGCACCCAAGTTGCTCTCGTCTTGGTGTGCGTGCTACTGTTGTGTCAATGTGAGAGTTTACGTGGATGTCTTGTACGCCGTAAAATCGAAGACCCGTTCTCCATCATGCGATCTGCCTTGACAATTACTGCTGTGACTCTGGCCATCACCGCTCGAGCCCAGCCAGTCTTGCCCGTGGATCCCACAATCACGTCTCCTCCTACAAAACCTTTGCGTGACGTCAAGGCTCAGCCAGGCCGCCCAGCCGACTTTGCTATTACTCAAGGGCCCAGCGATGCCGAGTTGTATCAACGGCAGAATGGTGCAGACTTTGTTGGATATACTTTGAGCGGGTCTACATGTATGGTTCCAGGCACCGAGATGTGATAGCAAAACCTAAGTGGCATACTGACGCTCTCTCCTCTTTAGATCTGTCGGTGACCTGCCCGAGCGGCAACATCTTCCTTACAAATGCGAACTACGCTTTGTGCGGAACGGCAGGGCAGACTCAAGTTCCGACTGCCTGTAGATCGAATAGCGTCCTCGTCTACTCTGCAACCGTTCGTACATGGTAAGTCTTTCTGCATACACGGCAGTTGCGACTAATTCTGACGGATATGATGCAAATGTAGCTCCCAGGGCACCGGATGTAGCCCAGACTGGTACTACGACAGCACCGATGACAAGTCAGCAAAGGCAATGTACGGCTGCGGTACGGCAGCACAGAGGACTTTCTACAGAACAGTCAAGACCAGCTCAACGACAACATCGAAACCGACGACAACCTCAAAGCCAACAACTACATCACAACCAACGACCACATCACAGCCGACAACCACGTCAAAGCCAACCACGTCGTCTTCGATACCTCCGCCGCCGCCATCTTCGTCGTTGACCACTTCGAGTGCCCCTCCACCACCCTCGTCGTCTTCCGAAAAGAAAGATCCCCCGACATCAACCCGTAAAGACGAGCCGTCCGCAGAGTCGACAACCGAGCAGCCGAAGAGCTCCAAGGCGCCCGACCCTGAAACAACAAAGCAAGATAGTGCACCGACGACTACAAAACAATCTAATAATGAGGTCTCTAACGCCGGTAGCTCGTTGGTACCGGTGGAAACAATCAATGTCACGCAGACCAGAACCGTCACATCAACAGCGACTTCCACGGACACACCCGGCGGCGACGTTATGGAGAACAAATCCGGCACGGACTCTGATAGCTCCAACTCCAACAGCACCTCCTCCAACAACAACGGAGGCGGCAGCAGCGACAAGAAGGACCAGGCATGGATCGCCGGACCCGTCGTCGGCGGTGTCGGAGCCATCGCCGCCGTCGTCGCACTCTTCTTCGTCGTCAGGCTTATCCGCCGCAGATCAGCAAAGGAAGAAGAGAGGGCCGCCCATATCGAGGAATCCATGCACGAGAAGCCCACAGACCACTCGCCAGTCTCCCCCTTCACGTCCGCGTCGCCCCATCAGACCATACGATCGTCTGAGTTGCCGGCGTACCGCCAGGTATCTCCGCCGTCGGAGTTGCAGCAGTCGGTGTACTCGGCAGAGCTGTCTGGGTATTCGTCACCGCAGCAGAGCCGGGTGCAGTCAGCAGAGCTGCCTGCGTTCATGGTGCCTCCGCAGCCACCTCAGCCGGTGGCATCCGCAGAGCTTCCAGCGTATCGGATGGCATCGCCTCCGGTAGAGCTACAAGGGGGAGCGCCCCAGGGCGGTGCTCCTAATGGTGGTCAGTATCTTCCTGGACATTGGCAGTCGCCAGATGATTTTAGGGGCCGTTGAGACGGTAGATTGTGTGTGAGATGGGAGCAGTGAAAGGACTAAATAATATGAGCGTGTACTGGGTTTCATCGTTAATAGAATGAATGTAATTCTTGCCTGTTGGTCACATTATAATACTTTCTTTAAACAGCTTCAACAGGATCATCTAAAAGGCACAGGCGACGAACAACGAATACCCTGCAAGTATTGTTCACCATGATCATCCTATTTGGCTTCAGATTATTCCATAGACTAGACACCCCGCGCATCCTTGGCCAACTGCCCAATCGTCACCTCGAACGCCTCAGGCTCTCTTCCAAGGATCTCTGCCAGCGTGGGGCTCACGAACTTGGTTTCACCAGCCTGAATGGCATCCCAAGCTGTTGCCCAAGTCCTAGCCTTTGCCTCCTCACCAAAATAACCGATAATCTGCGGTAGCTTGACCCATTCGTCGATGCTAATCTGCTTGATTCGCACTTCACGCCCTACGGCATTCCCTAGCACCTTCACTGTGTCGGCAAGCGTCCACTCCTTGGGGCCTGTGAGAACAACGCGCCGTTTGTTCCATGGGTATGCCCAAGGGTCAGAGCTGTTGGCATATTGCACGATGAGAGAGGCGCTTGCCTCCCCCAGCTCATCACGCTTGGCCCAGCTTACCCCAGGTCCAGTCCCATCATGAGGGATCAATATCTCATCCACTGGGTTCTGAAAGGTCCAAAACGAGGTGTAAATTGGAAAAGACTCATGGTACAACCCTTCTCGGATGCTTGTCCAAGAGAACGTGGGATCCTTAGCCGCAAGTTTTTGCAAGTGTTCTTCGGAGACCAGATGCGCCTGCATGACCTCAGCCAAGGATTCCGTCTCCTCAGGCAAGGCGAAACCCAGTGAGGAGTAGAAGATATGCTTGACGCCTGCTCTGTGCGCTGCGTCAATGGCTGGAAGCTGTACCTTGACACGGTAGTCGCGTACATGGCTGGGGTAAGAGATGAGGAAGAGGACTTGGATGCCGGCGAAAGCAGCCTCGAGCTCGGCTGGCGTCGACTCATAAGATGCCTGAAGCAGCCGGACACCCTTGGCACTGTATGAAGCTAGGATCTTGCTAGGATTTCGGCTGATCAGGGTGACCTTGTCGGGCTGCACATCCGGACGCTGGAGGAGATGGTTGTACGTGCTGCCGCCGAGGCCCCCCGCTGCGGGGAATATGCCGATTGTCTTCATGGCGATCGGTATTCCGAGATTGCCCTGTCCTTGAGTGGATGTGAGGATATGAAATTGTAGACTCTTCGCAGAAAAGGGTTCGACTTTTATGGCTGAACCGAGGTCTGTATCAGGCAATTCCCGGCTACTGGATGATTTGTCTGCAGAGCAGAGTTGATGACTGGAGATGACGCCATGGGAGTAAGTCCAGATTGGTAATAATGACCCCGGAGGTTTAGGGGTGGAGACGGAGTTGCGGAATCTCCAGTCTTGCCACATTCTAAGCCCTATCATATGATACTTTTATCATGCGCGTGAGCCGATAGACAATAGATAGTCTGGTTGTGAGCATTGAGGCTATTGCACGCTGTTGGTATTCTCTTAAGTGACTGAAGTAGAATAGAGCATACCGGAATTCTTAATATCAGCTAGAGACCTAGTCTTTTGTTAATTACAATAATTGAGAAAAGATGACTTATGGTATAGTACTCGGCTCAATACTGGGTTAATACTTCACTAGTTGTTTTGATATTGTCTCAAGTTTGTTATTTGTGGCTTTGACGCTCTACATCTTCTTGCCAGCTCTCGGTGGTTCAATAGGTAGCCTGGCATTTTAGTTCCTCTATCACCCGGAAATACTTCAAAAGGCCGATCCTTGAAGCACTTAACCTTAGGCCAAAAGGACCAGTTGCACTGAGGTACTAAAAGAGAAACTTCGAAGCCTGTTAAGAGTGTCGGGCACAACTCCATGGCAGAGTCTCGCAACAAATTACCTGTTTCATAATCTTAGGTGTGGGTGCAAGTCCCAATAAGGCAGCAAACTGCCGCCGCATTTTAGCTCTTACCAATAATGGGACCCTGATCGCCTGATCCTTGATTGCGTCAAAGAAAGCTCGAGATTCCTCCGCGACATAGAAAGTGATACCAACATTTATTCCTGGACTTTTTATAAGTTGAATCCTCTTTCTTCTCTGACGGAGCAAGAAAAGACATGTTGACCTCACATGCTACATTTCTAGCTCCTTGAGCTGGCTTCCGGAAGTCCGGAAATATCATTGTGGCCCAGACCTCACTAAACCACCAAATCTCAGTAGAGCTCCCCATTTATGCAACCATCCCTGTGAGCCTACACGTACAAAATAGTTATCTGTATCTGGCAATATGGCGCGTACCCAGTCAGTCGCCCCTCTTGCTCATCCTTCCAAATTCCAACTGACAGGTCATAGCTCCGCCAACGCATATAAAAAGCAAGCAAGCCTCGCTTCCGCCAACTGAAAGCTTCCAACTATCTTCCCAAGTACATCATCATGGCCTCCAAATCCGACATTGTCTTTCTCCCCGGTGCCTGGCACTCGGCCAACTGTCTGGACAAGGTCGTCCCCCTCCTCACCGCCAAGGGCTACACCACCTACGCGCACACTGTCAAGAGCGTGGGCACACCCCATGTCACAGTCCAAGACGACGCAGCCTACATCCGTGACGAAATCCTCGAACCTCTCTTCCAGAAGGATCGCCAGGTCGTCCTCGTTGTCCACTCGTACGCAGGCACACCGGCCGCACCCGCCATCAAGCAGCTGCATGTGAAGGATCGCAAGGCTAAAGGCCAACCGGGCGGACTTGTCGGGATCATCTGGGTAACATCCTATCTCTTCTCAAGCGCAGGGTTTGGTGTCGTGGAACGCGAGGCAAAGCTCGAGGGTTTGGCCAGGTTCGGTTCAATCAATGTTAGATACTTCCTCCTCTTCCTCTCACTAATGGAAAAACTCTAACCTTTGGATATAGGCGGAAGAGGATTTTATATACCCAAGGGAAGACCTCGACTTCTTTTATGGAGACGTGGATGAGGACTTGGCCAAGGCTACACTCTCAACTCTCAAGCCTCATTCCCTGAGCGCGTTGTTGACCGACGTCGATGAATATGGCTACCGCGATGCGTCGTATGACGGATGCAGAGCGTACGTCAAGTGCTTGAGGGATCGACCCATCTCCATCGAGCTCCAGAACTTCATGATTAATAGTAGCGGTGTCATTTGGGAGACTCGCGAGTTGGACACTGGCCATAGCCCCTTTCTATCCCAGCCAGAACAGCTCAGCAGCACCATCGACGAGCTGATCCAAGGATTCAAGATCTAAGCACGATTTTTACGAATCTTAGTGTGAATCATGGTAGTCACAGGTCATAGCAATGAGATCTTTTAGATGAACAAAATTCAAATTCTTCAAGATAGGGTATCAAGCGCCTAAGAGCGAAACCTTCAAGTGATATATGACTCCGAATAATTCCATGACCAACTCAACTTTCCAGCAACCCATTTTTTTGTTGCTAGACTAGACAAAAACCAAATAAGAGTTCTTAGAAATTACAGAGATAGAAACAAAACAAAAACATGAAACTCCTCATTATTTCCTCCAAATCAAGAGTCGCCAGATAGGAACAAAAATCAAAATCAAAACTCCACCAAACTCCTCGTATTCTTTCGTATGCGAGAGAGCCATAAAGTCATGCGGCAGCTGCTGAAAGGAAAAAAAAAGGGGAAATTCCCAAGGACCAAAAAATTGATACTATACCCAGTATCACGACACATTAAACTCCAGCCTTCTTCCTCTTCTCTTTTTATTTATTTATTATTCTCCTTTTGTTTGTACCCGGCTACGAGGCTTGCGCCCGGCCGTATATAAGATAAGGTTCAACACCAACAATGGCTGTGCCCGACGATGACTCTTTCGTCGGTATGACTCCTTTCATGAACCTTAAGATGGATGCTGCTTTCCATCTATCCAAAGGCCGCCATCTCTGGACTATATTAACCGCACAGCTCCATGGCATTCTTTAAGCAACACATAGTCCATTAGCACACACGCAAAGGCGAGCGAATAGACAAAGGTTAACACCAGCCGAGCAACCAGCGTTATTGCTGCATTGTCTCTCAACGCACTGTCCGTTCGAGGTGTTGCAGACTTGGTTGTTCGCGCACTGCGAGTTGGTCGTGCAGCTCGGCCCGCATACGCCAGACTGGCAGGACTGGCCGGCGGAACAGTCAGTGTTCGAGCTGCAGTTGCTGTAGCAGATTCCAGTCGCCGTCCGGCATGTCTGATTGGGACCGCAATCTGAATTGAGTATACAATCGCCGCAGGATCCAAAGATGTTGCACCCTTGCCCGGGACCGCATTGGCTGGCTCTCGTGCAGACACCACAGGAGTTGTTGACGCAGGCCTGACTGGGACCGCACTGGGATTTGTTCGCGCAGGAGCCGCACTTGCCATTGACGCATGCTTGGCCGCTCGCGCAGTCGCCGTTCGATGAACACTGGCCGCACTTGTTGTTGATGCATGCCTCGCCGGTTGCGCAGTTACTGTTGGTGAGACAAGCTGTGCATCTGCCGTTCGAGCATAAGTTGGAATCGCACTGGTCGGAGGACGTGCATGCTTTGCACACGCCCGATACACAGGCTTGACCTGAAGCGCACTGAGAGTTTCGAGAACATTGGCCGCAGGCTCCATCCGAGCAGACTTGGCCGGTTGCACAGTCGCTGTTGAGGGAGCAGGCACCGCATGTGCTGGTGAGGAGATTGCAGATCTGGCCGTTGAGACACTGGTCTCGGCTGGTACACGTCGTACATATATTGTTGCGGCAGACTTGGCCGTTGGAACAGTCGGCAGTGCCGCTGCAAGCTGTACATGTTCCACCCTTGCAGACCTGGCCGTTGGAGCATTGCGAACTGGCAGTGCAGTCGCCACATTTGCCATCTTGACAGACTTTTCCTGTAGGGCACTGGTTGTTGAGTGTACAGAAGGAGCACTGGCCGAGGGCACAGATCTGCCCGGTGTTGCACTGGTTGCTGTCAGTGCAAGAGGCACACTTGCCGTTGACACATGCCTCGCCAGTCGCGCATTGCGAGGTCCTTGAGCATGTAGTACACGATCCATTGTCACAAACCTGGCCGGAGTCGCACTGCCCGTTGTTCTGGCATCGGCCACAGGCACCGAGAAGCGAGCATACCTGGCCTGGGTTGCAGTTACTGTTCGAGGTGCAGGCACCGCAGACGCCGTTGTTGCAGGCCTGCGTACTACCGCACTCGCTGTTGGAAGAGCAAGCGGTGCAGAGACCACTTGAAGAGCAGATCTTGCCGCCGGAGCAGTCCGAGTTGTTTTGACAGGTGGTACACTTTCCACCCCGGCATACTTGGCCATTCGAGCACTGAGAAGACAAAGTACATCCAGTACACACCGAAAGAGGGCCGCAGACTTGTCCGTCACTGCACTGAGAACTATTGTTGCATGTACCGCACAGGCCGCCTGAGCAGACGAGCCCGCCGGAACACTGAGAACTATCGGTACAGCCTACACATGCTCCATTCTGGCAAACCTTGCCACTGGGGCACTGTGATGAGCTTGAGCAGGCACCACAAGCTCCCGGGAGACCAGAGCAGATCTGACCATTCGGACAGTCGAGGGACACGACGCAGGCAATACAGAGACCGGCGGCGCAAATCTGACCCGTGTTGCAGTCCGAGAAATCGCGGCACGCGGAACAAGATCCGTTGATGCAAGCCCTGGCGCCAGAGCACTGAGAGTTGCTTGTACATCCCGTGCACTGTTGGTTCCGGCAGATCTGACCACCGGGACATTGTCCGTCCGTAGAACAAGGGCCACAGTTGCCCAGGATCGAGCAGACTTGGCCTGACGGGCACTGAGAGGTGGAAGAACATGAGCTACACGAGCCGTTCACACAGACTTTGCCACCAGAGCATGGAGCAGTGGCTGAGCAAGCGCCGCAAGAGCCGTTGCTGCAGACTTCGCCGATGGCACACTCGCCGCTGGCTGAGCAGGCCCGGCATCCTCCATCCTGGCATACCTGACCTGGAGCACATTGTGAGTTGGAAGAACAAGCACCGCAAAGACCGCTGGCGCCGCAGATGAGTCCGAGACCGCAGTCTGTGTTGGACTTGCAGCGTGGGATGCAAGTTCCGCTGGAGCAGTACTCGCCAGCTGGGCAGGGATTGAGCACTCCACAGGCAAGAGTACCAGGGAGACAAGCGTTGAGAAGAGTGTTGCAGACCTCTCCGGAGGCGCACTGACTGTTGGTATGACATCCAGGGACACAGGTGTTGAGGGCGCCGCAGATCTGGCCGGCCGCACAGTTGGCATCGTTGTTGTCGCATGTAGGGATGATCTCTGGAACGCAGCGTCCAAGTGTGCAGCTGTTGCCGCTGGGGCAGTCGGAGCGGCTCGAACAGCCAGCGACACACTGGCCAAGCTGGCAGACTTTGGAGCTGTCCTTGCAGTCAAGATCGAGGAGACACTTGGGGAGGATGTTGGGGATGCAAAGCCCCAGGTCGCAGATGAGGTCGCCAAGGCATTCTTCGCTGGCCTTGCACTGGGCAACGGCCTTGGGATTGCAGATGCCGTTGACGCAGACTCTATCGTTGCCGCAGTCGTTCGGGTTGTTGACATTGCAGGTGATGGAAGGCTCGCCTCCCAAAAGGCACAGGCCGTTGACGCAGAGACACAGTGTGCCGAGAGCGCAGAGATTGACATTGGCAATGCAGTTGGCTGAGGCAGAACATGTTGTTCGTGGGATACAGGCGCCGCTCTGGCAGAGGTTGTTTGCTGGGCAGTCTGAAGCCGTGTTACAGGCCTTGACAGACGGATCGGTAACACAGAGTCCGTTGACACAGACACAGAGACCCAAAGCACAAACACCAGATTTGAGAGTGCAGTCGCTGCTAGCTGAGCATGTCGCTTGGGGAGCAGGTTGGCAGAAGCCGCCGTTGCAAAGCTCCCCTGTGTTGCAGTTGGAGGCGGTTTGACAAACACTAGGGAAGATATCAAGGACGCAGAAGCCGCTGTCAAGGCACTTGAGCCCAGTCGGACAGGGGGAATCTGCCTTGCAGGATACTGCGACCTCGGGAACACAGAGGCCGACGGTTGGATCAGTGCATCTGTAGCCGGTCGGACAAGCCTTTGTTGTCGAGCACGTGGGAATCAAGTTTGGTAGACACTTGTTAACCTGTGGATCGCAGCTGAAGCCCAGACCACAGCTTGAGCTGTCGGTACAAGTGCTAAGGAGATCCCGGATGCAGATACCGGCATCGTTACAGGTGTAGCCTTGTCGGCATGGGTTGGAGGCACTGCACTCCGGCAGCGCGCTGGGGACACAAGCACCCAGAATGCTGCAGACATTGCCATTCTGGCAGTCAGAATTTCTCTTACAGCCCAGGCCCAGGTCGATGACGCAGATGCCCAAGTTGTTGCATGTGAATCCGGCGCCGCAGTCCGTCTTGGCCTTGCAGCCGATGTTGATATCCGGGACACACACGCCCAGATCGCCACATACCAGACCGGGAAGACAGTCAGTCTTGGCCTGGCAAGCTGAACCTGACTTGGGCACACAGATGCCCGCGGAGCCGCAGAAGTAGTTTTGCAGGCTGCACTCTCCGTCATTCTTGCAGGATGCCCCGATGTTGGGCACACAGATGCCAGCCACTGAGCAGCTGTAGTTGGGTGCACAGTCGCTTCCTTGCTTGCACACAAAGTTTCCTAGCACACAGACACCACCAGACGTACACTCGAATCCAGTGTTGCAGTCACTCGACCTCCTGCACTTGACGCCTCCAGGCACGCAGAGGCCAAGCGCGTTGCAGGTGAAGGGATCTTCACACTGGTCCGACGTCGTGCAGCTCAAGGCGTTTGGCAGGCAAAGCCCGGCTGAGCTGCAGGAGAAGCCGTTCTGACACTTGTTGGAGACATCGCAGAGGATGCCGCCGGCGACGCAGACTCCAAAGGAGCTGCAGATGAACCCTCCCTTACATTCCGAGTTGACACTGCACCCCTGACCACCGGGGATGCAGACCCCAAGACCACTGCAAATAAATCCAGCACCGCAGTCACCATTCCCTTCACACTTCAGATTGATATCGATGATACAAATACCAAGTTCGCTACAAATAAATCCTTGACCGCAGTCACTGTTCGTTCCACACGTTAAACCAAGATCGAGAGCGCAGACATCACCGCTACCACATGAAAATCCAGGTGCACAGTCATCGTTTTTCGAGCACTTGAGCGTGAGATCAAGTACACAGACTCCAGCCGGGTTGCAGACATAGTTGGTGTTGCAGTCCGTCGTAGCCTTGCAGAAGAATCCGAGATCCGGGGTGCAGATGCCGAGATTGTTGCACACAGATCCAGGCTTGCACTGGGCCGTAGCTGTACACTTCAGACCAGACGGGACGCAGATGTTGGCGTCGCTGCAAGTATATCCAGAGGCGCAGTTGTCGTCTGTCTCGCATCGCAGGCCAAGATCAAACTCACACCTGCCAGATGAGGTGCAGACAAAGCCTTGAGGACAAGCATTGGCGGAAGAGCAGGAGCCAAGGTCAGGCGCGCAGAAGCCGTTATCCGGGCAGAAGAAGCCGCTGAAGCAGTCACTGTCCTTGTTGCATGTGAGATTGGGCAGACAGAGGCCGGCGTCGCTGCACGAGAAACCAGCTGCGCAAGGGTTGGCTGGGCTGCAGGTAATGTCCGTCTTGACAACGCAAAGACCACCGATGCCGCAGACGAGCCCGTTCCCACAATCGCCGTTGGCCTTGCATCCTTGTCCGAGCGATGGGATGCAAATTCCGTTGTTGTTGCATGTGAATCCAGCTCCGCATTGTGTGCTGGAACTACAGCTTGAGATGAGATCAGGGACGCAGATACCAGTTCCCTGGCAGACATATCCAGTAGGGCATGTCTGGCCGCCTTTGCAAGTTGGGAAGATACTCTGCACGCAACTGCCGATGCTTGCACTGCAGATGAGACCACCGAGGCAGTCGTTGTCGCTCGTGCACTGCGGGATCAAACGGGGGACACACTGGCCACCCGAACTGCAGGTATAGCCTTCGGGGCAGGCATTGATTGACAAACAGACTCCCAAGCTCACTTCAAGGCACAATCCTGCGATGTTGCACACCTTGCCCTGGTCGCAATCCGTGTTGCTGGCGCATCCGAGCTGACAGGTTCCACCATTGCCACAGACGAAGCCGGGAAGACACTCGCTGTTGGCTTTGCAGGCAAGACCAAGCTCCGCGGTACAGATGCCGAGGCCGTTGCAGACGAAGCCTCGGCGACAGTCCGAAGAGGCACTGCATTTGAGCTTGGGGTCGATGGTACAGACACCCAGGTCGCCACAGACGTATCCTTGTTGGCAGTTGCTGTCGCTGGTACAGGAGAAGTTCAAGGTTGGTGCGCAGACATTCAGAGAGCCACAGGCGAACCCTGGCTGGCAATCACTGGCGCTTCCACAACCCAATCCAAGGTTGGGAATGCAGAGTCCGCCGAGGCCGCAGATCGAACCAGGCCCGCAGTCGGCGTTCTTGGAGCAGAAGAGGTTGCGGTCCGGCACGCAGATGCCACCGTCACCGCAAACATAGTTGGAGAGGCAGTTGTCGTTGGAAGTACACTTCACACTGAGATCCGGAGCACAAAGGCCAGCTTGGCTGCAGAGGAAACCCTGGGCACAGTCACTCTTCTGGGTACAGACAAGGCCGGCTCCAGGGACGCAGAGACCTCCGAGCCCACAGGTGAATCCGTTCTGACAATCCTGATTATTTGAGCATGCAAGGTTGAGGTCCGGTGTGCAGATTCCAGAAAGACGGCAGATGAATCCACGCTGGCACTGGTTGCCTGCAGAGCATTTGGCCACACTGAGATCGGGTGTGCAGATGCCGGCCAGGCCGCAGGCAAATCCGGCGTTGCAGTCCGCGTTGGTCTTGCAGATGAGATCAAGAGACAGACTGCAGATGTTAAAGTCGTTACAGATGTATCCGCGATCACACTCAGCTGATGTAGCGCACTGAATGCTGGTGGCGGGAACACAGAGACCGCGATCACTGCACTCGAAGCCATCGAGGCACTGGTCATTGGATTTGCAGTCGAGGCCGAGCTTGGCGGTACAGATTCCAGCGAGGTTACAGAACTTTCCTTGCCCACACTCGCTATTCGTTGTGCAAGCAAGTTTAGGGTCCGGCAGACAGAAGCCAAGGCTGCCACAGATGAATCCTGCGAGGGGACAGTTGCTGTTTGTCTGACAAGAAAGCTGGAGGTCGACGATGCAGACTCCAGAAGGACTACAGCTGAAACCAGGAAGGCACTGGCTGTTGGATCTGCATTGGAGGCTGAGGTCTGGCAAGCAGATACCGGCAGGACCGCAGGCGAGACCAGGCGAGCAGTCATTCTTCGAGCTACACAAGCCCGCAGTGCCTGGAAGACATATTCCCGCGGATGTGCACTCATATCCACCATCACAGTCCTTGCTGTCTGTGCAGAGACCCAGATTGTCTGGCACACAGAGGCCTGCCTTGGCGCAAATGAATCCTGAAGCGCATGGCTGGGAGCTGGAGCAAGTGCCCAGGATATCGGGAACGCAGAAACCGCTGCCTCCACACGAGAATCCTCGCAGACAATCGTTGTTGGAAGTGCACTTGCCAAGAATATCGGGGATGCAGAACCCCGAGGATGAGCATATTTCGTTGGGCTTGCACTCACTGGCTGAGCCGCATGCTGGGCTTAATTGAGGAATACAGAAGCCACCGATGCCGCAAAGAAGACCACTTCCACAGTCACTTGTCGAGCCGCAGGCTCCAGGAGCCTTGATAACACAGATTCCAGCGATGCTACAGATGCGTCCGGTGCCGCACTCTGTCGATGTTGTGCATTTATCTAGCCCGGGCGGGATGCAAAGACCAAGAATCCCACAGGTGTAGTCGTTCTGGCAGTTACCATTTGATGTGCATGCTCCGGGAATGTCAGGGACGCAGATACCTCCAATACCACAGAGGAGTCCAGCGCCACAGGGGCTGGAAGAGCTGCAAGTAACTTCAATCTGGGGAATACAGAGCCCAGCAACGCCGCAGAGGAGCCCTGGGCCGCAATCGGTGTTTGTTCCACAGCTGGGGAGAATCTTGGGCACACACAAGCCAGTAGAGCTACAAAGGAGGTCGGTATCGCAGTCTGTATTCGAGGAGCAGGATCCTGTGAGCTTGGGAATGCAAGTGCCCGCTGCGCTGCAGAACAATCCGCCAGTGCACTCGGTGTCGGACTTGCATCGACCAGGAAGCTGTGCCACGCAACGGCCTTCAGCACCGCAGACGAATCCGAGGAGGCAGTCGTCTGTAGCCTCGCAGATTCCGGAAAGATTGGGAGTGCAGAGGCCGCCAGGTCCACAGCTGTAACCAGGGCTACACTGGGCCTTGGTGGTGCAGAGACCAGGGAGATTGACAATACAGTTGCCGCCGTTGCCACAAATGTATCCTGGCTGGCACTGCGTGTTCTCGTCGCACTTCTCGACAACTTTGGGGATACAGATGCCAGCGAGACCACACACAAAGTTTGGTGCGCAGTTGCTTGTAGAGTCGCAGGTAGGCAGAATGTCTGGGACACAAATCTCTGCTGGTCCGCAGCTGAATCCAGCATCGCAGGTTTGGGATGCGGAACATTTGGCGAGACTCGCTGTGCAGAAACCAAGTGGTCCGCAGGTAGAGTCGGTCTGACAATCGGTTGAGCTGAGGCAAGGACCCAAAAGCGACGATATACATTGTCCCCCGAATCCGCACCCGAAACCAGGCTGGCAGTCAGAACTCTTTGTGCACTGGCTGTTCGGGGAATCAGCGCTGCAGAAGCCGAGAGTATTGCAAACCTTTCCGGTAGGGCAATCGTTGGCTGCGGTGCATGTTTGAATAGTGGAGGGAACACAGTGGCCGGATATTCCACAAATGAAGCCGTTGGGGCAAGGGGAGTCGCTTCCACAACTGACGAGATCATTGTTCGAGACACAAACACTGGCAGGCCCGCAGTAGAATCCGGAAGAGCAAGGCTCATTGGGTCCGCAAGTGTTGATCAGCTTGGGGGCGCAGACTCCGAACGCGGAACAGATTTGGTCTGCTGAGCAATCGTCGTTTTTGGTGCATTTTGAGCTGTCAGGAACACAGATGCTACCCGAACCGCAAATGGATTTAGGAGGACATTCGAGAGACGTCAGGCAGTACTGGGGAGTGTCCTGGGGTACGCAGAAGCCCAGGGCTCCGCATGTATAGCCTGTGCCGCAGTCAGTCTGCGCGGTACATGTTGTTGGCAACAGGTTTGGCACGCAGAAACCAGACGGGTTGCAGGAGAATCTAGGGCCGCAATCGGTATCCTTCGAGCACGTGTCGAGCAATGATGGGAGACACAGACCAGCGAGACTGCAAACCAGTCCAGAAGCGCAGGCCTGGTTAGCATCGCAGGCTGGTACATTTGATGGGACACAAACACCAGCAATGCCGCAAGTGTAGCCGGGAAGGCATGGCTTACTGGCACTGCAAGTAGGCACCAAGTCGGGCACACATAGACCCAATGGGCCACAGGTTAGACCGGCACCACAGTCACTAGGCTGAGTACAGGTGCTGATGCTCACAGATACGCAGAGACCGAGGCTTCCACAGGCAAGACCAGGACCGCAATCGATGTTGGTGTTGCAAGAGTTGGGGAATCTCGGAAGGCAAAGCCCAGCCGTGCATTGAAGAGGTGCGTCGCAAGTAAGTCCGGCAGCAACATCGCACTGGGGTAGAAGATTGGGGACACAGAGACCACTGGAGCTACATGTGAGATTGGGGCCACAGTCGGTGGCCACGGCGCAAGTGGCGAGCGCCTCGGGGAAACAGAAGCCCGCAGGTGAGCAGGCATATCCGCTTCCACATGCTTTACCATTCTTGCATTCGTCGATGACTGGTGGGAGGCAGAAGCCCAGGGTACAGACCAGTGGGCTTGCGCAGTCGCTCGAAGCCCGACAAGTTGGTAGGGCTTCTGGGATGCACACGCCGTTACTGCAAGTCTTTCCAGGACCACAATCCGCCTTCGTGGAGCAGATAGGGAAGATGTCTGGGACACAGAAACCCAATCTACAGACCAGGGAGCTTGCGCATTGGCCATTGCCGCTGCAAGTAGGAGTGTTATTTGGCAGACAGAAGCCAGCCTTGCAGACAAGGTCTGATCCACAGTCGAGCGAGGCTTGACATTGCTTCGCTGCATTTGGGAAACAAAGCCCTCCAGAACAAGTCTGATCCGTATCGCAGTCGGTGGCAGTCTTGCAGAGAGGCAGACCAGGCGGCACACAGGTGCCCAGCTTACAGATCAAAGAGCCGCTGCACTTGTCATTGCTGTCACAACTGGGGAGAATGTTAGGAAGACAGAATCCAAGTGTACACGAGAGGGAATTGGGGCAGTCCGAGTTTTGGGTGCAGCTGTTAACCAGGTCAGGAACACAAATTCCACCCAAGCAATTATCTCCAGTGCTGCAGTCTGCCTTGACATTGCAAACGGGAATGGTGGGAGGAACGCAAAGTCCGAGCCTGCACTTCAGAGGATCCCTGCACTGGCTGCCCTGCGTGCATGGAGGGAGCACGGTGGGCAGGCAGAGGCCAAGGCTGCACTTGAGCCTATCGCTACCGCAGTCGCTGTCAGATAGACACTTGTTGATAGTCTGAGGGACGCAGATGCCACCAAGGCAGTTGAGTCCAGGGCCCTTGCAGTCAGTGCTAACATTGCAAAGGGCAAGGGAATCAGGAACGCAAGTACTCTGTCTACAGACAAGTGAGCCGGAGCACTGACTATCAGCTTGGCAAGCGGGAAGAATCTCAGGAAGACACAGCCCAAGAGTGCAGGTGAGAGAACCGGTACAGTCGGCCTTGGATTTGCAGGTTCCAGGAGTATTAGGAATGCAAATGCCGGCGATGCATGTCTCCGTCTGACCGCAGCCAGTCGAATCTTGGCAAACAGGAAGTGTACTTGGCAGGCATGTGCCCGACTTGCACACAAGGTCGTCGACGCAATCGATGTTGGTTCTGCATTGTCCGAGGCCTTGCGGCAGGCAGACGCCCAGGTTGCAGACAAGAGGCGCCTGGCACTCCGCTGTATCGCGACAAGAATCGACAAGGTCGGGAAGACAAAGTCCGCCCAAGCAGCTTGATCCAGTCTTGCATTCACGAGAGTCGGCACAAGATAGGACGAAGTCGGGTACACATTTGTCTTGCTTGCAGACTAGAGGGCTCTTGCACTCGGCACCATTTCCGCATGTAGGAAGAACGGGAGGAAGACATACGCCAAGAGTGCAGACGAGCGAGCCAGAACAATCTTCGTTGGCCTTGCAGCTCTGGACCAGATTAGGAACACAGATTCCAGCAAGACAACTGGCATTTTGATCACAATCGCTATTGACATTGCAGAGAGGAAGCGTTTTCGGTACACACGTTCCAGATCGGCAGACAAGGGAGCCGGTGCATTGTGTGTCGGTCTGACAATGGGGAAGAATACCAGGGAGGCACAAACCAAGCGTGCAGACCAGAGCGCCATCGCAGTCCTGAGTTGTCTGACATGTCGCGGCCAGATCAGGGACGCAAATGTCGGCAATGCAGCTGAACCCATTGCGGCAGTCTGAGCCACTCTTGCACAATGGGACGAAGTCTGGCACACAGGTGCCAAGGCGGCAGAGAAGGGGACTTCTGCAGTCCGATTGTGCTTCGCATGTTGGTAGGATCGGTGGAATGCAAACTCCAAGATTGCAGACGAGTGAATTGCCGCAATCGGCGTCCTTTCCACAAGTGGTGATGAATTGAGGAATACAAATATCAGCAATGCACTTTGAGCCTGCACTGCAGTCGCCGTCATTGTTGCACACGGGGACAGACTTGGGTACGCAAGTACCAAGTCGGCAGGCTAGAGAATCGCCACACTCGGAATCTGCTTGACATTGAGGTAGAATACCGGGGAGGCATAGGCCAAGCTTGCAGACCAGTGAATCTTTGCATTGAGTAGAATCCTTGCAGTTGTCGAGGAGATCGGGAACGCAGATGTTGGCAATGCAGCTTGAACCTTGACCACAGTCGCTGTTCGTGCTGCAAACAGGAACACTCTTTGGCACGCATGTTCCCAGTCTGCAGACAAGCTGGCCATCGCAGTTGCTATCGGTCTGGCAACCGGGCAAGATTTCCGGAAGACAAACGCCGAGTTTGCACACGAGCGAACCCGCACAGTCACTAGTGGTTTTGCACGAGTCGACAACGTTGGGGATGCAGGTATTGGCGATACAACCGGAACCAGTATCGCAGTCACTGTTGCTGCCACATCGAGGGATAGAGTTGGGCACACAAGTTCCAAGTCGACAAACGAGGGGATCGGCACAGCTGTTGGCAGCTCCCTCTTGACACGTCGGAAGAATCTGTGGTAAGCAAAGACCGAGGGTGCACGCAAGAGAACCACCGCAGTCACTATTGGTCTTGCAGTTATTGATTACCTTGGGAATGCAGATTCCAGCGGCGCATGTGGCTTCTTGGCCACAATCAACGTTGTTTAGACACACAGGTAGCACGTCTGGCACACAAGTACCTGATTTGCACGAGAGTGGGCTTTTGCATGGATTGCTGCCGTCGCAGGTGGGCAGAATTCTTGGTAGACATACACCAAGTGTGCACGCCAGGGAGTCGCTGCAATCCTCGTCTTGCTTGCAATTCTGCAAGAGATCGAGATCTGGTACACAGATATCAGCAATACAGCTAGACCCGCCAACGCAATCATCGCTATTGTTGCAAAGGGGTACAGTCTTAGGAACACAAGTGCCTTGACGACAGACCAATGGGTCCTTGCACCCATCATCGTTCTCACATGCAGGCAGAATCTGAGGCAGGCAAATTCCAAGCGTACACACCAGAGAGCTGCCACAGTCAGTGCTGATCTTGCAGGTGTTCGGGACGTTTGGAACGCAAATATCCGCCAGGCAGCTATATCCTGCGTCGCAGTTGGTGTTGCTATTGCACACTGGTAGGGTTTTGGGCACACACTTCCCGATGCGGCAGACCAGAGGATCTTCGCACTCGTTGTCAGTGGCACAAGACGGAAGTATCTCAGGGAGACAAACACCGAGGGTACAAGTAGAGGAAGCACCGCAGTCTTGAGCCGTCTGGCAATTCTTGACCAAGTCAGGGACACATATACCTCCCAGACACTTGCTGTCACTGCCGCATTGTGAACTGCTTTGACAGACTGGAAGGGATTTAGGAATGCAAGTTCCATCTCTGCAGACGAACGGATCCTTGCACTCGTTTGTGCTATCACAGATTGGAAGTACCTTCGGGAGACAAACACCAAGGGTGCAGGCGAGAGAGTCTGACTTGCAATCTGCGTCGAGTCTGCAGCTGCCCGGCGCTCTGGGGACACATATTCCCGCTAGGCAACTGTTCCCAGCTCCGCAGTCTTGGTCGTCGTTGCAGACGGGAAGGGCATCTGGAACACAGAGACCCTGTCTGCATACCAAGGGGTTCTTGCACTGGTTGTCACGTTCGCAAGCCGGCAGAATCTTGGGAAGACAAACCCCGAGTTGACATGTCAGAGCGTCGTATCGACAATCACGGTCGACGATGCAAGCATCAACGACGTCGGGGATACAGATATCGGCCACGCAGCTGTAGCCTTGAGCACAGTCAAGGTTGACACTGCATATGGGAAGGGAACCGGGGACACATACTCCTCGTCGGCATACTAACGGATCCTTGCACTGCAAGTCGTCTGTACCATCACATGTTGGCAAGATCTTGGGAAGACACAGGCCTTCGGTACAGGCCAAGGGCGCGATGCAATCGCCATCCGCTCGGCAAGTGTTGGGAACCTTGGGAATGCAAATACCGCCAACGCACGTGGTGCCTTGAGCACAGTTCAAGTCGGAATTGCAGATAGGGAGTGAGTCAGGGACGCAGGTGCCTGATCGGCAAACCAGAGGATTTAGGCATTGGTTGTCGGTAGCACACGTGGGAAGGAGATCTGGGAGGCAGAGCCCCAGAGTGCACACGAGAGGCGAGGCACAGTCCTGATTGGCCTTGCAGGTGGCGACGATCTCGGGAACACAGAATCCAGAGACACAAGTTGCTGTTCCTTCGCAGTCGCTGTTCGCCTGGCAGCCAGAGCCAGAGGTGGGAGTGCAGATGCCTGCGCTGTTGCACGAGAAGCCCTGAGGGCAAGACGTGTTGGCGTCGCACGTGACCTGGAAATTGGGCACACACAATTTGCTGCTTCCACACCGGAAGTCGGCTGGGCACTCACCATCCGCCTTGCAGGCCAGCGACAGGTTCGGAATACACAGTTTGGCATTGTTGCAGACGAAACCCGTGTTGCATTCTGAATTCTGGTTGCAGTTCACACCTGGCAAGTCGGGCACGCACAGGTCTGCGACACCACAGACGTAGCCGCGAGGGCACGATTTCTCAGCACCACTGCAAGGGAATCCAGTGTCCGGCACACAGAGACCCGTGATGCCGCACTTGAAACCAGTTGGGCAGATTCTGCCGCTCGTACCGCTATTCGTACACGCAAGGTCGATGCCAGGGACGCAAATGCCAGCAAGACTGCATCCAAATGTGGCCTCACACTCGGCGTTGGTGGTGCATGTGCCAAGCAGATCTGGCACGCATACCCCGAGGGTGTTGCACACCTGGCCGGCACTGCATTTTGTGTTGGTATTGCAGTTGAGAACTTGAGGGATGCAGAGATTCAACGGCTGTCCGCTGCAGACCAAATTAGGAGCGCAGTTCCCGTTGGAACCACACGAGAGCCCAAGATCAGGAATACACAATCCGCCCAGGCCACAGAGGAGACCTGATGCGCAGTCACTGTTAGCTTTGCATGTGCCAGATTTTGGCAGACAAAGACCAGCTGGTCCACAGCTCTTATCCTGGCCGCAGTCGGCATCCGTCTCGCAACCAAGGTCGATCTTGATGCAAAGCCCGAGAGGACCGCACTTGAACCCAAGGAGACAATCAGTGTCCGCCTGGCAAGTCAAACCGCCTCCTAGGACGCATTGGCCAGACAAGTCACAGATGAGGTTTCCAGAGCAATCACGGCTCGATTTGCAGTTCAAGTCACCTGAAGGGATGCAAAGCCCAGCCGGACTGCAGACAAGGCCCTTCTCACACTTGTCGTTGTTCTGGCAAGAGAGTAACTTGGGGATACAAAGACCGGCAGGACCGCAGAAGTAGCCCGTCGAGCAGGCATCGTCCCCTTTGCAGAGAAGATCGCCAGGAATACACACCCCGGCAGGTCCGCAGGTCAGCCCAGTTCCGCATTCGCTGTTCGACTGGCAACCCAAGTTGGAAGGGATACAGACACCGAGGGGGCCGCACTTGAAACCTGGTGAGCAGCTGGTGTTTGCATTGCACGTCACACCGCCACCGGGCAGACAGATTCCTGCGCTGCCGCAGACAAAGCCTTGAATGCAATCATCATTCGCGCTGCACAGAAGCTTTTTCGGGACACAAACGGATTCGGGCCCGCATGTTTCGCCTTCGTCACAGTCAACGTCATTTGAACAGAAGAAGGCGTCCAGAACGCAAGTCCCTGCAGGACCGCAGCGGTAACCACTCAGGCAGTCAGCATTTGACTGGCAAAGGACATTGCTAACAGAAACACACAAATTCGCAACGCCGCAGGTCAATGGGGCTTTGCAGTCCTCGTTCTTGGTACAGAAAAGCGGGGTTGGAACACAGAGTCCAGATACACTGCAGTCGAATCCAGTATTGCAATCATTCTTAGTCTGGCAGCGAAGATTGCTGGGAATGCAAATGCCAACTGGGCCACAGGAGTGGTCATCGGGGCAGTCAGGGTTGGCTTTGCAGAAGAGGTTTCCAATAGGAATACAAAATCCGGCTGGACCACAAGTGAAGCCCTGTTGGCAAGGCTGTGAAGCGTTACAGAGAAGATTTCCTGGGACACATAGTCCTGCACTGCCACAGACGTTGCCTTGCTTGCAGTCTTCATTCTTGGAACACACAAGATTTCCAACATCAGGCACACAGGTTCCATCCAGCCTACATACCTGGCCGCCAGTGCAGTCGCTGTTCTTCTTGCAGCTAAGATCGGGGACGCAGAGGCCAGCCGTACCGCAAGCGAATCCTGGAACACAGTCGTTCTTGGTCGTGCACTTTAGATCGTTGGAGGGAATGCAGAGACCGGAAAGGCTGCAGACAAACCCATTGGAGCAATTGTTATCGCTACTGCAGACCAAGTAGTTCGGGATGCAAAGACCCGCTCTTGAGCATGCAAAGCCTTGACCGCAATCCTCATTCTTCGAACAGAAGAGGGTGTCCGGAACGCAAAGGCCTGCTGGGCCACAGACGAATCCAGTGTTGCAGGAGTTTGAACTGCCGCAGTCCAAGCCCTCTGGGACGCACAACCCTGCGCTACCACAGACAAATCCTCGGCCACAATCATTATTAGCTTTGCAGGTCACGGAGTTTGGAGGCAAGCATGTTCCAATCGAGCTGCACTCGAATCCTCCGGTGCAATCTGTATTAGCCCTGCACCCAAGGATCTCAGGGACGCAAAGTCCCAAAGGACCACAGTTGAAACCGGCGTTGCAATCAGACTTGGACTTGCAGCCAAGAGTTTGAGGAATACACAGCCCGGCTGGACCGCAGACAAATCCGCTTCGGCAACTGGCGTCTGTACTGCAACCCAAGTCCTTGGGAATACAGAGCCCGGCCAAACCGCAAATGAAGCCATCGCCACACTCTGCGTTTTCCTTGCAGGTCAACTCCCCGACAGTAATGCAAAGACCAATCGGGCCACACTTGAGGCCTACATCACAGTCCTTGTCCAGCTTACAGGTGAGGACTTTGGGAATGCAGATGCCACCCTTGCCGCAGGTAAGATCAGATGCACAATCCTGATCAGTCTGGCAGACCAGATCATCAGGCAGGCAAAGACCTGCAGATCCACACTTGAAGCCCTGAGGGCAATTTTGAGTGGCAGAGCAAGTCAGTTCGCCAGTTGGGAGGCAAAGGCCGGCTGGACCGCAGGCAAACCCTGGAGAACAATCGCCATTGTTGCGACAGCTGAGCGAATTGGGAATACAGATGTTCAAAGGGCCACAGGTGAGTCCCTTGTCACAATCCTCCGAGGTATTGCAGGTGTTCTTGGTAGCTGGGATGCAGAGGCCACCAATGCCACATGTGAAGCCTGCAGCACAATCCTTCTCCGTCTCGCAAGTAAATCCCTTGGGGATGCAGAGACCAGAAAGACCGCAAACAAAGTTTGACTCACACTCATTGTTGCTCTTGCAGCCCAGCTGGACGTCGAGGCAAATCTTTAGCGGGCCACACAGGATATCACCAGGGCAATCTGAATCGATTTGACACTGCTTATCGGGCGAAATGCAAAGATTGGCCAAATTACACAGCAATCCCTGTGCGCAGTCCTCATTCTTGCTACAGGTTGAGAAGTCGCCAGGAACACAGTATCCGGCTGGGCCACAGCTCAAGCCAAGAGCGCAGTCGCCCTTCACCTTACAAGGAAGACCAGAGAGAAGAGGGTTGACGCAAAGCTTTGCTGGGCCACAAACGAAACCGTTCTTGCAGTCCTTCGCTGTCGTGCAGGCCAAATCGCTCTTCAGGATACAAGTGTTCAACGGGCCACAGGCAAATCCGAGCTGGCAGTCGTTGTCCTTGGTGCAGCTGGGTGCCTTGGGAATACAATACTTATTGGCGCCGCAAGAGAATCCCACAAGGCAATCACCGTCCACGTTGCAGCTCAAGTCGTTTGCGGAAATACACTGCCCAGACAGGCTGCACTTGAAGCCAGACAAGCACTCCTGGTCAGACTTGCAGACAAGAGTCGTGGGAGAGCAGAAGCCGGCCCTGTTGCAGCTAAAGCCGGGTTTGCAGTCGGTATTGGTCGTGCAACGCAGGTCCTCAAGCTCGCACGAGAGGTCGAGAGTGCAAAAGTTGCCAGGGGCACAGTCCGTATCGCTGGCGCAACCGCCAACGACATTCGGGACGCAGTTCCCAGCGGGATTGCAGTTGAAGCCGGGGAGACACTGATTATTGTTCTGGCAAGCTGGACCGGTCTTGATGCACTGCTTGAGAGGTCCACAGGTGAAGCCCGTATCGCAATCGCTGTCCTTCTGGCATGTGAGACCGGTACTTGGAATGCAGAGCCCAAGGGGTCCGCAGACTGACCCAGTACCACAGTTGGCATTTGTTCGGCAAATCCTGTTGCCTTGGATGCAAAATCCAGCTGGCCCGCAAGAAAAGCCCTCGCCGCAGCTATTTGAAGTGCGGCAGAGGGCCGAGTTGGGAATACAGAGTCCGGCTGGCCCGCATGTCGACTTGCTATCGCAGTCTGTGGCAGATAGGCAAGGCTTGTAGTCAGGGATGCAAAGGCCAGCAGCGCTGCAGATGAGACTGTTTCCACATTCAGCATTACCCTGGCAACTTTGCAGAGTCGGGATACAGATTCCAGAAGTGCCACACTTGTAGCCCTGGCCACATTCACTGTCGGCCTTGCAGAGAGGGTCAGTTGGTTCCGTACATAGCCCCAGAGGGCCACAGACGAATCCCGGAGCGCAATTTGCATTGGTCTGGCAACCAAGGTTCTCTGGAAGACAGAGGCCACCAACGCTGCAGGCAAAGCCCGCGCCACAGTCTTCATTCTTCTGACAAAGTGCTACCTCTGGAATACAGAGGCCGGTTGGCCCACAGATGAATCCAGCGCCACAGTCCTGTTTGCCTTGGCAATTATTGACCTTCGGGATACAGACACCTCCAGTGCCGCAAGTGAAGTTCGCAGGGCATTGGTTGTCCGTTCTGCACCCGGAAAAGTTCAAGATGCACTTCTTACTTTCGCTGCAGGTGTATCCAGTCGCGCAATCGGTGTTTGAGGTGCAAGTGAGGCCAGGAACGGCAACGCAGAGCCCCAAAGGACCGCAGGTTTGGCCAACTGCACAGCTACTGTCATCTTTGCAAGTAAGATCCTTGGGTATACAGAGACCCGCAGGGCCACAGAAAAACCCAGTGCCGCAGTTTGCGTCAAGCTGACACAGAGCGCCGCCTGGAATACACTTGTTGGAAGGTCCACAGATGAGGCCATCGGGGCACTGTCCGTTGCCTTGACAGTCTCCAGGAATAGGCACGCAGATGCCAGTGGCACCACAGCTAAAACCAGCCCGGCAGCCTTGGTCGTTTTGGCAGGTTCCAAACTCTGGAATACAGAGGTTGGCTGGACCACAAATGAAACCGTCCTGGCAGCCACGGTTGTTGTTGCAGGTGGGAGCGATACAGAACCCGTTCGGGCCACAGACAAGTCCACCATTGCAATTATCGTTTGTGATGCACGCAAAACCAACGTCAATGCAAAGTCCCAGAGGGCCACAGATGAGGCCGAGCGTGCAATCGCTTGGAACGGTGCAGGCTGTGCTTCCTCCAGGAACGCAGACACCCCGAGGACCACAAACAAGGCCATCGCGGCAATCCGTATTGGCCCTGCAGAGCAAGGGGTCTTCGATACAGATCCCGAGCGGGCCGCAAATGAAGCCGACTGCGCAATTGTCATTCGTCCTGCAGACAGGTGAACCGTCAGGGATACACACGCCGTTAGGGCTACAAGCGAGTCCTGGTCCGCAGTCTGCTTTCGATTTGCATCCCGGCTGGCCTTGTGGGATGCAGACACCCGAGGGACCACAAACAAATCCAGCATTGCAATCTTGTTGGCCGGTACAAGTATCGGTAGGCCCTGGGATACAAATACCTAGAGGCCCACAGATGAAACCCTTCTCGCAGTTTTGGCCTGTCTGGCAAAGAGGTGAGCCAGGTGGGACGCACACTCCCAGAGGGCTGCAGACGAGACCTCCAGAGCAGTCACGATTTCCCCGGCAAGTGCCCGCGGTGTCCGGAACACACGTCTTCGACAGTCCACATACGAAGCCTGGGTTGCAATCCTTGTCCAAAGTACAGTTGTTGGTGGTATCCGAGGTACAGATACCAAGCGTCCCGCAAATTTGGCCAAGACCGCAGTCCTTATCGTTCTGGCACAAGGCCGAGCCATCTGGAACGCAGACTCCGAGAGGGCTGCACACACGTCCGATGCCACAGTTGCCACCTGCAGTGCACGAATCGGAGCCTTTAGGGATACACACGCTGGATGGGCCGCAGATGAACCCGACGCCGCAGTCGATATCCGCAGTGCACTTGGGGTCCGAAATGCAGATACCATTCGGTCCGCACACTTGACCTGGACCACAATTTGCGTTCGACTGACAAGACCCTTCGACTTCAGGAATGCAGGTTCCGGCTGGGCCACATTCAAAACGTGGCGGGCAGTCGCCTTTGACAGTGCAACGGGTACCACCTCCCGTGATGCAGATTCCAAGGGGACCGCAGATGAGGCCGAAGTCACAGTTTTCGTTTGTGGTACACAGGGGAGAGCCATTCGGAACACAGACACCGGTAGAGCTACAGACTTGACCAACTCCGCAAATCTGTCCTCCAGTCCCGCATGTAGGCTGACCACGCGGAATGCACTTCTTGCTAGGCCCGCAGATGAATCCAGCAGCGCAGTCCTGGTCGACAGTGCAGCTGCCGCTGGTATCCAGGACACAAGTGCCGAATGGCCCGCAGATAAAGCCGAGGTCGCACTTCCGGTTTGTGTCACAGAGTAGAGACTCGTCGGAAACACAGACACCAGCAGAACTGCACACCTGTCCAGTCTTGCAAGGCCGGGTCGGGCCACAGACATCTGGGGTCGAAGGGATGCAGGTCTTTGACGGCCCACAGATATATCCGCCCTGGCAGTCTCTATCCAGAGTGCAGCTGCCATTATCATTCGGGATACACGTACCGAGCGGTCCGCAGATAAATCCGGGGGCACAGTTTGCGTTGGAACGACAATCAGGAGAACCGGAGGTGACGCAGACGCCCGCCGGGCTGCAAGAACGCCCAGTGCCGCATTCCTTATCAGACTTGCAAGTGTCTTGACCTCCAGGGATACAAACCTTCGCGGGACCGCAAATGAATCCAGTTCCACAATCGGTGTTGAGGTTGCAGGTATTGCTACCAGGAACGCAAGTGCCAAGCGGGCCACAGACGAGGCCAGGGCCGCAATTGGCATTCGAGGTGCAAGCCGGTGAATTATCCAGGACGCAGGTGCCGCGTGGGGTGCAAATACGGCCGACGCCACAGTCTTGGTTGGTCTTGCAGGAATCATTACCTCGAGGGACGCACGTCTTCAAAGGCCCGCACACAAAGCCTTCGCCACAGTCTCCGTCGCCAAGGCAATTGTTGGTTCCAGGGATGCAAACTCCAGTTGAGCTACAGATAAGACCGTTGCCGCAGTCCTTGTCCGCGCTGCAGGTATCTTGATCTCGAGAGATACAGACCTTAGCAGGGCCACAAATAAAGCCTTCGCCGCAGTCTTTGTCGAGAGTGCATGTGTTGGTTCCAGGGATGCAAATTCCGGCTGGGCCACAGATGAACCCAATATCGCAACTGTCAATCGAAATACAGACTGGAGAACCGGTAGGGACACATGCGCCGGTCGGGCTGCAGATACGACCAGTGCCGCAGTCCTTGTCGACGCTGCATGTGTCTTGACCTCGAGGAACACAGACCTTGGCAGGGCCACAGATGAAGCCCTGGCCACAGTCACCATTGACGCTGCAGCCGTTAGTCCCTTTGATACAGATTCCCAGCGGACCACAAATGAGGCCAATGTCGCAGTTGGCATTAGTCTGGCAAAGGGCAGAGTCTGGAGGGACGCAAGTGCCAGTTGAACTGCATTTACGGTTGGGGCCGCAATCCCGATCAACTTTGCAAGTCTCTTGATCCTCGGCAACACATTCGTTAGTAGGGCCGCAGATGAAGCCTCCGCCACAGTCCTCATTGGAGCTGCAACTGTTCGTTCCAGGAATACATGTGCCGGCTGGCCCACAGACGAATCCGTTGTCGCAATCATCGAGCGTGGCGCAGGTTGTGGGAGGAGCACAGATTCCGCGGGGATTGCAAACAAGACCTCCGAGGCAGTCAGAATCCTTGGTGCATGGGGTTTCGGTTTTCACTTCACATTTTCCACGGACACACGACTGACCCTTTCCACAGTCGCTATCCTTGAAGCACGACCCAGGGCCAGAAGGTGTTTGGCACTTTCCATGGATGCATGATTGACCATTGGTGCAATCGCCGTCCTTAGTACATGATCCAGGACCAGAAGGCGTCTGACACTTGCCATTGATACAGGACTGGGTATTACCACAATCATTATCGTTGGTGCAAGATGCAGGGCCGGAAGGCGTCACACACTTTCCACGGATACATGAGAGGCCCGTAGCGCAGTCGTTATCCTTCGTGCATGATCCGGGTCCAGAAGGTATTTGACATTTACCATTGATACACGACTGGCCGCTGACGCAGTCAATGTCTTGAGTGCATGGAGGCACGGAAGACACATCACATTTCCCGCTGATACACGACTGGCCTGCGTCACAGTCAATGTCATCAGAACAATCGGGACTTGGCACCGTTCCAAGTGTGCAGACTTTGTTGATGCATAAACAGAGGTTTCCTGTACAAGGCTTTCCTTCGATCTGACGACCAAGGCAGTCAGCGTCGGTGGTACAACCCGACGTCGACACGCATGCGCCATTCTGGCACTTCTTGCCTCGACCACAGTCAGCATCCAAGGTGCAGCCTGGCGAGTCGACAAGAACGCAGTAGCCACCTTCACAAGCGTGGCGAGGAGGGCATTCGGCATCTTTCTTGCAGCTTCCACCAGGTGGGGTTGTGGACGGCACGCAAGTTCCGTTTTTGCAAACCTGGTTGGGGGCACAGTCGTTGCTCTGCGAGCATGTGGCTGGCACAACGCATTTCCCGTCCTGACACTTCTGACCGGAGGGGCAGTCATTGCTTGTCGTGCAGGTCTGAGGATTCGTAGAAGGGACACAGATACCACCGTTGCAGATCTCGTTGGATGAGCAGTCGAGGGTCTTCTCGCAGTAGTTGGGTTGGGCAACACATTTCTTTCTTCTGCACACCTTTCCAATGCCACAGTCTTTGTCTTTAGAACAGATGCGGTGGGCTGTATCCTCATAGATACACGTCCTGTCCCGGCAGACCTGTCCAATACCGCAATCATTGTCGGTGGTGCAGCCAAAGGGGTTTGTCAAAGGAATACACTTGCCACCATCGCAAATGTGGTCAGGTCGGCAGTCAGCGCTGCTTGAGCAGATGGTAGTCCCAGTTGAGAAGCAAGTACCGTTTCGGCAGGAAAGCCCATCACCGCAGTCTGTGCTGGTCCGACAGAAGCTCGGGATACATGTTCCGCTTCGGCAAATGCGGCCACTGGTACAGTCGAAGTCGCTCGTGCAGCTTGGCTGTGGGTTGGAGGGTACACACTTGCCGCTGCGGCAGACTTCACCGGCGAAGCATTCGGAGTCGAGGGAGCACTTTCCAGGTGTGCTAGAAGGCTGGCACGTCCCATTGACGCAAGTCTCAAGAGGCTCACAGTCGGAATCGGCCAGGCAGGTGTCAATGGACGGGATGCATTGCCCCTTTTTGCAGACATGCCCTCCAGGACAGTCGGTTGTGCTTACACAGCCGGAAGGTCCAGTTGAAGGAACGCACACTCCCTTGACACAGGCGTGGTCTGAACCACAGTCTGTATTTTGAGAGCAGCTTGTCTGACCGCCAGAGACAACACATCCGCCATTCTTGCACACTTTACCAGGGCCACACTCTGTGTCAATAAAACAGCTTGGCTGTCCAACAGAGGGTACACATGCTCCCTTCTTGCATACCTTGCCAGAGCCGCACTCGTCATTACTCGAGCAGCCAGGTTGGCCACCCTTGACCACACATGCACCGTTTCGGCAGACCTGGTTCCAGTCACAGTCCTCTTCTCCAGAGCATGATCCGAGTTGAACATCAGAATCATCTCCAGGGCGAGGTCCGGGATGATCACCATTTTCTACTGGTGGATAGCCAGTGAAAGGGGGGCAGCCTTCATCACAGGGCGCAGAGTCGTCAACAAAAGTCTGCTCGCCACCAGGGCTGGGCCGGTAATCAGATCCAGAAGAAACGAAGTCGCCACCGGGGCTAGGCCGGTTTCCAGGTTGAGGAGATATGTAGCCGCCGCCAGGGCTGGGCTGGTTTCCATATTCAGGAGATGGGCGCTCTCCAACTCCTGGTGCCGGGGCTGGCCCTACTGCCGGTGGTCCAACCGGCGAGTCACCAAGTGGCGGGAAGATCTGAGTGGGAGAAGAGCAACGGGTGAGTTTGTTGGACTCGGTCTGGTTGCGCATGTCCACGCAGACACCAGATACGCAGAGCTCTTGGCTTCCACAGGGCGGACCTCCCTCACCACAGTGGGTAGGGTCTAAACTAATAATAATCGGGACACACTTGTCAAAACGACAAACCTGGCCGGGCTCGCACTTTTGGCAGCCTGAGCCACATGAAAGAGGGTCGCCTGTGATATTGAGCGGCGTGCATTTGTCGGAAATGCAGAGCTCGCCAGGAGCGCATTTATCGTCTTTTTGGGCACAGTTGTTGACGTCCAGCCCTACGCGGAAGGATCGACATACTCCTTTCTCGCAAGGTGTTTTTAATGGACAGTCATTGTCGATTGTGCAATTCTGTGGGATGGTTCCGATATCGAAAGGCCTACATTGGCCGTTGAAGCAATAATTTCCGGGGGCGCAAGGTGTTTGGTCCTTGCCGCAGTGTAGAGGGTCGGGGATGGTGTCAAGGTCAATGCAGATGCCGTTGACACAGATCTGGTTGGCCTTGCATTCTTCGTTCTTGGGGCCACAATGTAATGGGTCGGCGAAGATCTCAATCGAGACGCACTCGCCTTCGCTACACCATTGACCTGGCTTGCATTGCAGGTCTTTCTCGCCGCAGTGGAGCGAGTCGCAGGGGAAGTCGAGGTGGACGCACTCTCCGGCGACACAAATATATCCCGGCTCGCACTCATATCCTTTGCGTCCGCAGTTTGCAGCGTCGATGCCGACGATGGACTGGGTGCAGGACCCTCCTATACATAAATTTGAAGCCGGGCATTCTGGCTTGTTATCTTGGCGTCGCCATAATCGGCTGAGGTTGAGGTCAAAGTCAACAATAATATCGTCTTTTCCAGGGAAGGTGAAGGCATCTGCAGATGGCAACGCGAGCGACAGCAGCGCCGCCCGGTTCCACCATTGGATTCCTGTGGCCATGGTTGTGGGTTTGGCCAAATTGTTGGACTTGAATGACCTGAACAGTTTCGTTTTAAGTTTCTGGCCAAGAGATTGCTTTGATTGCCAGAACAAAACCGTTTGAGCTTTGGCAACTCTATTATATATTGCACCATCCTGCTGGACATCCCAATTCAGAAGATTCAACGTCTTCGGTGTGCTTCTGCATTAGAGCAACGCTCCTCGGCAATGTCTCATTCCAAAGCGTCCATAACAGCACAGAGCCGCACTCGATCAGTGCTTCTGCCGTGTCAGATTTCCCGATATGTCGACCCTTAGAACGAATTGGGAAAGCCATGACAGCAAAAACGCTCGTTTCCATTCCTCAAGACACGGCAGAGATCCGACCATGCTTCCCCACGATCTTCAATGGCCGTTTTAGCATCAACATGGGAAAGTGGAGATAGTTCCCGAGATCCGGTGCAAAATTCCCCGACCATTGTCTAAGATGAACGGTGTGGATGCCGTATTCATCACGCTTGGAGAAGTTTTACGGATAACTATGGGACAATGCGTCGAGAACGGAACACTTCTAGGCCGAATATGGCAATATGTTTTCGAAAATCTCTGCTACCGGGTGAGACAGTAATTTCACGAGTCACGTCTGCAGAGTGGCAACAGACATTTACCGTTCTCAACATCTGTGTAACCTCACGTCAGGCCTTCCCACCATGACATACGCACTCACCGGTTCGGACGGTCCCGAGTCACCTGACACCTTGCTATTAGGCATTATTTCGTCACAGATTGGAGGCTGAGAGATGAGGTCAACTCTTAGCTTCTGCATTCAGGAACCATCGAGTTCGGCAATTGCCACTCAGACCTGCGAGACATGTCTTGGTTAATCTCCCGGGCAACATCCAATCGTCGCTCAGCTCAGTAGCGCAAGGGTAAAATTTCCTTCGGAGATTACATGAGTCATCGCCATCTAGGCAGACGGGTGCTGTCCGGCTGTTTTCTTCCCAAGCGTCAGACGTTGGGCGATCATGGAACTATCAGCTCTCTAGCTCCTATAGCAAAGATGGCAAATGACGTTACGAGCTATTAATATCCCTCGTCAATGGGGTGTTCGTAGTCCCCTCACTTTTGCCCGGAGACTTCAACCACCGACACAAGAACAACCCCTAAGTCAAGGAGCATCCCCATCTATGCGTCACCCGCACATGAACAAACTCGAGTCGCCGGAATGATGATACATACAGTCCATTATCAAGAACAGCCTTCCGTTTCTCGAAGTCGAAGTAAGACAGCTTAGAGCCATGTCCGCCGTGCGGATTATGACAGTCCGTAGAGTAGCGAGAGGAGCGAGCATACTCAGTACTAAGAAGGCCGTGTCGGGCCATTCATGCCGAAATCGGGTGTCTCACTCGCCTCGAGCCTAGCACTTGGGGCTTGTCGGCACAGCACCCACCAACCAGACCAAGCCGAAAGCGTCATCATGCGGAATGACGGGTGGACAATGCCCACCAGTTGCACCCTTCTTCTCCGCCTCGAAGGCTGGTTTGAGGCTCTTTGGCCTCTTGTCAGAAGCCTCGCTCTGCCCCATCGACCACATCCACCATATCTTTTCCGTGAACAGCCTTTGTGATCAGTTCCTCTACTTTTTACATGTTTACGCCTTTGTTCCACGCCGAAAAGGGCACAGGTCTACAAGATGAATTCAGACCATCTCGGCTGACCCGCACGGGAAGCTCATACGCGTACTTTTCTCCCTAGCTTCCGCGCACTACTCTCTAGCAGGCCGTTGCTAGCGTACATGACTACATGACGGTAGGTCCCTAGCGTGTCGGTTAGTATTCTGACTGTACATAAGCTTCGGAGATTTTTCTCCTAGTCCACACTGTCACCAATAAAGGACTTCTTCGAAAGTACATCAAGGAGGACAGCGTCCAAATGAGAACCAGCGGCCATTCACAGCGGCCGACCGGAGCTCATGATTCCGGAACAGTATTTTGTGCATGTAAACTATCATTACCAATCTTTCCAGTGAGGATCCGTGTCAGGTAAGTAAGGAAATAGGACTGTTTATGCGTGGGTGAGATGAGGAAAAAGTTGGGTCTACAGTTGCTTTCATACAGCTCCCACTACCATTCGATCTGGGTTTCTTTTTTTTTTTGCCCGGGGCACTTGCTGGCCAGTGTGTCCAATTATTTCATTTTTTATTTTGGTTCAACATGCAATGTTTATTCATAACTAGGTACATCTTGACCAATGAATGCGTCGTCAACATGAGATGAAGAGGCATTGGTGGCACGTGAAAACACACAAGAAACGGCCACCGTTCCCAGCGTTCCCACCATCCCGCGTCCAAGTCATCTCATTCTGTGTATTTCGTCCAAACCCTTAAGGGTACCCAATCTTGATCGGGGAGAAGCGCTGATCAGGCGAGACCACCTGGCCACCTGCGAGCTGCGTCTCCTTGTACGAAGGGAAGATGATGAGGTTCCGGGCCTCGTAGGAAATGGGCACGGCGGAGAATGGGTCGTCTCCAACCTGGTCATTGTACCCAGACTGGACGGAAAAGACGCCGCACTGGACCTTGGGTCCGTTGGTGTGAGAGGCCGGACTGCCCTGGACGGAGAAGGAACAGTCTGTGGTGGTGGCGGCGTCCTGGGTGTTGATGCGGAAGGACCAGTCGCACTGAGTATCAGCGTCGTTGCAGGCGCGCTTGAGAGACTCGACGATCCATTCAGGCCCCTCGGACCTGATGGACTTGGAGTCGGCGGAGCGAGGTGTTGGGCTCGCCAGGGCGAGGGAGGCAGGGAGGAGGGTGAGGAGGGTCTTGGTGAAATGCATCGTGATTGCTTGGGGCTTTGGCGAGCCTGGAAGTGGTAGATGGTTATTGTATTATGAGTTTAGTCTTCTTGATTCCTGGCCTGAATATCGCGCCTAGAAGGTGCGGTCTTTCACAATTATATAGAAGTCATCCAGACTACATGTAGGTATTCTCATCAGGATTACGGGAACTTCACAGCCAATTATCTGGGCGCCATCGCCACTTGATCTACGTGACTGCATCAATCACATTATGCGCATGCCTCTAGTCCTAACGCGCGCCTAAACCGGATTCCTGTCTGTGATTAGGTAGCCCATTATCCAATCTGTGAGCAGGATGACGGAGGTGGTGGCGGATGGTGGCATGCAGGATGCAGGTCTAATGCAACAGACACTCAGCCGTAGGGAAGATCAGGCAGGTCAGGCTGCCCGCCTTGAATGCGTGTTACAGCGAGAAGATTGTATTTTGGACAAGTCCATACTCATCGAATGCGGCCTAAACGCGTTCATCTCATCATTTCTTCATCGGAGACGGGCACGAGCGAAGGGGAGAGAGAGAGGAAGACTGTGGCGTTATGGCGGTTGTGGCAGAAGGGTGGCGGTGCTGCTGCTTGCACACAAAACTCCCATAAGCGAGACACTCCTGGTGGAGCCTTCATTTCCACATTCATGCTGCCTGCAGAATCATGCCGTATGCCAAGCCGGGAGCCAAGGCATTGATTTTCCGATTGTGCCTGATTTTTTCTAGGGCTATGAACGGCCCGTCCGTGGAAGCATGCAGCGGCAGCGACAACAAAGCTGAAGTTGCTCACGCACGTCTCCAGGTCTGACCTACCCTACACCTTCGATTGAAACCCGGCAGATGGCCCGGAGACAGAGCAAATCATCGCCCTAGAAAGAAAGTGCTATTCATGCGGTAGTTCAGATGACCTCGAGGATCGCCCAGACGTGCATAGCATAAATGGTTCTTGGCTAAAAGGCGAAACCGAGACCGGCACTGCTGAACGACCAGCTTGCCAGCTCATCGCTTCAAATCAAAATGACCTCCCGGATGTCACTCACTCTCCATTGGGTAACTCGGAGGCTGTTGCTTTTTGCTGGGGCCAATCCAAAACACAAGGCTGCAAATCCTTTCTTGTTTCATCAGCCAAGTAAAAAATTCGACCAGCATCCTCTCCTTTGCGCTGGTTTCTCGTCAGGCTAAACATGCCATTGCAGCGGTGGAACGTCCTCCGCTCCCCTTGGAGACAAGAGTCTTTCCGTCCATCAATAAGCGTCCTCATCGCCTGTTCACGATCGCCAAGCCAGGCGTTTGAGATGATGCAGTTTTCCTGGCGTCATTTCGGGGCGGCTCCTCAGGAGTCTCCGGCCTTGCCATATAAACCATTTCTCATACGCGAGGCAACTTGATGGCCGATAAACGTCTCATGCAACAAGACGAATCCCATTCTTACCAGCCATGAAGCTTCGAGTCAGCACCGCGGGTGCCCTTGTTTGTGCATTGGGGGCATGCAGGACATCAGCCCAATGCAACGGCACCTTCAACGCTCTCTCGGCCGCCGACTTCCTCAAGGCCGCGAACCCAGCCTGGAATCTGGGCAACACCCTCGACGCCATCCCCGACGAGGGGTCGTGGAACAATCCCAAGGTCGTCGCAGCGACGTTTGACCATGTCAAGGCCGCCGGCTTCAACAGCGTCCGTATCCCCGTGACCTACACTCACCACTTTACGAGCGAGTCGCCCGACTACCAAGTCGACCCGGCCTGGCTGCAGCGCGTGTCCGACGTGATCGACTTCGCTCTCGAGAGGGACCTGCTCGTCGTGACCAACGTCCACCACGACTCGTGGGAGTGGGCCGACGTGAGCAAGTCCGGCGCCGACATCACGGCCATCCAGGCCAAGCTCCGCGCCCTGTGGACGCAGATCGGCACCAAGCTGGCCTGCAAGCCGCCCACCGTCGCCTTCGAGAGCATCAACGAGCCCCCCGCGTCGACGGCCGAGGACGGCGCGCAGGTCAACGAGCTCAACCGCGTCTTCCTTGAAGCCATTGCCGAGACGGGCGACTGGAACACGCAGCGCGTCGTGACTCTCGCCGGAGGAAACAACGACGCCACCAAGACGTCGCAGTGGTTCAAGCCGCCCGCCGAGGTCAAGAACCCCTGGGCGCTGCAGATCCACTACTACAGCCCGTACGACTTTGCCTTTTCCGCGTGGGGGAAGACCATCTGGGGTTCGGATGCCGACAAGGCGACCATGGATGGCGAGCTGGGCCTCGTCACTGGCAACTTCAGCGGTGTGCCCATCTACGTGGGCGAGTTTGATGCCACGCCGCGCAGCACGGAGAGCGCGGCGAGGTGGAAGTGGTACGACCACTTTGTGAGCGCGGCGACCAAGATTGGCGCCACCGTGGCGGTATGGGACAACGGTCTTGACCATCTTAACCGTGAAACGGGCGAGTTCCGCGATCCTACAGTCGTGAGCATCATCAATAGCTCTACGGCCGGGGTTTCCAACTCTCTTGCGGATAGCACGGTGGATGGGTCGGCTACTGAGCAGTCCACCTCCGCATTCCTCTTCCATCGTGTTGGCGAGGCGGTCAGCGACCAGGAGCTGCCCTTCCTCTTCAACGGGAACACGCTCGTGGCCATCACCACCGCTGACGGGAAAGAGCTCGCCGCGAGCGATTATACGGCGGGATCGGCATCCATCACCTTCAAGTCCAGTATCATTTCGTCGTACATCGATGCGTCATCCGCGGCTGGTGTGAAAGAAACATTCACGCTCCATTTCTCTGCCGGCGCGTCGTCCACCGTCACGCTCGTCCAATGGGATGTCCCAGTCTTGGGCTCAACTAGCAGCAAAGCGGTGGCCGGCTCGGACCTCAGCATCCCGGTGGAGTGGAAGGGTCTCGAACGCCTTGCAACTGTCAAGATGCTGGCTGATGATGGCACGTACCTCGTCGACGACTGGACCCAGTACTTGGGACCTCTTCAACAAGCCCGCGGTGTAAGTTTTCCTTCCCATTCCCATTACTTGGAAATGCTAATAATTTTTTTAGACTTGGGAGGGACAATGGAGCTTCGAAGGCGGCAATGTGATTATCAAGTCGGCGGCAATCGATCTTGTGATTTCTCTTGCCAAGCCCGTCACCTTCACCTTTGAGTTCTACCCGCGCGTGGAGGGCAACGTGGCCGAGTATGTGCTCAGCCCATAAAATGGCGGCGTAGAACCACTCTTCCTCATCTCGCATACAGTGTATATATTTCAGACGCTTTCAATACTTCAATGTAAATAAATCGTGGAAAAAACACACATCTCATTCATACACACATATCTCATTCGACTACCTACAATAAAAAAAACATGGCGCACCAAAGATCTTTTCTCGTGAGATAGGGACCTTCTTTCTTAACTAAACACAATAAGAAGAGAATAACAAGAGAATAGTAAACTATTCTACAATGTTTAGCTTGATATTGTATTCAGCACTAGGTTATTTAATGTGATATTGTGTTGAAATTCAACCCTCAAACCGCAGTCGGGCTATACGCATACCACTCGTGAATCCCCACAGCACCATACTGGCTCGGGCCCCCAGATCCCTGGAGCACAACCCTGAACTTCCTCGTCGTGATCGTCTGAAACTTCACCTCTGGCGGCGTCAGCGTCGGTGCGGTCGGGTACCCCCCCGAGGTGACGCTCACGTCGACCCAGGACCCGGCCGCGTTCTGGTACTGTGCGACCCACGACGCGGGAGGGGGCACGCCGACGTTTGACCCGGCCGGCTGGTCGGTGAAGAAGGAGATGGCGACGCCGTTGAGCTGCATGTCCTTGTCCCAGGTGTACGTGAGCGTGTTGGTTTTTGGGGAGGAAGTCCCGGCCCAGGAGCACCAGTAGTCCGGCGGAAGGGGGTTCGAAAGGAGGCGCTCGTCGTTGAGGGACTTGATCCAGTACTGGATCGGGGTGCCGTTGGCGGACTCGACTGACGAGGCGAGGGGCGCGATGTTGCGGTTGGGCGGGCGCGGGGCGGTGAGGGAGGAGCGCTTCGTCTGAGTCACTTTATTGATGGTCGGCGGGGACTTGGAGTCGTCGAAGGTGAGGAGGTCGAAGGCGACGCTGCGGCGGAAGTGGCCGCCGTTGACGGCGTCGGCGGTGTGATAGACGAGGTAGGACTGGCTGCCGAGGGTGTAGACGCCCGGGTGGGAGGTGGTGGAGGAGACGACGCCGAGGATGACGCCGCGGAATGTCCACGGTCCGAGGGGACTGGAGGCCGTGCCGTAGGCGATGCAGGCGTGGTAGCTGGTGGGCGTGCAGGCCGAGGTCGTGCCCGCGTTGTTGGCGGCGTAGAGCATGTAGTAGGTGCTGCCTCGCTTCATGAGCCAGGGAGCTTCGAAGTAGCCCGTGAGAGATGTGACGACGACCTTGGTGTTGGCGAGAACCGTGGTCATGTCAGAGGCCAGCTCGTAGCCATACAGGTTGCCGAAGGAACCCCAGTAGAGGAACACTCGCCCGCCGTCGACGAGGATGGTGGGATCAATGTTGTGGATGGAGTTGCCTGGTGATGGCACAGTCTGCGAGATGATGGGCCCGGAGGGATGGGCATCTTTGAAGGGACCAGTCGGGCTATCAGAGACTGCCACTCCGATAGAGAAAGGGTCTGAGGCGCCGTTTCTCTGTTGGGCGCAGGCGTAGAGGTAGAACTTGCCATCAGCGCCTTGCACAATCTGGCTGGCATATGCACCTCCAGATGTAGCCCACGAAAACAATCCTTCTGGTCGCGCCACATCTTCGTGTAGTTTCCAAGAGCCTCCTGCCGGGCTGGGGTTGGTGGCCTGGAAGATCTGCCATTTGTTCATGACGAAATCATTTACCCCGGAACTAGCCTCATCACGGCCAGAAAGAATGTAAACCTCATTGCCAACGACAAAGGGGGCTGGATCGGCTGAGTAGATAGAGCCATCTCCTAGAATTGGGTTCCCGGGAGAGGTGAAGTCAAGACCATTCACCAGGAACGGCGCAGCAAGAAGTGCCAGCAGTGACGGCACGCTGAATTTGCCCATTGCGGCCAATTAACTGCAAAGAAGACAATCAAACTGGGCTGAATAATAAGGAGTTCTTTGAGACGCCTCGAGTTGCAGTTTCGTTCTCTCCACGGGGTCATTGTCCATTATATCCCCAGTAACTGAGTGATCGCTTATACGATAATTCAAAACAGGTAATAACGGCACGGAGCTAGCATCGTAAACGAACCCCTAACTGAGACATCTGAAGCGGGCTAAAACCCACCAGCTCCTGATACACCTCCATCTGGCAATGTCTGAATGGCGCGTTTCTCCCCCCTGCTCGAATAGGCAGGCCGCCTCTGCTACACCCTCATGAGGTAAAACCTCTAAATTTCGCTCCAATCGAGCCCGGGCTCGGAGGCTGTTCCCGAGCGAGCCTTAAAGAACGGATGGGACCCCGGGGGAGGGGTCTTTGGTTACATCGGATGCCCGGACCTCCAGGCACTGGTCGAGTCCATGATGAAATACGATAACAGCCATGCGGGTCCCATACTGACGGTGGAAATGGGTTCGAAGCGTGCGAATAGGCTTTGTCGATGGCCGTGTGAGCTCCCGTATTGGGCAAAGACCCTCTATATCGTCCGGCTGAAATGGAAAATGATGGCCAAACGGGCGACGACTCGCGATAGATATTTTCCGGGGTGTTTTGGGCGGGAGAATCCTAATTGAATCGATGAGACCATGAGTTACAATTTGGCTTGGGTGCGTATAAAAAGGGCAGGGTTCGTCTGATACGACCTGTTTGAGCCCCGCGATTTCTTCAGCACAACCGAGGGGAGATACTCAACTCATGTCATCCCAAAAGATGTTCAAGGGCGTGGCTCTCTTCTTCGCCCTCGTGGGCACTGCCTGCGCTCAAGATAATCTTGGTCTGGCAAATGGATACCTCAACTTCACCACCTCCAACTTCCAGTTTAGCCTCGTCAAAGATGCCCAGGTCCTCGCGTCCCTAAAGCCCGCAGGCGATTCTTTTGACTTTCTGCCCTCTGACCTGCTCAAGGTTCGAGCACGCAATGGTCAGTACCACTGGGGAGATGTTACCTTCAGATACCGTGAGGAGGGTGGAAGCACCTGGACCAGTGCCGACTCTTCCACTTCTCGCAAGGTGGTGACGGCTAATGGCGCAAGCGGAGATGTCCTGGCATCCTCCAGCCTGACCAATACACTTCCTACGGGTCCTCTTACCATTACCCGAGAGTGGCTCAAGGTGTCTGAGGACATCGCCCTGCGATTCACCGTCAAGAACACGGGGACCAAGGCCGTCGAGATTGGCAGTCTTGGATTCCCCGCCGAGTTCAACAGCATCTTCACCAACAGACTTGCAACCGACATGCAGAAGCTATGCTCACTCTCCGACCCGTACGTCGGCCTAGATGCGGGATACATCAGAGCCAATCCAATCCGGGGGACGGGCAAGTCGCTCGTCGTCACCCCTCTGAGCGGCTCGCCCTTGGAGGGGTACCGAAACCTCGCCGAGACATCCTACTCGGAAACCAACTACGGCAGCCAGACGTTCGAAGGGTTCTACGAGTGGCAGGTCTTGACCAAGGCGTACGCGGACAATGAGTGGAAGGGTCTGGAGCCCTGGAACCCGGCCACCTCAAAGACGCTCAAGGCTGGCGAGGAGGCCAAGTTTGGCGTGCGCTTCTCCATCGCAGAGGAAGTCCGCGACATTGACAATGCAGTCGCTAAGACGGGCACACCTGTCGCGGTCGGCGTGCCTGGATTCATCGTCCCTCGCGATCTGCCTGCCCAGCTCCTGCTCAAGAGCGAGTCGGCAGTGTCGTCCATCACCGCCTCTCCAAACGGCGCCTTTGCCATCGCCTCGGCTGGCGACAAGAAGTACACTCTGACCGCTTCCTCCTCAGCCTGGGGCCGTGTCCGCGTCACCATCAAGTACGCGGACGGCAAGACCCAGACCGTCCACTACTTCATCACCAAGCCCACCACCGACGTCCTCTCCGACCTCGGCAACTTCCTGACCACCGAGGCCTACTTCAACAAGACCTCGGACCCCTTCAAGCGCGCCCCCTCGGTCATGACCTACGACTACGAGAAGCGCGCCATCGTCGAGCAGGACATGCGCGCCTGGGTCGCGGGCCTCAGCGACGAGGGCGGCACGGGGGCCTACGTCGCCGCGCTCGCCAAGCAGGCCCTCCAGCCCGACGCCGAGGAGGTGGCCAAGCTGGAAGACTTTGTCGGCTCTGTCATCTGGGGCGGCGTCCAGTCGAGCGACTACTCGGTCAAGAAGGCCATCTTCTACTACGACAAGGCGGCCATGCCGAACTACCCCTACGACACTAGCATCAACTGGGGTACCTGGATGTCCTGGAACAAGCAGGCGGCGAGCTACATTGACCGCGCGTACAACTACGTGCACGTCGCTGTGGCATACTGGTCTCTGTACCGTGTTGCGCGTGCGTACCCGACTATTGTGAGCAAGGACTGGCAGTGGTATCTTGAGCATGCGCAAGGGACGATTATTCGTATGACGAAGAGCGATATCTGGTATAATGATGTCGGGCTGATGGGCGAGACCGTCTTTGCAGAGATTCTGGCCGATCTGAAGCGTGAGGGACAGACGTCTCAGGCGAATGCCGTTGAGGCGGCGATGAAGGTTCGCGCGACGCTTTGGCATTCGCAGGAGATTCCGTACGGCAGCGAGATGGCCTGGGACTCGACTGGCCAAGAGGGTGTCTACTACTGGACCAAGTGAGCGACAGAAGAGCATGAGTATAGGAGAGAAGGCAAGCTAACCGTTCATCTTAGATATTTTGGTTTCACCGATTCCGTCACCAAGACTATCAACAGTGTTCTTGGCTTCATGCCCGCCATTGCCCACTGGGGATGGAACGGCAACGCCCGGCGATACTGGGACTTCATGTAAGATTGCTAATACCAAGCGACCTAGACGGGGACCCAGGGCTAACCATGACATAGCTACGGCGCAAAGCTCGGGAGAATCGAGCGCCAGATCCATCACTACGGCTCGGGCCTCAACTCACAGGTCCTCCTCGCCGCATACCGCGACGACCCGTCCGACAGCTACCTCCTCCGCGTAGGCTACGGCGGCTCGACCGGCCCCCTGACCAACATCAACCAGGACGGATTCCCCAGCGCCGCCTTCCACTCGTGGCCAAACACCCTGAAGTGGGATGGGATCACGGGCGACTACGGTCCGGGATTCCTCGGTATGGCTCTCGGCTCGGGCACCTACGTCGCTGACGATGAGAACTTTGGACTGGTAGCTTACGGAGGTATCCTCAGCAAGGGTGAAGGTGGCTCGGTGGTGGTTGAGCCGCGCGATGCCGTGAGGAAGAGGGTCTTCATCGGACCGTTGAAGCTGCTTGTGAACATTGATGCGGGTTCAATTGAGAAGTTTAGCTATACCGAAGGCGGAGCTGTCTCGTTCACGGTTGGCCAGCAGGAGGGGGCGCCTCACGCGGACAATGTGGTGGTCTGGGTTGAGTCGACGGGAGCGCAGACTTGGGCTGCGACAGGACTTTCGGAGAGCCGTGGGGGGTGGCAAGTCCCTCTCTCTGGTCAATCTGCCTCTTTTACTCTGCAGGTTTCATAGTGGATAGTCTATGTTTAGCTAACGTACCACGATTTACATCTGTCACTTGACCTCTGGTGTGCTGTACTTGATTGTTCATGTTTTCCTCTAATCCTCTGGTGACTTTCGCATTTTTGATTTCCTTTTCGTCTCAAACTAGCTTCGAGGACATGGCGAAACTCCGAGAAGATAATTTGTACGTAAATGTACAGGATTTTATTAAATTCGCCTCATCTGGATACTCAACAGGCTGAACGAGAAGCATCATGGAGCTATTCAACTTACTCAGGGAGTCCCCGTCCATCTTTCAGAGCTTGAATTAACTGAAAGATAAAACTAGAAGATCTCGAAACAACTCTATATTCAAAAGCGACGGCTACATCACAAAATGGTAATGTAATCCTCTAAAGCTATAGAAAAAATGATTACTTTGGCGTTGAGCAGTGCACATTAGATGCCTAGGTTCCTGGCCAAGCACATGAGAAAATGCTCATCAAGAGGTTCAAAACTTCGCTCAATCGTAATTATTCCTCGGATCTCCCTCTGTCAGGATGTGAACCCTGCAAATATCGTACTAGATGATAGCAATCGGGCCATTGTTATCAGCTTTGATACTGCTCGTCGGAAGGCGAGCCACAACAAACAACACAGAGGGCTTATCCATACTTCAATCGGGATTCCATTCCGTAGAGCCCCAATACACAATCTTATCTCTTTTAATATAGATAGCGACATGGATATTTGGACCAGTTGTGGATCTAATGCTCAGGAACAAGGTCGTGAACAGGATCGAGGCCACGATGAATTAAGGTGCCACTGCGGCCGCAACGATGTCTACAGAGCCACGAAACGGCGTCACTAATGGTATTCAGAAGCAAGGATGTTGCTCAAATTCCTAACTGTTGTGCATTTCCATGATTCTAAATTTATTTTGCCATTAACCAATTGCATCCCTCCAATCTACGACATATTTGGGCCAACAACACAATGGATGTGTGGCTTGCCGTGCGGGTTGGTGTGGCTCAGTGTGGCTGGTCTGATGCGTCACCGCTCGTGCCAAAGTTGGCTTCGATCATCAATTGAGGTCAATATACCAACAGGGGGAAGTGGTGCAGAGGTGCATCAACGGTCAATCTACGGCATTGTAACCTATCTGGTCTGGCAGCAATTGCCTCGGCTTTTTCCCCTCTGCGAGACCGGAGTGGGGGCATTACACCAGCTTCATTCTTCGCGATACCAACTCGTAACATCGCTCCCCTTCTGGACTCATCGTACCGCCCGGCTTGCTGGAGAAGGGAGAACCATGGCCGCTTGCAGAAGGGTCTCGACCAGGCTTCTGGGCTCTTCAGCTCCTGTTTGTGGTCCAAATGAAGCACCCTTGTAGTGACCCGGCGTCTCTAACTCAATCATTGCGTGTCCTAGTTTGCTCCAAGACAACAGATCAGACGGCTCAGCCTGCATGAGTACCAGTCTCAAGACTTGTTAGAAAAAGTAGGTCAATCGACCCTTAGTCGGTCATTTCTAGTTCGCCATCAATCGTCCACGACCAGTTTGTGGCTCATCTCTCACCACAGTATGACGTTCCAGTATCGTCGGGAAAGGTGGTGCGTACAGCCCAAGATGCGAGAAAGGCGGCCGAAGAGCTGGGTAATTATGCATTCCCCGGCAATTTGCAATGGATAATGAACTTATTTGTACTTTCATAGGCGGTAAATGTATAATTAGCCCTCAAATTCTACACAGCCTCCAGAAGAATGCTTCTATGGCTCCAATATCTGTAGACACCCCAGACCAAGGGCATCAAACGGCATCCAAGATGCTAGACAGTGGACCGCATGGCAGTCAATACCCTCCAGTGCAGCAAACTTACGTGTCTCAGGCACTCGAGGCTGCGGAGGAGTGGTCACTAGCGATGACCATTGACCGTGAAAACTATTTCCCCGTCGTCCTGGTGAGCAAGACCAAGGGGACAGACGTGAACTCAGAAGTCACGTCCTTCCCATTTGCCATTTCACAAGGCATTACTCCCGAACTCTTGTCGCGTGTATCAAAACACATAATAAGAGACTCTCGGCCATCACAAGCCTCAACCGAAAGCCTCGCCAAGATCCTCAACGGCCTGTACAAAATCTTCACAGAAAAGGACGGCACAAACCTGGAGATCACACGGCTAGCACGCACCGCCACCGACGGCAGCTTCACCTGCCTCAGCACCGCCTTCACATTCGACGCCGCCGCCGCCAAGCGCCAGCCGGAGCTCTTCGCGCTGCGCGACGTCAGCCAGGACGTCCCTGAGGAGATTGAGGCGGCGCAGTACGGCATCGTGTACGTGCGCATGGACGGCAACATTGGCAACGTGGTCAACGGCGCCGGGCTGGCGATGGCGACCAACGACGCCATTGGGCTGTATGGGGGCAGGAGTGCGAATTTCCTCGACGCGGGCGGGCAGGCTACCAAGGAGACGATGCTGAAGGCTTTTGGGATCATCATGCGCGATCAGAGGGTGAGGACGATTTTTGTTAATATTTACGGAGGCAAGTATTTTGACTGTGATTGGTATGAGATGAAGATGATTTGCTAATAGTATGGCTTTCTTTTGCTGCAGGCATCACGGATGGTCGGATGATTGCCGAGTCCATCATTGGTGCCGCGACGGAGCTGGGGCCGATCAAGGTACCTGTTGTGGTTCGATTGCAGGGCACAAACTCTGTCGAGGGATTGAAACTGGTATGTCAACTTGTTTTTAAGTATCTATGCTCATTGTAGTTATCTCCATGCTAATCGCATCGCAGCTCGATGAGGCCAAGCTTGGGATACACGTAGAGGCTGGTTTCGGAGAGGCAGCCAAGATGGCTGTTCGGCTCGCAGCAGGTCAATAGCAATGTGTCTTTCTGGGGAGAGGTAGGAAGGGGGAGCATAATCCGTGTAATTAGTAGATCAATTACGCTATTTATGATCCAAGCCTGCGCGAGTGCCAGTACATCCGTGTGAACTGAATGCTTTCATCTCTTCCCAAGAAGCTCCATCATGGTCTGGCCCATCACACCAGGATGTGGAACGACAACAGCACTAGCATCTTCCAGAGCTTTCACCTTTGCCTCGGCGTAGATGTTGCGCTTCGAGGAAGGGAACGCGCCATCGGCGGCGACCATGGCGATGATGGACTTGGGGTTCGGCGTCGCACGGCGGTACCCTTTGATCAAGTCTGCCGCCTTCAGCTCTGCCTCGCTACCAATCTCTCCGATGACAATGATCCTTTTGGTCTTTTTATGGTTAAAGAAGAACCTCAATCCATCTGCCAACGTCGTTCCTGTACAAGAAAGTTAGCCAAGGTAATGAATCTGGTGAGTGTGAGAGAAAAGTATATCCCTACCGGACAACTTGTCCCGTCCGATGCCCACAGCAATACTGTGGCCCAGGCCTACCTTGGTCGTGGACTCAGCAGCTTCATGGCTCAGCATCTCTGGCTTGAAACGATCCCAACACAGCCTCTCGCGTACTATTAGTAGGGCATGATGCCAACGACGCACTGGTCGGGAGCAATGATCCCAAGGCTGTTGGGCCCCACGAGCCGAGTACGGCTTTGGGTTCTCAAAGTCTCGTGGATGCGCAGCACGTCGTGAGCTCGGATTGTCTCAGCTACCGAGACTACCAGTGGTACTTCGGCTTCGATTGCCTCGATGATGGCGTTTGGTGCCGGGGCGGATCCAAGAAGACGGAGGAGACGTCGGGTTTGACGGCCTCCATGGCCTACTCATGCTGGTTAGACGATGCCTTGCGAGACTTGAGAGCCTGAGTGTAAAGCAATCTCAATTACCTCTCTGCAGTTCAGGTTCTGCCTTTTTCTGGGTCGGGCGGGTGACAGAAATGAAGCAGCAGATTGAAGGGCTGTCAAGAGCAGACGAACCTCTACGCTGATCAAAATAATACAGGAATACTGAGCGACAAATATTGACAATGTGTACCTTATTTCGTTTTATATATTTATCATTATCCTGCACTAATCTGACAACAATTTTCGCAAAATTGAATATAGGCGAATAGCATAATGCTTGAGTGTCTCAAATTCATTGTCACCTACGGTAGCTAAGGGCTCAGAATCCTGGAGAGCAAGCCTGCGTGGATTGCTACGGTCATTGATGTTGATCTTCGTCCTATTGCCGTGACGTTGCCTTTTGATCTGATTTCATTCTTTATTTTACTATTTTCTACTGCTCCTTCATTCAGTTCTGGAACCTGCTACACGCCTGCCCCGCACGTACACATGGGCCACGTTCCGGTCGTCTCCCGTCATGATATACTTCTCGAACGAGGTCCTCAGGGAGTCGTCCTCCTCACGCGGCGTCATGGCCGAGTGCAGTCCTGTTGTGGTAGCTACCCAGACGGCATCAAACTGCTTTCCAACCTCAAAACTGCCAATCTGGTCGTCAAGACACAAGACCCTGGCACCGCCCAGCGTCGCCAGATAGAACACTTCCTCCAGCGAGAGCGCCTTGTCCTGTCCCTTTGACATGACCTCCTGCGCATTCGAGGCAATCATCGTCTGTCGGATCACCATCAGCATCTGCGAGGCCCACCCGCCGCCGCTATCCGTTCCCAGCCCAACCTTGATTCCTCGCTGGAGAAAATCTCTCACGGGTGCCACCATGAAACCCCCGCCTACAGTCATATTGGCAATGGGGCAATGGGCCACACCACACTCCAGGTGCTTCAGCCTTTCCTTGTCGTAATCTGTCATGATGGTGCAATGTGCTAGAACCGAGCGGCGATTTAGCAGCCCATACTTCTCGTACAGATCAGCCTCGCTCTTGCTCGCTTCTTCCGGAAAGAGGACCCTGGTAAAGTCGATCTCTTGCTGTGCCTCGTTGAAGTGCGTCTGCATGGCGAGGGAGGAGTCCTCCTTCAGCATCTTGCCCAGCCCTTCCAAGAGCTCGGGCGTGCAGCAGATGGCAAACCGAGGCGTGATGACGGGTTTCACCAGCGCTTCTCCATTTTCTTTTTCACAGCCAGGAATCCCCCGAATGTGGTTGATGCACTGCTCCGTCTCGCCGAGTGAATCTGCTGCTGTCGTGTCTCGTAGGTAGTCTGGCGCGCTGCGATCCATGTTGCATTTGCCCACAAAGGCCCTCTGGCCCTTCTTCGCACACGTCTCGGCCAGTACCTTTGTCGCATCCGCATGCCGGGAGCTGTAGTAAGAGGCCGTCGTGATTCCCTGGCGTAGGAAATCCTCCACCATTTGCTCGTAGGTCCGCTGGGCGTACGCGGCGTCAGCAAAGCGGGCTTCGAAGGGAAACGTGACCTGCTCAAGCCAGTCTAGGATGTGCAAGCCCTGCCCGAGACCTCGCATCGGCCATTGGGGGGCGTGGTTGTGCGTGTCGACGAATCCGGGGATGAGGAATTCTCCAGGAGGGATCTGATGGACCTGCGCGTCGGCGGGGATTGCGGTGGCAGGGAGCTCGTCGGCTGCACGATACAAGGCGCTGATGCGGCCATCTACGACGATGAGTGTCGCATTGTCCAAGATCTCCAAGCTGCCCAGGGATTCTGAATGAATTATGGCGCCTTTGAAGACGAGTGCAGCAGACATGGTGATGAAGAATGGCGTCACGCGGATGTGACCAGCCGAACACTATGACACGGATCTGCAAAGAAGACTTTCTAGCGACGAGAGATGCCAGCGTTAGATCAATGTGAGATGGCAAAGACCATTAATTGAACAGGGTGGCAGACTTGCATGCACCTGTGATAGGAGTTGGCCGATGATCAATCTCGGGCGACTTCGGCCCAGTTTTGGGTTGTATGAAATCGCAATGTAACATTCACAGAAGGAGGAGCACTCGGTTGAGCTCGGTCGAGTCCCACCAGTCGACTTCACTGTCGCCGCTGCTTTCCCCGGACTGCCCCGGACTGTCGGCCGCATCCGATGAGCAGATCTCTCTGTCATACATCTTCAATCACCACCGAATATCTCGTGTACTGATCAAATCGCGGGGTTGAAGTTTGTCTCGCCGCGATCGGTCTCGCTTATCGCATCGCTTATCGGGCCTTGAACGGGGAAGGGACAACCATCTCGCGTCCCTTCCCTTTAGACTCACCAATCAATTCCAGTTAGTAGCTGACCAAAACCTTTCCCATTATTCCACCGCATCAAGGCCAGCCATGGCGCTCCGGACAACCCAACGCGCACCCCGTAGCTGTTTCGCATGCTCATCCCGCAAGGTCAAATGCGACAAGAATGTTCCATGCTCAACCTGTATCAAGCGAGGGCAAGCAGATGCCTGCGCCAGAGAGATGGTCATTGTGCGGGGCGCCATCACGACGTGTGTACATCTCTGTAGACGTGCCTACCCACCCATGGATACTGACTCATCATTGTAGATGGACGGACTCGCCGGATCATCTCACGTATGACGAGCTCAGGGCTGACAATCAGCGTCTTCGTGACGAGATTGAGTTGTTGAAGCGGCAGCAAGTCTCCAACTCACCTGCTTCACGCGGCGAAAGGCTTCGAAGAAGTCTAGGAAATGATGATGAACTCGAGAAGAGACTATGGAAACTCGTCTCCACGTCATCGCCAGCTTCGCCCACGGCGACCGACTGGGGGAATATCGTGATGCCTAGCCGTCGATGTAGCGAACAACTCGTAGAGTTTGACCGCGTATGGAACTCATGGGTTCATTATGCTCTCGAGTATCCAGCCTTTGAAAACGAGTGTGACGAGTTTTATGCAGAGCTCGAAAAGGGAGGCTCATTGGAAGACTATGATCCGGCATGGTTGGCGGTATACTTTGCCGTTTTATGCGTAAGCTATATCCTATCTGGATTATCATCTTACAATTCACAATCCGCTGATTGTATCTCTTGCCATATAGGCTGCTCTATTAATGATGGCTGAAGATGAAGCCAGCCGTGTATTTCTCCCTAAAGGTGAGCCAATCGCCCATCGTCACTTGTTGACCATCGCTCAAAGCTTCACAGGGTTGGACCAAAGGAGAGCAGGCAAGATGTGGTACGACGCTTCCATCTTCTGCCTCCATCGCTCTGACTTCATGAGAACACGCTCAATCCGCTCCGTCCAGGCAATCGCCATCCTCGGAATGTGTTTCAACAACTGGGGAGACTCAGACTTAGATGTCCATCTGTGGAGTTGCGCTCTCCGGATAGCACAGAGCATTTCTCTACACAACCCCCCATCTCGCGCAACGAACATACTCAGTGCAGAAGGTCAACGCCGACTCTGGTGGACGCTTATGATTGTCGAATGGCATGGCTCGTCTTCTGATACCTCAATGAGATGCTTCCACTAATTTTTGAACCCCTCCAGGATGCGAGTCCCCTACCAAATACCACAAGTTGATGAAGTAGACTTCGACATGACTCTACCAGTATCTACAATGACGCCCGACGAAAACATGCATGTAGATCCGGTTCATTATCACACATTCATGGCCAGAGCAGCCACTGCGTACTATAGGTTCTGCGTGGCTATCCGAGCCGCAGTCAAACCGATTGAGGAAGCCGTTAGAAAGGCAGACGAGGAACTCGCCGAAGTTATCAACACTCTACCCGAGTATCTGAAGCCCGACAATTCGGGAAGCGAGCACGTGCGCCAGCTGGAAGAAACCCAACCCTGGGTCAAGTGGCAAAGGTTTGACGTGACTGTTGTCCTCCTACATCTCAGGGTACGGATCAATCGTGCGCTCCAAGCACAATGGCAGGCAGATCCCCAACGATACTCTTGGGCAAAAACAATAAGCGTCACGTCGGCAATGAGTGTGATATGGATTAATCATAATTGGGACCAGCCAGCGTCTATGCGCAAGCAGTGGTATGTTTCGTCTCCAAGAAGATACTGGGTGGGAGCCGATCACTAAGATGTTGCAACAGGGCTCTGTCGTTTCACGTCTTTGTTGCTGCGACCTTGTTGTTGCGCGAGCATCAAACAGCTCCCGACGATCAAGATGAGGCATATTGGGAATCCATGAACACCGCTCTATACCTTTTAGACCAAGTCAAGGACCAAAGCGCAGTTGCTCAACAGGCTGCCGCCATTCTAAGAACAGAAATAAACAATGGATGAACGTGGAGGAGTGGGTGATGCTAATCCAATTCATCTTGCCAAGTGGGCGACAATGAAATTAAGACACCCGAACAATAGGCTGTTTATTCTCGAGTCTGTGACCGCTATTGTCAAATTATTGAGTGACAATAATACATGCTTGAGGAATCATACACTATGGATTCTCTCATTGATTGATACAGGCTGTCACCATTCTATTCAGGCCTCAACATATCCAGAGAACCTATGCCTCATCCAACAGATTGAAACCAAATGCCCTCTTTGCCTCCTCATCTAGCCCCTCAAGTCCAACATACCCCTTCAATTTCGATTCGTCCAAATCATTCCCGATGGAGTAATCAGGTGAAGGGACTCCATTAAGTGTCGCAGTCAGTTGCTTCTTCACATATTCCTTGTTGAGCCGTGTAGATGGGCAGGCAGCAATGAAGGCAACCGAAGCGTTGTTCTTTCCCAGATGCTCAGTGTCCACGGCATGGCAAAGCTGAACAACAGTTTAGTTAGAACGATAGCCAAAGAAAACCAACATCAAATGATTAGGGGAAACATACATCAGAATGCCACCAAACCGTATCTCCCGCGTTCACTTTGGGCACATGTACGAGGCATTCCTCAAGCCTCAAGTGAGGATGAGACGATCGGCTAAGGCGCTGGCTTTGTGTCTTGAAAGTACCGGGGAACCAGCTGGACGATTCATCAAATGTCCACTTTTCAGCGTCCATCAAATCCTCAGCATCCTTTGGGGGCTTGAAGAAAGGCCGCAGCAGCAGGTATGCAATCACGGCCTTGACATTGGGATACAGCATGATGGTTCCCTCTCTGGGGGCGGTGGGCGTCAGAGCTGTCCATCCCTGGAAAGACCGGAAAACCGTCGAGTGCGCGATGCCTTTGTACAACTCCTGATCAGCGTCTTGGCGGACACCTAGCTCATAGGCATCGTGTTCTTCCGGGGTTCCGGAGAAGATGTGGCCGTATGCTTCGCGATATGTGGGATCAGCCCAGCGACAGAGGCTTCCGGCATCAATATGAGGCCCCAGGCCTAAGAAGGCCTGCCCTGGGGCTCTGTCGCGTACGCCATCGAGATATACCAGCGGCTCTGGGGAGGATCGGTTGGTCGAGTCATGCCATAACTCATTCAGAATGCGTTGCAGTTTGAGGTGGTTGGGATGAGATCGTATAGCGTTCTGTGTTGGTGAATTATACAGAATAAACATGGAGGGGCTTTCCTTGGGCCATCTTTGGATTGCAGCGTCGTTATCCTTGATGAACTTTCTCAAGTCTTGGTAGTGCGTATTCGCCTCAGCCTCTGGGATCGTGCCTCGAAAGACGAAGGCGCCAACCCGTTTTGCCTCTTCCTTCTGAGCGTCTGTGAAGCCATGCTCGAGAACCTCCGCGGTGTCAAAAAAGGGAATGATAGAATTGCCCTTGATGGCAATTTCATCCGTCACGCTCTTCAGTTCCTCGCACACCTTGATCCAACTCTTCTGAAGTGCCGCTTCACCATATTGGGCGATTATTGCCTTTTTGGTATTAAGAAAGTCGGTGTCTTCGGCCTCTTCAGGAGACTCAGAAGTGTACTCGGCCCAAGAAGGCCATTCTCTGACCCGTGCTGGCATATTAGAAGCCTAATCAGTTGCGGTTTTGTTAGTTAAGGGTCGGGGGCTCTAGCCTTGAGTCTTCCGTTACTCTTTTTGGCGTTTGTATATAACAGAATCCTTGCAACTGGCTAAGTTCAACGAACATTCCGGTCATTTCAGCCATGAGTCGCGTCTAATATCTTATCAGTCCGTCTCCCCTGCAGGGTCAACTCGGCCGTCTTTGCCGGGATATATGGAACTAAACAACCCACCCGAGCTCGCCCGAGTTCGGGTGAGTTACAAAATGGCATTAGCTTACATTTTGACAGGGCAAAACCCCGCCATGGAGTGCCATTTGGATATGCGGGGTGGGTCGAAACCTTCATAGCGTCTTTCCTCAAGAGCCAGGAGACGATAAGCTCAACCGAGCAGTGCCGTGGCCAATAGAAACTCGACAATCACTAATTCCCTTTGATACTCGTTGGGATTTATAGTAGACTATCCTCACCTCGCAAAAACCGGAAAATGTTCATCGACCTGCTTGATTCAGACCTTGATCGTCTCCGATCTCCGAGACTCAGCTTTGGCTCCCTCTTTGTTTCCCTTTGACTGTCTTCCTGCTGAGGGATTCAGCTTGCTCAGAATAGAGCACCTCTAAGAACATGACGTCTCAATTCGAGCGGAAACATGTTTCCAAACTGGTTCCCGCCGACCACAGGCTCCTCATGCCGTTACTTCTTGCTGTTACAATTGTCAACTCGGCAGTAAGTTTCGCATCAGAAGTGAAACCCGTTTCTTTTCCGACCAATAACCTGAAAATACATCTTAGACACTCGGTTATGACTCCTCTGTCATGAACGGACTGTTGATGCGGCCATCCTTTGCAGATTACTTCGAGCTGACAACTGCCCTGGAAGGGCTCAACAATGCAGCCAACTGGATGGGCGGCATCTTTGGCGCGTTCCTCATGCAGCCTGTCCCAGATTATTTTGGCCGCCGCAAGGCCATCTACATCGCCTCCGTCGTCACTGTGGTCGGCGTGATCCTGCAGGCGGCCGCTCAGCACGAGGCAATGTTCATTGTTGCCCGCTTCATCATCGGCGTAGGTTCGGCGATCAGTAATGGAGCTGCCCCGACACTGCTTGGTGAGCTGCTCCCTCCTCACAGACGCAGCCGGCTCCTCGGTCTCTTCTTCTCCTGCTTCTATATTGGTAGCTTGGCTTCGTCGATTGTCAACTACGGCAGCCAGAATATCCAGAACACGTGGGCCTGGCGACTACCTTCCCTCTTGCAGTTCGTCCCCAGCTTGCTGGCCGTCGTGATCGTCCCCTTTGTGCCTGAGTCACCTCGGTGGCTCATCGCACATGACCGTGACGAGGAGGCTCTCGAAATATTGCTCATCATGCAGGGGAAGAACAACATGGATATCCAAAAGGGGTCGGAGCAGCTTGAGGAGATCAAGAGCACCCTGTCGAGAGAGGCCAAGGAGTTTCCACATAATCCCTGGCGCGAGATGATTGCCACCAAGGCGAACAGGCGACGCCTTGCGATTCTTTGCTCCTTTGGTCCTATGATTAATATGTTTGGTAACTTTGTTATTTCGTGAGTATTCGGCTTCGTTTCTGGTTATTGTCTTGTCTTTGGCTGGTTTCTGACAATTCTTAGGTTCTATCTTACCAAAATTCTCAACCAGGCCGGCATCACCAACACAACCACCCAAACGCAAATCCAAGTCGTCATCAACTGCTGGTCATTCGCTGTGGCCGTACTTGGCAGTTTCATGCTAGATATCCTCGGTCGCAGGATTCAAACCTTCGTCAGCGTCGGCGGCATGGTCGTTACACTTCTGCTGATCGGTGGCCTCATCAAGCGTACTTCTCTTCCTCAACCCTTGGTAAATTCAATAACTGACAAGCCGATCTACTCTAGTCTACGGTGAAAGTGATAACACGTCGGGCATTTACGGAACCATTGCGGTTATTTTCCTCTTCCAGGGTTTCTATGCGTTCGGCATCACGCCAATGACCAGTTTGTACCCTACCGAGGTGTCTCCTTTCAAGCTGCGTACTACTGGTCTTGCCATTTTCCGCATGCTCGACTCCGGATTCGGGTATGCAAATATTCAACAAACCCCCTTTCCTTATTCAGAAAGTATATTCTAATATGTTATCGATGCTTAGTCTTCTCGCTTCCTTCGCCATGGCATACGCAATGGTCAACCTGGGCTGGAAATTCTACTTCATCAACGCATCATGGAACTTCGTCTTCCTCATCATTGCCTACTTCACATTCGTCGAGACCAAGGGCCTCAAGCTCGAGGAGATCAATGCCAGGTTTGGGGATGTCAACGTCACGGATGGTATTGAGGCTGAGCAGCCAGTGTCGGAAGGGTCGATCGACGGTGGCAACTTGAAGGGTGGGAAGGTTCTTGAGAGTAGCCGGGAGCTTCGTGCTAAAGAGGTATAAGCCTGAGCAAGCAGGTTTGAACACTTCTACTTCTAATGAATACGCAGATTGTCTTTGGCATATTAATTTAGTTGGATTCTAGCGATGGGTGTAGATAGAAGGGTCTCAATAGGGTAACATTGAAATTGAGACACTCAGACATTGAACTGCTTATTCTCGAGTCTGCGACCCGAATTATCAGCTTATTGAGTGCTAATGATATATACTTCAGAGACAATACTTTATATATTGTCACTTTCTTTTGACTTTTATACTACTGACTTTCTTGATTTATCTTGCAAAGTACAACCACTCTTCCGTTGGATGTCTCATCTTTCCTGTCGCCCACTTCGGTCTGTACCAGACCCCCCATAATAACCACAAGAGTTTTTGGATTTCATTATTGTTTACGCACCAGGTTATCCCCCAGTGATGTAGGAGAGGAAACGGCACTTCTAGCAACACCGTCTTGGTCATGTGGCGTGCAGTATCATCACACAGCCTTACCCATCGTCCGCCCCCTCCTGCATCTTACAAGTGGGGGACACTGCCCGTTCAGCGGCCACAAACTCCCTCCAATCGTCACAGACAATATATTTACTGCTCGTAAGAGGGCTTTTAGGTAGTTGATTGGATGTCGTATTGCGACATATCCAAAGTGGTGGGATTTTCATGCCGAAAATATACGGGATAAACGATACAACCATGCGTATCCTCAAGACTGACATTGCCCTGCTGCTCAAGACTTTTACAAATTCCCTGACCTTGGAACCATAAAACAAACTAATTAATATTCACGCGGAGGGGACTTTGTATAGTATGTTGATGAAGCTTTTGGGGCTCAGTGTTCATCAGTACCTTGGGCAAACACACCTTTTTGTTCTGTTTCACTCAAGAGCTAATACAAGATCGATCAAATGTGTTTAGACGAAATCTTGAGGTAGTTAAAAATTCTAACATTAATTGTCTTAGAGAGTTTAATAGCCGTGTTTTATATATGTACACATGAAAATCACAAATACTAGAATGCGGCGGCCACAAGACCCAAGCGAGCGTGGGTTGGAGATGTCCTCTTAGGGCTTGCAGGGCAAAAGGGGAAAGAGGACAAAAGAGAAAAGAAAAGAAACAGAGTTAAAAAATAGCACCCAGCCTGGAATCGAACCAAGAGTCTCTCCGTATCTGCCTTCCTGCCATGTACTCAAACTCAGGGACTACCGAGCACGGGCAAGATAGTTGGCTGGCAAGTGAGTTCAAAGTGAAGCAGAGGTGAGATTCTGGGCCACTTGTGTACTCGCCCGCCCCACCCTGCGATCATCTCAGCTTCCCAATGTTTAGAAAAGACGCCAATCGTCAGAGAAACACCAATCCTCAGAGAAGACACCAATCCTCAGAGAAGACACCAACCCACAGAGAAGACACCAACCCTCAGAGAAGACACCAACCCTCAGAGAAGACACCAACCCTCAGAGAAGACACAAATCCTCAGAGAAGACACCAATCCCCAGAGAAGACACAAATCCTCAGAGAAGACACCAATCCCCAGAGAAGGCACCAACCCACAGAGAAGACACCAATCCTCAGAGAAGACACCAACCCACAGAGAAGACACCAATCCTCAAAGAAGTCACCAATCCTCAGAGAAGACACAAATCCTCAGAGAAGACACCAATCCTCAGAGAAGACACCAATCCTCAGAGAAGATGGATGCCCCTGCCCCTCCTCAAGGCGCCACCACCACCACCAACCCAGATGGGACCACGGTCCCAATGAATCCCCAGGCCCCCCCTGTCGCCCCCATGTATGGGGCTGGTCCTATGGACCAATTTTCCATCGTAAGTACATTTGATAAGAAACATCACCAATTCATAATACTAAGAGTACCATAGGCAATTAATGCGATGGAGGTGGCCCTGGCCAACATCAAGGCCCGTCGCCCCCCTCCCACTTGCTGGAAGTGCGGCAAGCCTGGGCATATTGCCCGGGCTTGCCCGGACAAGGAGAAGAAGGACAAGGAGAAGGAGGAGAAGGAGAAGAAGATGCTGGAGAAGGAGAGGGAGAGGAGGAAGAAGAAGAACCTGAAGAGGAAGGAGAAGAGGAAGGCCAAGGCCGAGAAGGAGAAGAACCAGGATGAGGAGGGGGGCCAGGAATAGCCCCCATGGATTAATATGGCTGGGTGTGTTTGTTTTTCTTTTTCTTTTTGTTTTGTTTTTAGTTTTTCAATGAATACGTCTGGTTTCCGGTGCCCACAGATTCGCCATTAATGAAAAGCATGTAGAGGAGTAACAGAAACAAAAGTTACAAATATGTATATTGGCCATCGATCGCAGACCCTAGCAAGACAAAGCCTAACGTGTGCTCCCCTTATGATAATCTCGCTACTTAATTCTGAATCTACTGCGATGTGTATTGTTACTGAATTACTATTGACATGAGAGAAGGCTGGCCATGATTAAGGCGAGTGAGATCTCGAATTAAGCCACAAACAGCGGGGGTCAGATCTGGCGGTACCATGCCCGTTCCAAAGTCGCTCTCCATGGTCAAATAAACCTATTCTGAATAAGAAAATGTGAGGATTCGGTTTCCTGCGGCTATGCCCCTGCCTTCGGGCTCTTATTCGGAAGGCCAGTGAAGAGGATCGCCGGTCTCTCCCGGGGAAAATTGGGTTAACTGCGTTTACCCAACCCGTGAGCCTCGCTTAGGATCCCTCATTTCTTTCTCCAGTCCTTTGCCCAATCTTTGCCTTGGGTCTGCCACGGGGTTTTCTCTGACGTGTATACGAACAGCTCTGACCGATGCCGCGATTCTCACATTGGTGGCAGACTGGATGCCGAGCATCACAACGCCTCTTACGGTAATGACATGGAGTACATGCCTCGTCGTACCCTAGAGATTCCCTAGGTCCTCTTGAACTGGCGGGAGGCGGGAGAGCCTCCATTGTGGAACTTTCACCGGCGAGGTCTGACTGGTCATGTTGGACAAGCGGTGGAATAGTCGCACGGGTGTTGTACTACTGCCACAGGTGCTTTTCTTCTAAGAACGCCCTCACAGTGTCAATGGTAGAATCTTCGGCGTTCGATACCATCAGGTCAGTGGAGGCCTCATCCAGTTCCTCCGGGTATCCGCACGGCAGGTCCATTTTCTTCCTCCAAGCTTCGTAGATAAACGACGGTGTCCTTGAAAAATGCTCAGGGCGCGACCAGGGGAAGGACGGAATAGTTCCATGTACATGTTCGTTAACTGGATGGCTTTTTTGTTAGTAATGAGGTTTTTGTCTAGCAGTTGAGCGAGGGGGACATGCAGGCAAATGTCCATGTTAAATTATCAACACTGATGCTCAGTTCATCAGACGGTACCCATTGAAACCTCTCTCGCGCATATGTTGTGAGCATTCCTTTCATAGATTTCAGTCGCAATTGTCCCAGGGTATCGCGACCGATTGGTAACGCAAAAAGGATAAATGAATCCATATACAACTGACGGCTGCCCTCATCCCAGCCGTTGGGGATGCCGCCGGGATACTCAAATTTGTATTGCTCGCCCCACAGGGACACAAAGGATAAGTGGTCTTGGTTTGGCGAGTACTCCATGACTGGTCTGAAAACTGAAGATGAAGGAAAAACAGAAAATGTCCTCTGCGCGCGTTGTGTGGGTGGGAAGTTGATTTGAAAGAACATAAGAGGTCGGGTGTGTGGGAAAAGTGGAAGCTACGACCAGAATGTGGACTGCTAGTACCTACCCTAGAGTCAGTCGGGAGGCTTCGATTACTCGCCGACGTTCTTTCTTAGAGTAACAGAAACTTCAAGAATCAAACTTCTTTCACAAGGGAGTCATTTTTAGCTTTTAAAGGGAGAAATAAGCCACCTTGTATGGCCTGGTTCCTGTTGTAAGCGTGGGAGACACCGAGTACAGGAAACCAGACCATGGCCACAGGAGCAGGCCTTGCGATTGGGGCTTCACGTTTCGTTGAGCTTAGGAATTATCATAATGATGAATTACCATTGAGGTCATTGCACAGGTACTTCTCCAGGTAGGCCTTATGAATAAGCCTGGAATATCTATGTCGCCCGAGGCGTTCGCTTCCAGGAGCCTAAGGCACAGCAGACAGATAAGAAGCAATACGAAGAGCGCTTCTTTTTTTGGTGGGTACGAGCCCTGCAGTTCGCTCCTGCCTGGTCCACGCTTTCCCAGAAGGCACCATCACCTCAGTCTTTCAGCACCATCGGACCTGACAACATTCTCATCTCTCGTATTTAGGTAGGCTAGCTGTAAAAGCGATACGAGAGAAGTCCTCAGTCCAAACTTCGATATCTTTGGTCATGCTTCATAGATTACCTCGGACGACCTCATGATCTCGGCGCTGACCTCACTCGCGCCATTCAACCGTGACTCCCATGCCCAGGACCGAACTGACCATCCGCAAGAGAGCCAAGCACACGCGCTCGAATCTGGGCTGCGGCGTCTGCAGAATCCGACGAGTGCGATGCGACCGCACACATCCCGTTTGCCATCGCTGCTCGAGCACCGGCCGCGTGTGCGACGGGTATCCTACCCAGCAGCCAGCGTCGACACCATCTCCGCGAGCTTCCAACGAGAGGAGCGGCCTCCCGCTCGCCCCCAGGGTCGATTCCTCTCTCCAGTCCAGCTTCCCGGAATCGCTTAGTGATGAGGAGACCAGGGCTTTCCACCACTTCCGGCAGAGCACCGCCGCCGATCTCGCGGGTGAGTTTGCGACCGACTTCTGGGGCCGCTTGGTGCTTCAATTCGGTCATCGGGAACCATGTGTCCGCCATCTGACCATCGCGATCTCGTCGTTGCACGCTAGTCTCGTCAACGATGGCTTCGCTACCTCGCTCTATCCCATTCTACCTGTGGAGGATCTCAGACGTCGAGCCGTTGCTCAGTACACCAAGGCGCTGCACCTCTTCAACCAGCACATCGTCTCCAAGCAGGGCTCCTCGTTCGACGTGACCATGCTCTGCTCCCTGCTGTGCATGACCTTCGAGTGGCTGCGGACAAACCACAATGCCGCCCTTGTCCACCTGCGCAGCATTCTCCGGTTGGTGCGTGAATGGCACGAGACCAGCACCGGCTCGACAGGGCGCAGCACCGGGAACCAGACCTCGTACTGGTCGCCCAGCGGCCATCTGATCCGATCGACGCTCTTCCCCATGCTGAGGCGGACAATGATGGAGGTGCGGTCGATTGTTAATAACGCCGACGACATGGTGTTTCCTGCCATTGAGTCAGAAACGTCAGACCCGGACACCTTCAGCAACGTGGTCGAGGCGAGAGACAGCCTCTTCGTCATTCTGGGAGATCTGTACGACCTGTTTATCACCGTGGGTCCTGCGAAGCCCAAGATTAGGCCGCGCCAACCGTCGGGGCAGAAGAGCCTCACTCCTCAAGCAAGATGGGATCTCTGGTCGACCCGATTGAAGAATTTCCTGGCGCAAAACCCAACACAGCATAGCCTGGCCGCGTCGCTGACGCTGCAGATCTGGCAAAAAACCACAGGGATCATGTTGGCCGTCAAAGATGTCCAACAGGAGGTAGTGTTCGACATATTCACGGATACGTTTGAGACCATCGTCGACCTCTCCACCCAGCTGTACTCGCTCCCGAGGTCCGGTCTCTCGGCAGACATGTCCATCGTGGCCGTGTTATACTTCACCGCCACCAAGTGTCGCCATCCGGTCATTCGGAGGAGAGCGCTCGGGCTGTTGACGGCCGCGCCGCGCAGAGAGGGGATCTGGCAGAGCGAGGGGGCGGCCAAGGTCGCGGCGGAGATTATGGAGATCGAGGAAGGGCTTTTCGCTGGGGAGGTAACGAAAGAGACGGACTTGGAAGAGAGTGCGAGGGTGAAGCAGGCAGTGGTAGACCTGGGGGGCGAAGACACCACATGGACGATTGGCATGATTATGAGCGGCGGTGGGACATGGCACCGGGGTCTGCACCCTCCGTTTGGGCTGCAAAAATAAAGCATGATAGAATATAGAATTGAATAGACGAGATTTCCGTTGGAGGAATAACGACAAGCCTTCCGTGCGCCTGCATTTTCTTTTTCATGAGTCGTGCATGATCTGATGGTGAGACTGGTCCTACACTGGCCTCGTTGTTCCTTGTTTTGTGCCTTCCAAACCGATACAGGCATGAACCAAACTGAAGGGCTGACTAGATAGGTATCTTGCTATATCATCTTCAATCTTTGTGGTAAAATACGCGTCATTCAAACAGAAACTACGAGATCTGCTTCCACAGTGTGTGGTGAGAGAGGCCATAGCACAAGGTCCGCTCAGGTGTTCCTGTCGCACATCTACGACCGAAATGCTGCACCAGCTATATTTATATATAATAATAAAAAAAATGTTTATAAAAAATATAAAACTCTGAACTAGAAATTATAAAATTTGATAAATAAAAAGTCAAGGTAGTGAGAGTATTATATTGAATAGCAATCTTCTCTGAGGGCATATTTCCCCACATGCCAACCGGATGAACTCTATGCAGTTGATTGATTGATCATGATTCTGACCTGCTCGCTTTCACTGACCAGGTCCATGCCTGCCATGCCATATCATATTACCAATCTATGTAGCTTATGGTGCGCAAGGTGCGCAAGGTGCGCGGCTTCCCATGGGATGCACAAAGTCCATGGTCAAGGTTCTTGGCTCAGGAGCTTTCAGCATTTCAACACATTTCATCTTCTAGTTTTACGATTTCCTCTGTAAATGACGAATGAGAAATTCTCAGTCTTCCACGTCTGTCAATAATTGGCACAGCCACTCAAGAAGGAATCAACCAGCTTGGAAGGCCTCGACGACGGCAGTGCGTCCAAGCATTGAAGGGTCGCTTGGGTTATATACCTTGACCAAAAATCAACAATCAACCAAATGGGCGTGTGGTCTAGGGGTATGGCGTTCGGTAAGCTTACCTGCACTAAAACGGAATTTGAATGCAAACTAACAGGCTTAGCTTCGCATCCAAGTGATAGCGATCTTGCGAAAGGTCCGGGGTTCAATTCCCCGTTCGTCCAAACTTTTTGCGTTTTGTGATGATTTTTCTCCTTCTCGGTCTCCTTTTTTTGATTGCGGTATCAAATGATTAACCTTGCCGTTGTTTGGTACTCCTTCTAGTCAATATATTTTCCATTATCTCATGACGTTGCCAATACCTGGGTGCGTTCATTGGCTGAACACCTTTAGACTACCGAAGAGCAACTTACTGAACACTGACCATGAACGGGAGAACAAATTGTTGCACCGCACTCCTGAAGCCGAAGCGTTCCAGGATATGAGAATCTGATTATTTATAGGTGTCTGGGTGAAATTCGGTATTAAATTAAACAGCTTCATCTAGGACCATAGGCAAGATATTCTTCCTTGGGCCAAGAGCTGAAGACGAAAGATGATGCAAGTCTCCACCACGCTGCGGATCTGACATCTCCAGCACATCCATCCCAGCAGATGCGCGCTGATTGGCCCGCTCGTCTAGACAGCCAATCGCCAGGGCAGTCTTGCTCTCGGGACCCGGGGCAGCCGGGGACCAGAACGTGGTGCGGCTCGTTTTGTGTCCCGCCTCCCGCCTACACGCGTAGCTGGGAACAGATCCCGGCGATTAACTCGTACATCAGGAGGCTGATTAATGGGTAGGGCAGGCTTCCGATGGAGCAGGAGTGTGCAGAGTAGCGCCCTCATTGGCCGGTTCGTCTAAGAACGGAGAGAGTCTGCTTCATCTCCAGAGGCTGAGTTCATGCCACGCAAGATGACTAGATTAACACTTGGCGAGAGAGACATGGGATGGCATACATAAAGCCTCACCAGCGCTCTGTCGAGCTCCAAGTAGATGGACGGCAGAACACACTCATTCGGTGCTTTCATTCATCTCAAGGACACCCACATAGCAGGAGCCTCTTAGACACATCCAGCCATGGTCCTCACCTACCAGCTCGGAGGCAACTCCTTTTTCCTCGCCGCCTACTCACTTCTACTACTCCCCCAGGTCTTCTTTGGCCTGAAATACCGAACATGGGGTTTCTCCTTTGGCATGTTGTCCGGCTTGATCCTCGAGGTCATCGCCTACACGGCACGTATCCTCCTCCATCAGGGTAAAGACCACGCCGTCATGTAAGTCCACCGTCTACACCAAGACATATATATATATATCCCCTCTACGCCTCAACTCTGACAAAACGCACACCCAGGCAAATCGTCTGCGTCACCATCGGTCCCGCCTTCATCAGCGCCGCCATCTACCTCTGCCTGGCGCGCATCATCGCCGTCTACGGCGAGCACGTCTCGTGGCTGCGCCCGCGCACCATAACCATCATCTTCATGCTCTCCGACTTCTTCGCCCTCGTTCTCCAGGCCGGCGGCGGCGCCCTCACCGTCGGCCAGACCGATCTCGATACTCTGAATACCGCATTGGCCATCCTCAAGGCGGGTCTGGGCGTGCACCTCGGCGCGATTGGCATCTACGTGCTCCTGTCGTGCCAGGTCGCCTACTCGGTCTACAGGAACGCGAGCACATGGAACCCGCAGTTCGCCTCGCTGCAATCGTCGCCGAGATTCAAGGCATTCATGGGAGGTAAGTTGGCCCCTGGTACATATATTCCTGATTTCTCAATGGCTGACGGCTGGATTAGGGCTCGCACTCGCGACACTCTGCATCCTCGTCCGAACCGCATACCGAGTCGCGGAGCTGAGCGAGGGCTTCGACAGCAAGCTGGCGCAGAACGAGACCATCTTCTTCATCCTCGAGAGCACGCTCGTGCTGATCGCGTGCATCGCGCTGAGCGTCCTCCACCCGGGGGTCGCGTTTGAGGGACGCTGGCCAGACGCGGACTTCCAGCTCGGCGGGAGGAAGAAGGCCGAGTATGACAACAAGGACGGCGTCGATCTCAGCTCTTCGGGCACGGTATAGCGTTGCATGGGAGGGAGAAGGGGTTACATTTACATGGCGGAGGGGGAGGAGGCTTGGATGACGGGAATGCGCCGCGGTGGTGACGCTGGAAACGATAGATAATAATAACACATCAGATTGATAGATCATACGGCGAGTTCCCAGCCTCAGCGTCGTGCTGGTTGGTGCTTGGGCACGACTTGGCGCTGGGTGGCTGAGGCGATAATATTAGCGGGTGTTGGCGGGACGTTTTGGGCGGTGCTTTTGTCGTTGGCAGGAGCGTTAATTCAGTTGCTAGTGCAGCTTATTTTTCCCTCTCCATCTCCTGATGCAGTTAGTTGTGAGATGAAATGCAACACCCGTTTTCGAGCCCCCATCCCATCCCGCGTTGTCATGAACTACGAGAGGAGCATAGGGAGAGGAAGTAGAAGATTGTTTTGACGATCGACACTTGATATTCGGCAGTTGTTTGTTTGTATGTCTATGGCTTCGTCCATCCCGCGCGGTGCATGTGATGGCCATGGGTTCATGCGTTATAGAACAGGCGATCATGGCTCAGCCTTCCCCCCACTCTCCCGCCTAAAACGAGAGTCCGACGTCGCATCGCGCTGCCTCTTTTCCCCCGTCCGCGAGTTATTTGACGCCTCCAGCCTAGGAGTCCTTAAGCATAAGGGCTATTATGGGACACGGCAGTTGGCGAGGAGGGCAAGACGGCATCAGCCCTGCCCAGCACGACCATGCCCAATCAACGTTCTGTTGGTTGAAGGCCGCGCAATGGAAAAGCACAGAGATGAGGCCGTACCTGGGCCACAAGGCAGAATCGCCCACGCACTAAGGTCAACTGGGATGGCCGGTGTGCTGGTAAATTGCAGGAAAAAAGCCTGCAGAAACAGGGGTCTTCTGGTGCAATGGGGAACTCCCGATCACTTCTTTTTAGGGGGCCATCCATCCACACCCACCGAGCTAGTCGTACAAGCTTGTTGACGAGATCGTCCGTCTTACTCGTCTTATTCTCGGGAGTGGACCGCCCTTTTCTTCCATATTTATTCCCATTTCCCGCTGTGCCTGAGCGAGCCTTCATTCTCGTTTGTGTTTGTCTGCTCGTGTGGGCGATTGGATTGTGTTGGCCCTCATTCTCGACGCTGCGATCGACCGACTGACCGACCGTGCTGCCGACATCTGCATTTCCGTCCGACTCGCACATCGACCGACAACTTCTTCAAAATGGCCAAGACCAGACGCGATCCGGGCAAGGAGCACTTCCCCCCCTACCCCGGCGGCTTCACCTTCCTGCGTATCCTCCAGCTCCTCTTCGCCATCCTCGAGCTCGGTCTGGCGGGTTTTGCCCTGAGCAAGGCCCAAGGTGCAGGTCTCGCCTTTGTCGCGGCTCTGGTAAGTTTGCGGTGGTGTCAAGCCAATACAAACCCTTGCTGATCTTAACTCAATAGGCTGTCGTCACTGCCATTGTCAATACCTGGATCGTGAGCGCCCACTGCTGCGCTCCCCGGGCCTACAACTACTGGGCCGTCCTCGTCTTCGAAATGCTCTTCCTGCTCTTCTGGCTCATCGCCACCGCCCTCCTCGCCCTCGCCGCCGTCGGCATCTTGGCCTACGACCACCTGTACCCCGGCAGCTGCTACAACGGTCTCTGCCTTGGCGACTTCAAGGGCAAGAGCAGCACCAAGGCCATGCAGGATCTATACGCCGTGTTTGACGTCCTGGGTCCTGTTCTGGCTGCTGCCGCTGGTGTTGCCGCCATTCAATTGTAAGTGCTGCCTCATACATCCAAATCCAGGACCAGGTCCGACTAACCATTCCTTGCAGCCTGTTCTACTTCATATCTCTGCTCATCCACAGCATCGTCGTCTGCAAGCACCGCCGCGCCGGCATGCACAGCAAGCCCGTCAAGGCTGGCAGCGGCAACAACGCCATGTTTCCCATGAAGACGCAGTACGCCCCCATCAACCCCCAGGACGCGCCCGCCGGCCACCAAGATACTGCCTACAACCCCAACGCACCATACGGCTACAACGCTGCCGTGCCCCAGAACACGGGCTACACGTCGCCCACAACCCAACACACGGGCTACAGCTCGCCAGCGCCTCAGAACACGGGGTATAGTTCGCCGGCGCCCCAAAACACGGGATACTACGCCCCTCCTCCCACCACGACAGCCTACCCGACCCAGACCTACGGCGACGTCACCGACGTCAAGGTCGCCCCAACGGAGCACTCGTCCACCACCGGAGCAGTGCCCTACCAGTCCTCCGTCTCCCCTGCCTCCAGCTCGGCCGCCTACGTGCCTCCCCCCTACGCGGCCCCGGCGTACCAGCCGCCCGCCAGCTCGTACACCTACGACCCCAACTCGATCAACGGGTCGGGGAACTCTCAGCAGCCGTACCAGCCTCCTCCTCCGGGAGCGTACTAGAACGGGGTTAATGAGAGCTTGGATTGACACGATATTGATGACGGGTTGGAGGAAGGACACTGTATAATTCAGGAGTAATGGGTGGTATTTTAAATGGGTTACTTTTTTATTTATTCCTTAATGTGTACTTTCAGACTGGCGGGATGCCAAAATGGATATTTTCTGGATCAAGACTTGATAATTCGTGCTGGCGGTGTCAATGTTTGTGAGTTTGTTATTTCTCGTAGTATGGCCAATTCATCCCGTCTAGAATTCCGATCGTTATCCATTGATCTCCCGTTTCATTAGATGATGAAAATTGGCGCCCAGACTGGACGACAAGGTAGTGCAGAGCAAATCTTGGCGAGATCGGCGACCTCCGAGGATCCTGGCCGAGATAGTGGTGGCCCTGGTGGGATCAGCCCCGCGGACGACCGCGGGGTAAGAAAAAAAAAGGGAGATTTCTTCAAACTGTGTCTCATGTTTCAGAGTCAATTCCAGACAGTCGCGGGGAATATCTCCGTTGCAGGAACTTTTTTCTCACATCATGAAGGTGCGAGCGTCTGGCCAGGGGCAAGAGGATCCTGTCATCGCTCAACCAGAAGCCGCCGATGGAGGTGAGTCAAGGTCAGACCTGGAGGAAACTACTTAGCTAACGGAGATTTGTGAGGCCTATCGATACACGTCCAAGAAGACGATGATGGCGATTACCCCGAGGGAGGGTTTACGGCTTGGATGGTGGTTGTCGGCGCCTGGTGTGCCATGGTCCCCCCGTTGGGCATGATGAATACGCTCGCGGTGCTCCACGCTTGGCTCGGGGAGCACGAGCTGAAGGGGATACCTGAGAGCACGACGGGTTGGATTTTGAGTGTCTACGCTTTCTTTATCACCGCTTGTGGTGCCCAAGTTGGTCAGTTGCACTGCGAGGGCGTTGTTGTGCTACGAAGTTGACGATGTGTAAAGGACCGATTTTCGATGCTCACGACATCAAACTTCTACTAATACCTGGCTCCATTGGCACGGTCTTGTCCATGGTGTTTCTCAGTCTATCAACGGGTGAGGCATCACGCCATTGGCAGACCGTCTACGCAACTACGCAATACTAACCTTGCGCCACAGAGTTCTACCAGTTCCTCCTGTCGTTCGGCTTCTGCGGCGGCATCTCCGCCTCTCTCCTCTTCAACCCAGCCCTCTCCGTCGTGGGCCACTGGTTCTGCAAGCGCCGCGCCCTCGCAACAGGCCTGGCCTGCACGGCCGGCGGCCTAGGAGGCATCGGCTTCTCCCTCATCATCCAGCATCTCGCCCCGCGCATCGGCTTCCCCTGGGCCATGCGCGTCATCGCCCTCATCTCCCTCGTCCTCCTCCTGATCGCCAACGTCTTCCTCCGCAAGCGCATACCAGATAATAAAGACGCAAAGCTGTACATGGACTTCGGCCAGCTGCGCGACGCAAAGTTCGCCATCACCGTCCTCGCCATCTTCCTCGTCGAGTTCGCCGTCTTCGTCCCCTACTCGTACATCTCCTCCTACGCGGTCCGCAGCGGCCTCGGCCTGCAGACCTCCCTCCTCCTCAACACCGTGCTCAACGCGGGCGCCATCCCTGGCCGCGTCCTGCCGGGCTACGTGGCCGACCGGGTCGGCGCCTTCAACACCATGTGCGCCACGTCGCTGTGCTGCGGCGCCCTCGTTCTGGGGCTGTGGCTGGTCGCGGGTGGAAATTATGTGCGCGTCGTGTCGTTCGCGGCGCTGTTCGGGTTCTGGTCCGGCGCGGCCATCAGCCTGTCGCCCGTGTGCGTGTCGCGGGTGTGCCGGATCGAGGACTACGGCAAGGCGAACGGGATCACGTACTTTGTGGCCAGCTTCGGGGCGCTGGTGGGTATTCCCATCGCGGGCGCGTTGGTGAAGGATGAGGGGGCCGGCGCCGGGTCGTACAGGGCGTTGATTTTGTTTGGGGGGATGGCTTACATGTTGGCGTTTGCGGCGTTTTGCGTGGCGAGGGGGGTGGCAGGTGGATGGAAGCTGGGGTGGTTTTGAAGGATCAATCGGCGCAGCAGGTCATTTTGCTCGGTGTTGGATGGAACAATAGAACAAGTTAAGGTCGGGTCAGTTGGTGGGAGTCATTGGTCATGCGGCTTTGGAAGCTGCTGGTGATAGCCTCGTATTGAGTCGAGGGAACGCCAGATTATGACTAAGCGCGATGCACACGAACTGTCTGTGGCGCATCTGCATCTCAGCCACTTCTATTTTCAGAGCGGCAGCGCCACAGCAGCACTTCAGTGCTCGTCTTGACCCTGTACAGAGCCTGAGATTTTCATATCGGCGAATTGAATCAGAAGCAGCTCAAAAGCAACAGCAAATTTTATAGTTTCGCAACGAATATTAGACAAATGTAATTAATTGAGATATACTTGGAATCATAGCAAGTCGTGACAAGCAAAATTCAGTCTATTGAGGTGGGAGTCGCAACACTAAGATCAATGCGCGGGAGTGACTGACGCAGCATGAGTCTACCCCAGGACTTCTGACCTGGATTCCCTGGCCAGCCTCTCCAGCCATCCTCGAGCCATCGTCTAGCTCCTCGAGCGAAGTGGAACAAACAACATAGCCATACTCGCCGACGTATGTCCTGACGTTGACCGCATCTTCTCAACTAGGCATCGTGCTATGGACCGATCGCCCGCTACCGTGGCCCTAACCTAGACCCAGGTTGAATCCATCGTCAATCCTCGGTAAACACTTCTCCTCGTCTACTCGACGCAATGTAGCTCGCAATGATTATCGCCGAAGACGCAAAATGACATAACTACATTGGGGTCCGGTGCTCCTGGTAAGCACGTCGACGTCAAGGGTGAATCGCCGCCGCTGTCTCAATGGTCGAATGTGAGATGTTTGCCCCGCGGTGCCCCTCCCGTTGGCCAGTTGAAACTCTGGCGCCAAGTAACCATTCGCTCATGGCAGGTCCTGGACGCCTCTTTATGCAGGTCAAAATGGATTCATGTATACTCCGGATTTACATAGTAATTCTCTCCGATTTGTTTTCTTTTTTATCGACCAAGTTGCCGGGAGCCTGTCCACCGCGTCATCAGGGCGATAGAGCATGAGAGAGATGCTCACGCCACGGTCATGTGCCAGGGCATGATCACGTAGAGGATGAGTCCATACATAGCACCAGATAGGGAACACCGACAGTCCCTCGAGAAGGAAGCCATACGGGGCCTCCAGAAGTCTCGAGAGGGCCGGGCCGGGGCAGGTGAGGCAGCGCACATGATGGGATTGGCCTGTTATCGTCGTCCACATGCGCCTGCGTCATCGCTGCCCCACGCCTAGGCAGTTCAGAATCAGCTTCAGACGCTCAGCTCCTCTTCCTCTAGACAGGGTGAGACGATAGGGCAGGGCGCCTAGGCAGACGCAAGGATGCCATGCAGGCAGGCAGACTGGCGCCAAGCAGCGGCAAAAAACCTCAATAGCATCAAGAGCTCTTTAATGCCACCTGCCGCCGAGATGCCCTGATTCTCCTGCCACTTTTACCCCTCCCGTCCCTCTCGTCGATCTCCCCGACGCCGTCGCCAGTTTTAGTACTGCCATTTCCACTATAGCTCCTGCTAGCACCGACCTACACCACACCACACCACCAGCACGAGCGACGATATTTGCTTTGGCACAACAGGATAAGCAGGGGCGAGCTGACATTGGCTGACTGTGCTGGACCCGAGAGAGATACCTAGGCTTCCTAACTACAATTTATCTCAATCCCATTGCCTCCCCATCTGCCACCAACTAACCAACCTACCTACCCGACTCTGACTGTCTGTTAGCGCACGCTATAGCGACAGCTGCCTATCGCCCAGGCGGCACCAGACAGACAGCGACGATGCCTCTGTCACCCATCAAGCTGCTCACCGCCAAGCTCAAGAGCCCGACCACATCCTCGCACTCGAAAGGCTCCAGCAGCAGCCACCACTCGTCCGACCGGCGCTCGCGATCCTACGACCCGGCCAGGAGACCCTCCCGAGACGGCAGAGAAGAGCACACATCCTCGTCGAGGAGGCGCGCGAGCTACGCACGACCCCGCAGCCCCGATCCCTACCACCCCTCCTCCTCGTCACGGCCCTCACGGCACGAGCGTCATAGCCGGCGTCGGGACTCGTCCGAGTCGAGCCCAGAGCCACGGTACTCGCGGCCGCCGCCCCGCGATCGAGATGAATACCTGAGCGCCGAGCGGTGGGAGGACGATCGGGGTCGGCGCCGCGCCTCGTTGGCTCCCCCGGAGAGGGATGAACGACCGCCGCTGAGTGGTCGTCCGTCCAGTGTCGACTACAGGCGGCGACCTTCTCACTCAAGGCGCGATTCGACGTCTGGAGGGTACGCGTACGAACCTAGAGATGACCCTAGGCTCTTTGAGCGCCGGCCGTCAGTACAGGGCAGATACAGGTCAGATAGGGAAAGATATAGCATTGTGGACTCACCTCCGGTGTCTCCTGGGCGGAGGGAGAGTCTGAGGTCGCCGCGGATACCTAGAGACGACACGCCTCCTCGCTCGAGCAGGCCGCATGCATCGCCTCGGCCGTCAGACTATAGACCCTATGAATATAGGCCGCATGACCAAAGAAACGACTCAAGGCACGACTCAAGGCCATATGAAGCCCCGCCGAGACCGCACTCGCAGAGCGTCGACAGCGCGGCGAAGCCAGCAACGTCGTCAGGCTCTAACTTGTTCGCTTCGATGCCGGCTGCCATTGCTGCCTACGCTGGTCTCAAGGAGGTCTCCAAGCACGCCGAGACGGCTAAGGAGTGGATCGATTGGCTCAACGAAATGAGCGAAACGCCCGAGGAGATTCAGGAGTTGTCTGCACAGGCTGCCACCGCGAGGGATACCATCAACCAGGTGCAGCTGACACTCAAGGCTCGGCCGGACCTCGTTGAAGGCGAACAGGGTGAGAAGCTCAAGGGGCAGATCGAAACGTCCATCAAGAGCACGGACAAGGCCTTGGAAAAGATGACGAAGCTGCTGTCGGAAATCAGCAGCGAGAGCACGTCGGCCTCGGGCCAGGCGGCAATCAACCAAATGCAAAGCTTCTGGAGGTCGTATCGGTACAAGAATGACTTTGAACAGCAGGTCAAGAAGGCCCAGGAGGATGTGCAGAAGGAGTTGTCATCGCTTAGCACTTTGATGGTCAACATCTACTCGTACGTACACTTACAACCGCTCTTGTGTCCTTCCCCTCGAATCCGTACTAACTATACTCACCATAGACGAGCCCTGATGAAGCCGCCTCCTCCTGGGGCCAGCCCGATACCCCCTCCGGCTCCCACTCCAGCTGCTCCCAGCCCAGAACCTTCTGCCAAGGCCAACGCAGCTCCCGTTGTCCAACCTCTTGCTGCAGCCACCCCAGCTTCGGCAGCCACGACAGCTGCCACGACGGCTGCCCAGCCTGCACCAGCTCCTTCATCCGCTCCTACGCCCGTTAATACGGCACAGCCTTCTGCCGTGCCAGCCGCTGGGGTGAGACCAAGCGTAGATACCAACGCACCTCCCGTGCCCAAGATTTCTGAGCCAGTGCCGGCATCACCACAAGTATCACAACCCGTGCCAGCTGGCAGTAGGACTGAGACCTCAGCTAATGCAGCTTCCCTTCCGCCCCAGTCTCCTCTGTCTGGTGTAAATGAAAAACCTGCTTCCGCTGCATCTCCGACGCAGCAGGCACCCGCGGCCGCGCCCTCACCCACCACCCAACCACCAGTTTCGTCCCCCTTAGCCAAGGCAGACACGGCAACTGCTGCCGCCCAGGTTTCATCATCGGCCGATCCCCGACGGCCATCACAGTCACAAAGCCCGCGGCAGCCTTCCCAAAGCCCTCACCCGCAGCAGTCACCGTCGCACCGTGACAGCGTCCACTCTGTCCACTCGAATCATTCCGCCCATGACGCGGACGATAAGCTGTTAGATGCCGCCTGGGACGGAGATTTCGACGCCACAGTGCAGGCTCTGCGTCACGCCTCCCCACGCACCTGCGACGAGCAGGGCCTGACCGCGCTGCACCTAGCCGCCGACCGCGACAACTTGGCTGTCGCCATGCTGCTGCTCGACCGCGGTGCCGACGTAAACGCACGGTCAAACGGTGGACGGACACCGCTGCATCTCGCAGCGCGGTCGGCCACAGCGTCCACGGTCGAGATGCTGCTGGAGAGGGGTCGGGCAGACCCCAACGTGCAGACTGCCAAGGGTCGCACGCCCCTGCACTACGCGGCCAGCAAGGCAGAGGACAGCGACGAGGAGAGGAGGGAGGTCCTCAGGGTGCTACGACACTGGAACGCCGACCCAACGATCAAGGATGCGGAGGGTGCCACGGCGAGGGACGTCGCAGAGAAGAGGAACCACATTAATGCTGTAGGTATCCTGCGAAGGGCCGAGCGGAAGTGGGAGGAGGACCACATGCCCGAGTGGGAGGAGAAGCATAGGCCTGGGTGGAGGGAGCGGCACGGATTCAAGAAATGACAAGGGTCCCATCCTGATGCGAGACATTGGTGTGCTGGCGATGGCGATGACGGTCTCGATCCTCAGCCCACGGGAAGATGCAGCAGTCACCGGCATTAGGCATATCACGTCTAGACCACGGGAGACTGCCGCGGGCGTCGTATATAGTACAGCTCACACACTCACCCCTCATTCGTCAGCGGATGGGAGCTGTGTTGCACAACAACAGATAATCTCCGGAATCGTGCTTTAGCTTGTTTTGAAAGAGGGAACAGAACGTTTACACAACGCGGCATTGACGTTTACCAGCCCCTTCTCTTACGTGTCCCATGGTGCCTTGTGCGATGCTTTGCAGAATTGACTTGATTTCGTAGAAGGTGCTAGATTTTTGCAGAGTTGACTGGAGTGATTGCGAGCTTCTGGCGGTCCAAAATTTGGGGATAAATAGGTCGTCTTCCTCCCAACTTCCCTCTCGACTTTTCTTTCCTCTTCATCCTCACCACCACCACCAACCCCCCATTCTTCTACACATTCCCCTTCCACCCCATGGCCTGGAGCCATGGGAAGGCCCATCATCATTGGGCCTGGCAAGCTTCACAGCTTCATGGGTAAGTCTACTTCCACTTGATCCAAAGCCTTCTTTCCTTTGTGTTCTTTGTTTGATGTTCACTTGACTTACACTGCTCTGCCTTAGGGGTCGCCCTTGCCAACAATCACGACTATTGGGGAACCTGGACAGGTGAACTTGAGCATGGTCGGGCCCGGGTATATTCAGATTCATCCGTAAGTGTATCGCCTCGGGCTCTGAAGCTTAACCTTCCTTCCCTGGTCTTCTTTGCTTGATGTTCACTTGACTTACATTGCTCTGCCTTAGGGGTCACCACGTTTCCCCACGATTCCCCACGATTGTGGGGCTTGGGGATTCTAAGTATGGTCAAGCCTGGAGAGCTTCACCTTCATCAGTAAGTGTGTCGCCTTGTGCTCTGAAGCTAACCTTCCTTTGTGATTCGGACTGATGTTCATTTTACTGACATCGTTTAGTCCTCTATTAGTGGTCCCGTCCCTCCTTCCATTGCGGAGCATGCCATTGACACTCTCATTGGTGCTGGGCCTGGCCAGCGGCGAGTGTAAGTGCTTTACCTCATGGTTCGAAGCTAACTTTCCTTTATGCTCTTCAATCTAACATTGTTCAAAGCGTCCCAATCCTAAGCCGCAAAGAGGTTGATGATCGATGGGTTGGCAAGCTACACAGCTTCATTCGTAAGTGTACTATCTTGTGGTTGAGTCAACCCTCCTTTGGCTTTTCCACTTCATGTCCATTTGACTAACAATATACTTGAGCCCATGAAGGTGGTGCAATTCCTCCCTCATTGACAGAGTCGTCTGCCAATGAGCGCACCCCGATAACTTGTCTGGGGGAAGTTCATGAGTAAGTTACTACCTTCGTTGGAAGTCAGCTCCCCCTTGTACCTCCTTTCATGATGACTCGGCTAACATTATTCTTCAGCCCCAAGATGCGCCTTACCTTTGCTTCTTTTCCATGTTTGGGACGTTTTGACTATGGACCGAACATGACAGGCATCAGACAAACGGCGGGTCTGTCCTAGACAAGTTAATGTTGAGCATAGATGAACCATTTCCTCAACCCCACGATGAGGGTCTTGCTTTGGGGTTTCCTTCTCCTTTGGTCTCAAACAACGAGAGCCATTGTTTACTGGGAAGAGGAGGAATTTATTGGTAAGCCAACCCATGGTCTGAAGCCAACTCTCACTCCTTGGTGTACTTGCTATTTAGTTTTATTTCGACTAACATCTCTCTAGCGCAAGGCTATGGTTCATGATGAACGGCGGGGACGATCTTGCAACTTGATCGCTAGTCTCCTTTGACAGCATCTCTACTGACCGCTGAATGGAAGACTCCAGGGATTGACTTCCTCTTATCCTGGACCTCCAGGAATATCTCTTGTACTGGACTGTTAAAAATGATGGTGGCTGGGAGCTGGACGGAGATGCCCACAAATGTGGCTGAGGTAGGTCTCTTGAGATATTGAGATCCCTTGCCCCTCCCGTCTTCGAGCTTCCTGATCTAACATGGGTATAGTCTGAAGCCTCTCAACTGGGAATCCGCGGCGGCGTTTGCTGAAATTGGGGCGGGTGGTGGTGTGATCAATCATCCGTCGAATACGCTCCCGGGGGCATACATGTGGTTAGACGACGGAGAATGTGAGGATCATTTGGATGGTACGTGTCTTCACCACCCTACCTCACCCCTTATTTCATGATTGCGAGATCTAACTTGTCTTCTTAGTCGGCCATTTCACTGCGCGTCCCGCACCGTCCCAAGTGGCATTCAATATGGCAACTCGACAAGAGAATCACTTGGATGTTTGCGACAAGGGAGACGTCTCCATGGCATGGCAACTCAAGGAGACATGAATAACTTGGTGTCGACTCTAATAATGCAGGGTCGCAACATCTTAATTGCTGGCGGGGTGTCTATAGAGCGGATACATCGCCAGCTGAATACTGATCTACTCCCTATCTTAGGGGAGGACCTACACCGATAGGCGACAGTCTTGGTCAGACGGAGCAGTTGCCTCGTGTCCGGTCCCAGGGTCGCAACAGTTGACATCCTGGACAAATATCATCGATCGGGGTTTCACGTATATTGATATTTGCGCTGATGCGGAAATTCATCATCAACCCTTACGATGCCTAGAGCTCTCGTTGATGAGTGTCAACCCGTCGGGGCCCGCCGCAAGCCTTCGTACAGACCCGACGAAGTCTATGAGAATCCGGAAGCCGTAAAGGCACTCACCACATGTGTCTCCGCAGCAATGTATGACAGTTGAGGAAGCCGAAGGCCTGCTTCCGAGTATGTTACCCTCTGGCCCTTTCTCACACGAGTGGGAGCTAACTCTTCTTTCTTTGGCAGTTCACATGACACCGGAATATTGGCTTTCTTTTTCTCAGATCTCTCCCTCTCAATGCCCGTGGCACCGAAGCTAGACTGATCTCCCCGTCTTGATCACCCTTTATGAGAAACTTCTTACACTGGTGGCTTTGAGACGAGATGGCCCATACATCTCGATTCGACTTGGTGGCCGAACCATCGTGACAATATCCCACTTGTGGAGAGTGTGGGAAAGAGTCAAGATCAAGTCCCATCCGGCCAAGAACCCGCTGCTAGCGCTCTTTGTCACCTCAAGGCCTTAGAAGACACTGCAAGCGGTTCTGTTTCGCCCATGAGAACTATATCGCCCTTGGACACCCGGATCCCAAATATCTGGGCTACTCATTGGCCTGAACCGACCAAGATTTGGATATCGCAGCATTCAGAAGGACGGGCTTAGCAGACTTTGGCACCTTCATCAACCCGTTCCGGTGCCGTTGATTCTCGCGAGGAAAAGCTTTGACGAGCGCTCGTCATCCCGGCAGTCGAATCACATTAACATATAATGTTGCCGTAGCGAAGGCAGTCTCACCAACCCCAACTCCCGATCCTGCTACTCTTCTGCCACATGCCCGGGAAAAATTTCGACAAACAGTTGGCGGAACATAGCAGCCCTGAATAATGTGCTACCCGTGGTATTCTACGCCATTGGAGCAAGTCATATATTTGGCTCAAAAGACATAAAAGCCATCTTCGGGGCGAGACACAAGGTCGATCCACGATTTATGGGGCTCGTGCTACTGAAACTGACACATCCGACCGAACGGCATCCCACCGCCTACTTTGACGGAATGTTGCTGCAGTACCTCATTCTGGAGATTCCCAATTGTGGTGTTACAACTCAATATCGACACATTAAAGACCTTGCGAAGTTAGTGCTCGACAGGGAGGAATCCATTGACCGAAGTTCCCTAATGGATCGTGCGACAAGCCTTGTGGCAGGGCCCGGCTTCTCTTCTTCAATCACCCAAATTTGTTCTGGTGTCTTGTTGATTGCTCAGTTAATCATGCCTTCTCGCACCGATGATATTTGGCCGCTCTTCACTATTCCGTTGAAGTCGCCGAGCTTCGGTCCGAGTATGACGCCAGCCTCGAGGTCGCTGCAGACTACTATGGATGACAGGCGCGTCGATCTGAAGCCTTGGCCACCGATCATTTCAGACCCGGCCGAAGAGTTGCGACTGGGTTTCTGGCGGCAAAACGGTATTAACGTTGCCTCTGATTTACCTTGCCAGGTCGAAGAAAGGCTAGAGTTGTGGAAAATCTTGCTGCACCGAGTTGGGAGTCTGAAAAGCCCCCTTGCTATTCCACAAACCTATTACAGTTCGACTCACTTGTGCGAAAGCCAGATCTGGGAGACAGATTGGGCATCAGCCCCGTGGTGTTCTCTTTGGTGAAACTGGTCATTATTGGTGGTCTGCCCGCGTTCGCACTCAATTGCAGGAATGAGTTGGAGCTTCTTCTCTATCCTGTCAAAGCACCAAACTCCTCTTGCCCCGAGTTTGGCCTTTGGGAGAATGAAGACACGCCATGGCAGAGAAACACCAAACTAGACACCCACCAAGGGCTCGGCATTAGCGAGGGCCACAACGATGAAGAAGGACCGATCTGCTCGAGTCTTCACGGTCTGGTTTGGGCCTGCCGGTAGAGCACGATGTCGCCTGCCATATAACGATACTTTGCTCCGTGTCGCCCAGGCGGCAGACGTGGATAATGTTTCCTCCCTGAAGAAGGTTACTGTAAGTAAACCCATTGACTGGCCAGTGTTGAAGCTTCTGACTAACATTTTCTTTGGTAGAGGAATTCAGTCATCTTGTTGAATCTTATGACTTCCATGTTATTCAAACATGGGGATGTTGCTGGAAGTCGCCAAGAGGGATCTACTTTTACAAGTTCGCAGTTTTACTCTTGCAGGCTCTTTTCTCTTTGATGAGACTAGTCCAACATTGTGCGCTTCGTGCAGTATGTTCTAGCTTTCATCGTTGCGAGCTCGTTTTCTGCCGCCAGTTTTATTCCAGCCTACGGGGGGGGGGGGTCTGTTGTCATTCCCCATTCCTCAGCATTGAACATGACATGACGGAGTCATCTGGTCGCAACAGTTGACGCTGACATCGCTGGTGCAGGCATCCTCACCTGGAGGAGGATGGCGGGAGGGGCTGACTTACGAGACACTGAGGGGATCCTGGTACCCCAACAACAACCCTTACGGCGCTGGGCTGCCTAAGGAGATGATTGTCCTGTCCGGGATGCTCTTTTGAGGCTTCAGCGTCATGATACTAGACTGCCTCGAGGACCGCAACTATGCGGATGTGTCACTGTCTCCGAAGTCGCGGTTCGTCTTGAACAGGGCCATTATGATGGCGGAGGCCGCGTCGAGGCAGAGTGGACACCCAGAGCCTGGGGCGTGGCTTATGTGCGGCCCTCGATATACCAGGACAGGTATATACGACATGGTCATCATGAGAAGCTGCGATGATCCCGAGGACGAGCAGTCGATGCAGAAGAAGATTGACAAGGAGATGAGGCATCAGCGCAAGTATGAGAGCCCAGAAGGATCTGTAGCCTTGGTAGGCTATGGTCCCCGCAGCGAGGACGAGGCCGCCATCGAGTCCGTGGACGAGGAGCCCATGGATGAGTGTACGGAGTACTTGGGAAATGATGGTGGCAGCTTAGCGGATTTTATGCAACATCTGGCTTGTGAGCTGGATGCAGCTGTCGACTATACGAGTAAGGAGGGTCGAGAGTCTCCTTTACAAAGAGCCGTTGCTATTTGCTCTTGAATGGTACCGAAAAGTTCTCTCGTGGCAAGCTGCTCCGTGACTTTTTCCTCTTACCGAGCAATTGAATCCAACTGCAACAAGGCCACTTAAAGATTGACAACATCCGAAGCCATGTGTAAGTGGCAATATCCATCAGGCGCAGGATAACAGATATTACCCACCGCATTATCTACAAGGCTCTAAATGCTTGCCACCTGGTAGATATTAAGAGCGATGATTCGGTATGGGTAACTGCGAAGTCAGTCTTCGTGTGGAAAGGATGTTCTGGATATTTCAGGGTCCGTGGAACGCTTGATATAATCAAGACTGTCATCGCCACATCAGACCATCTCCATAGAGACATCAAGCCAATTGCCTTGGGCTCTCCCATGAACCTCACCAAGCCATTGCCTCTCCCACCACAACCTCCCCCAACGATGCAAGGATTTGTCATATCACCGAATATGCAATCATGCAACCTTGTTTACCACACCAACAGCGTCCTCAGCAAGAAATAAGAAGCTTGATCCCCCAGAAATACATCGGGGAATTTTATTCCTTTTGGAACATGCACACCAGTTGCGATTTGATCAACGGCCGAAGTAATACTTCGGCCAACTGGTCAAAAGGTTTGAAAGAGGTGTTCCAATCCAGGAGCGGGACAGACCTGGGTATCCGACTGGTTTAGGAGAAGGTACGAGCGGATGCAGCAGAGGTCGGAAGAGCCAGCGGCGAGCACGGAGAGGAGAGGGTATGGCTAGCCCAAATTATCCTCGAAATCGACAATCTAGCTCAAACGTTTTCCAAATAACCTCTGCCTTGATTGGGTTTTTTTTTTGGACATGTCAGCCACCCTTCCACTGCCTCAAATTCATAGTATTCGGAGAGAATGGAAATTCATCGAACTGCCCCGTCACAGGGACAACAATTTGAGACAACAAGGGGCAATAATCCGGAACAATAATCACGGACAACAATCCCAGAATGACAATCCGGGGTGACAAATTCTACAGATACCACATACTGCTGCGGGTCCAGTTCATTCGACAAAGGTGTCCAAATCTCATGCCACGACGCCTATTTGTTACACACCTGCAGCTCGCCACAGGCCGTGGGGTTTAGAGACTCTTACCTTGGGTGGATTTGAGCTTGACCTTCGCGTCTTCCCTCTCTCGTATAGGAAGTCCCAAAGGTCGTGAAAAAGCGATCATTCTACAAGCAGGTGGAGGATAAAACGGCCGAAATGTGCGGCGTCATGAATAATTCCCTGGTGTGGATTTGAAGAGAAAGCGAAAAACGCCCTGACGACGATGAAGGCCATCACCGGGGTGGTCCAAAGTGATTCTTTATCATAAGTGACACCCGCTAGCTTGTTCTGGGGCTGTTAATTGGCATATTCGGCATACATATCTGTGGTCCCGGAGCTGGCGAAGTTCGAAATGGTTCTGCCGTTCCATTTCCCTCGCACTTGGTGGTCTCGGTCGAAGTTCTTCACATCGAAGGTTATTGCAGCTGAATAGGAAGGGAGACGAATCAGACGACGAAACTCCATTCACGAACTATGGGACACTCATACGTCAAGCAATGCATCACAAACCACTCCAGAAACACCGTAATCACCGACGCCAAATAGGAGCTTTCGCGCATGCTTGCGAACGTCTAGATGCTCCGGGCTGGATCCCACATGCATGCTGGAATTCACCATCCTCCAAGCAGTAATATGGCGCGGAACTCTTTGAACAGGAATTTTCCGAACTAGAAGATACTCCCAGAAAAATTTCCGGGAATGAAGCGGATGAACACCAATCTTTTCTACTTCCAGAACAGTTTCAAAAACAACATTGGCCCACAAGGCACACATCGATCAGCAAGGGAACGATTGAAAACCAAACCTGGAACTTTCGAACAACAAGATTCGTTCACTAGACCCAAACAGTGGATTTTCCAATAAAATTGGATCTCTCGATGCCAATCATCTTCAAAAATGCCTGCCTCCTGTATTAGCATTTGCCTTGTCTTGATCAGGAGAAGGGTAGTTTCCCTCGCTTCGACGTCATGTCTGACAGGACTTCATTTGGGTTTCAGCCTCTGAGTAGGTCGGACGTTCACGAATCTCTTGTCTACTTCTCTAACATGGCTGTCACCCTTGAATGGTGCTGGGCCACCATCTCTGTCAGCGAGGTTATCCGTCGAGCGTTCCACCAGGATACCTGCGCTTCCCTTGCGGATGATGACGATCCGGGGCTCTGCAAACATCCAGAAAACGGACAAAAAGCAGTTTATGACCTCCATAGGCCCCTTCCGGGGGTGAGTCGATCGACGCGACTCCTTGGTCTGGTCTTCTGCTGAAGTGCCTAACGATTACAATCTCTTCCTTGACCTTCTCCCTTTCAGCCAAATGCCGAGTTTCATGGGTTCGCTATTCTGCGCCATCCGGCGTATCCAAGATCGTTTCCTGGAACGTATTTTTGGAAATTTTCTCATTTGGCAGAGTGTTGGGTTAACCCTCGAAATCTGCGAGCATGGGCGTTGGTTCCTCAAGCACAGCCATACTCCTCATCGAAAGCGGAAATCGCCATGTTGAATGGGAATCGGCCGAACTCATTGCAGCTTGAGATATCATCCAAAGGCAAAGGAGAATCACCATCGCAGCACCCTGTGGATTTTCAGTAACGAGGCTGAGGCATCTGGAACCGACCTTCTCGTTAGCAAGCGGGCGGATGAAATGAACGTCAGTGTAGACGAGTACCTCTCTCGCATCCGCGAAAACATCCAGCTCGAACATCTCGAGTCTAATGAGGATGACGCCAGAGTTGCGGCCGAGGAGGCCGAGGCCAATCCCGCCCTCGTCCCCGCTGACGCTGACACCATCGCTCGGGGGAAAAACGCCATGGACAACTGGCATGGGTATACACCGAAGAACCTGACTTCCTCCGCTCTTGACTCCATACTGACTACGGACTCGCTGAACAATGCGATCACCCGCCTACATGTCGAGAGTTACAAGGCTTTCAGGGATGTCCAGCGTGCCCATCGCCACGGCCTGATAAGTCACTACTCAGGCCTAAAGCCCCGTATTATCGCCGACAGCCAGCCGCAACTGACCATAGAGTCCTCATTATTTGTGTCAGAGCAAGTAGATTCTCAGCTACCACCGGCAGGGGACAGAAACCCTCTACCATTACCGAAAGTGGGAGTGAACTCGAAGAAGAAAAGTACGCCCATACAGCTCGGAATACATGCAAGCATCTTGAGATATCATCCAAAGGCAAAGGAGAATCACCAGTTTGAGGATTTTAGATCTTAGTCATGGATAAGATATGGCCAACGGAAGTACTGCGTCCACGTGCAAGGGAAAAGAAGCTTGCCGTCCGGGAATTGGTCCAAGCCACTTGGGCTGATACTCACCTTGCAACCCAGCGTTTTGTTTCTGGGGTTTGACGTGTTAGAGTGGACGGACGGAGATATCGTTGAAGGGTTGGCTAAGGAGGAGCTGTCCGAAGAGAATTGTGGAGGGGTGTGGACCACAGAAAAGGGCAACTTGCGTATGCCTGCAAGTTGGCCAATGCCCGCTACGGGTACATACAAACAGACAACGAAGTCATTGCTTGCCGCTTCAGCCGTACAGGCGAAGTTTGGGAGGCAGAGGTCATGGAAATCCCCGTGGGCCTTTCCGGAAACGATGTGATGACCACGGAGCTGGGGAAAGCACACGCCATAAAATGAAAAGAAAACATTCTTCTTCACAAGAGAGGAAAAATCTAGAGTTGTACCAACATTGCGGCCACTCTGGAATTGTTGGGAGGCTGGGAAACATGCAGGAACAGGTCCCGTCGTGATTTCGAAACGATTCTCCCATCACTACTTCCCACTCAAGAGCTGGGGTCTTCAACATCCACTTCTCCACTATGGCCGCTGAACTTGCCATTTTCAAAGTCTATGAGAAAGGCTATAAGAAGAGCAGATTATCAAGCAACTGGCCTCGTTCTCAGCAGCTACATTTGAACACAAGCTAAGAGGAATGGGAAGTAGGAAGTCCCAGTTCACCAGCTTCATCACAGTCAACCGCGACACAGTGGAAGATTCACCTCATACCGTCGACAAATGCGAGCAAACCCATGGCGCCGAGTTTCTTTTCGGAGGTCAAGGGCCCAAAGGGAACCTCGGGTATGGCAACGCGGCAAGTATGCTACGATGGTTTTACTCGCTCAAGCGCGGCTCAACCCGTTGCTGCATAGTCGGACAATTTAATTCCACCCCAAAAATTCGCAAGACCTCATTAGAATGAGTCAAAATCAGCAATCCGACTCGACCAGGCTTAAGGAACAGAGATCAACCTGGACGGATATACGATTAACATCTCATCACAGATTCAATCCCAGCTAGAAAGGAGAGACTGGGCTTCGATCATACATACCACAAGAAAGAGTTTGATCCAGACTAAGAACCCTCGTTGTGAGCTGCCTCCTACTAGGGAAGCCGGCGGAAATCGATCCCAAAACTACATGGGACGACTATCTTTCAAAGAGTGGGTGAACTCTATCATGCATCTGGGATAATCCCCCCTTGGGTGGCGCTCGCGATAAGCGCAACGTTGATACCCGTGGATGATCTCGATCGTACTGGGTTGATGCCCCTTGTGATGGCACGCTCCAGTACAACAACATGATGCGAGTTATTGACTACTATAACAACGACTGCACCGGCAGGACCAGTGTAGTCACATGGCAGGCTAGAGTTGTGCAGGCGGGCGCCCGCCACGGCGAATTAGCTGGATTGGACAACCTGATCAAAGAGTACGATGATAAAATCAGGTTCTTCAGCAGCGAATTAGCTGAAGGGCAATCTCTGACCAAGGAGAAAGAAGATAGGATTAGGAAGCCCAATTTTCTGCACCTCGTCTCAGCCATCCTGTCCCTCGACTAAGTCCTCCTATGACTCGGTCGGCCCCTCCCCTCCCAGAGCGACCTTCTTTTATCAACTTATCGACACGCCCAAACAGCAGTCCTGCTGGGATTGACGAGTCTCGCGGGGGATGATTGGTCTCCAGCTGCAGAAATTCTACCACAGACGGTTGACGCCAAAATTGCCTGTACGGATATCCGCCTCGCCGTATGGGCACAGATTTCGACGTTGGTAGTACTTCCTGTTGAGCTCGTCATACTTGTTGCTACGAAAGCATATGTGAGGGTCAAACAACACTGAGACAGACGAGACTGAATGCATCCGACCCTCAGATGTGGATCTGGGGCTGGTTTGTCGGCCATGGTTACATCATTAAGAGGCACGAGGAGGATGAGGCGAATAAGAACGCGGTCTATCTGCAACAAGGTCGACGGCCCGTGAAACTTCGTTCTAGGCGTCCGACTTCTGAACTTCTACCACAAGAGGGCCCGAGGAGATGAGCGAAGAAGAGTCTGCAAACATAGTCCCGGAATTTTTAGAGGCAAGAATCTGGGCACAAGCCAACTTCAACGCAAGAGCCTTCGATGCGTTTTCGGAAACTATTTCTCGATCCTAGCACGCAGTCAGAACTTGCGCCTCAGAGACATGACATGACGAGGTTCTTCGATCAGGCTAGATTAGATCATCCAAGCAGATGACAATGCCTACTACCTCGGTGTTCTACAAGCCTTCTTTAGGAACAGACGATATATCAAGTCTCCTGATGCTGGAAAGTTGTGCCGACGGAAGCCCTACCGCAATTGGCTGAGGGAAGCGCCACCGCAAATGGCCGAAGGAAATGTGACGGCGAACGGATCTTCCCTCGTGGGACATGGCATTGGGATATGAACATGGGTTTTGTGTTATACGTTCAAAACAATGAGGCTCGCCTGGAGAGAAGAAATATCATTGATCAGAAGATGACAAGAGTCCTCATGGTGGGTCTAGGGACATCCGGAGGGGCGGCTCCTTACTTGTCCACCCAAAGCAAATACGCCTTATCGAGGCAATTTTCCAGTCCAAGCCACAGAAGGGATCGTGTGATTGTCATTAGATATCGTCTCTGAGTGTCTCTTGTTGTCAAAGAAATCGATCAGTTCCGTGTGCTGAACAAAGCCTCCGCGCGGGTTCCCATCCCCGATGCAGACTTGTGCTTGGATGTCAAAACGGACATTGAGGCAAGCGTCAACTCATTCAGCAATTATGACGCGAAGATCCTGGCCCAGTGTCTTTACCGCAGTCTCGGTGGTAATATTGGACTTCGGGGAGTCAAGAACGACAACGACAGCTTCAACAGATCTCTCCCTCACTTTCTTAACTCACATCCATTGGACTTTGGTACGCTCAAACTTCTTAATCCATGGACCAGCAGCAGAAGGTGAACCACGCTTGCCGCACATGGTTCGCCGACCAGACTCAGCAGCCATAGGGGGGACACTGTGCTGAAGGCTCAGGACGGCACTTGAAGAGCAAGCACACAGTGGCAACATGCAAAAGTCAACTCATCACAGCGAAGAGCAGATATGGCGGCTACTAAGACCTGCCATCGGTATCCGGGAGCAACGATAAATTTTCGCAAGCAGCCACAGGGAGACACATTACTTCCTATGAGCTTTGCAAATTCTTCAGGCCGTACCCGAGGAGAACACTGATTTGGCTTGATTGGAGTTATCGACACCTTCCACTGTTGACGCTTTCAGAGATTCCGACCCATCAACGGTGCCAAAATCTGCCGTTTGCTGTCACAGTCTATAGGCTAGGAATGTCTTGGTGTAAAGGTTCTTGGCACTACAACGGAACCGAAGAGGCATGGCGTTCTGTGGGGAGACCGTCATGGAGCAAAATGGTCTCGACTATCCCAGGAGACGAGCGCGGGCGTCCAGGATTTGTTGCCCATACTTATGGCATCGTCTGTAGCGAACGCTACGAGATACGATTTATCGATGCTAGATAATTGGCAATCTGGGCGGTAGATTCTACCACAGCAATTGTCTAGCTGCAGCGGGACTGCAGAACAGCCACCCCCAAGGAACGTGGGACCGCTCCCTATTCATTGTCCTAGACGGCTGCTAGCACCGATATTATACCATCGCCATAGGCTATGGCTATCGTGGAATTTCAGTGAAGCCCTATTCCTCGATGAGTAGGAGAAACTAGCAGAACCGATTAGTCGAAGTAGCAGAACCAGGAAATCACAATCGCCAACGGAAGGTTCCGTATAGACTACAAGATTGCTTCCGGAGGCTACATCCGCGTGCGCGTAACATACTCCAAGATGGTTTTTGGATAGATGGATGCGAGCTCTTTATGCAGCGGCTACAGGGACCGAGGAGTTATTGGGAAGGCCTGGAAAGAACGAGCAAGCCTTCGGCTTTGAAAGCATCTTCCATATAATGTGGACAAAACTAAAATCCGCATCGGCATTGCTTTCGAGTTCTGGATTGATCTAGATGCGGACAAATCCAGAAACCGGATCATCATCGCATTCGACTCGAATGGGAAGACAACATCACGTGAAGAAAGGAACTCGAGAAAACTCAGCAACACACACAAAGGGAACAAAGAAACAAATAGGGAGGGGTGGAGAGCAGGTAAAGGCAGGGGATCTCAAAAAGAAATACCTAGGAGGATCGACAGAAGTGTCACCATGGTTTTTGTTGGCCTCAACCATTTTGCTGAACAAACGCCACCTGGAACATCGACACAATGAATTTCCTCGTTCTGATGATCCTCTCAAGCGTTGTTTGCGTATCACAAGCCATGTGTGGACTCACGAGCACCAGCTGGGAGGAGTTACTCGGCGCGCATATTAGATTTCTGCCTGTTTCAACCAGGGGGCAGTTCTTTTGTAAATCCTGCCCGGTTTGACTCAGTACGGAAGATACTTGAGGACTGCGTTGAGGAGTTTTCAAAGTAAGAATTAAAACCGGACTCTACCAATATCCCCTCTCTCTCGGGCAGGCAACATGCTCCTCGCAACGCCAAACCTGCATCGCTATCGCTATCGAGCTATCGAGCTTGCTATCGTCGAGCCCGGGCGTTATTATTTTCCAAGAACAGCTGGCCTAGATTCATTCAAAGACGGAATCGAAACAGGATTTTTCATTAAACACACTTCAGCCGTTATTTTCTGGGATGTGGGCGCTTTGTTGTATCATTATCAATGCTATCACAAGTCACATGTTGAATGCAAACAACGGACGAGAGGTGTCAATCCGACTTCCAAGCGACCAAGAAAGGTGAGTGATCTACTTAACTTCGATACAAAACTGTCTTCAATGATTAACTTAGTTTCTAGATCAACATTTGAGAAAGCTCTAGGTTGGGACTGCCGCAAGGCGTGCACATTGACCATGAGTATTTGGAGCCCCAAATCGTGCGTGCCCGCCCGCAGACCAGGGTAGATCACCTGATCAACCTTGTTGGTTCCCCGACTCGAACCCTCGTTGTAGGCCTAGGGACCAAGAGGACCTAGAGAACCTATTCCACAATATAGGCTTGACTTCATTAGATGCTATCACCTACTTTGTCACGAACATGACGGAAGCGAACGTGACAGTAGCGAACATGACGGAAGCGAACATCTTGGACAGCTTGAGCCGGAATCACCAGCCAATCCAATATTCGATTTGGACCGGTTTATTAAGATTGTATATTGGCTGGAAACCAATCCCACAAAGAGGCAGAGTCATTTAAGCTGTAAACCCTTCATGTTTTATTTGACTGCTTTGAGCGACCCATCCTTGAAACGATCTTCAACCACGGGAGAGTTCCTCCTTGTGGGCTCAACTCTTTCTTTGATGAGACTTCATCGCCAAATTTTACGAAGAACTCGAAGATGAGACTATGCGAATGACTCACGCTCTGGGTTTGATTTTTAAGCAAAGCCCAACCCATCCCACCATCATAGGCAATGGCGATTCACCTTCCCCCTAGCATCGAAGAGGGAATCAAGCGTAGCCTACAAGGATCGGATGCAGGAGGCCAAGCTAAGTGGGCACGGCATGACGACCTCTGCGAAGAATCAAGGCTTCCACACGACGATACTGCGACACCTTTTATGTATCTTACCCCAAACCTCTCCTACATCGATCACCCGCGATCATGTCTGCCAAGATTTGCGGACCCAATCCGCCAGATAGAGAGCGACTTGACTTATGCGATGGACCTGGAAAGAGTCCTGATGCGGAGTGCAGTTTCTACGACGTCATATGCTACGGGAGAAACCCAACCAGAGAGCATCAGCAGCAGAATGCCTGAAGCGCCTGTGGGAACTCGAAGCAGATGGCGGTATCAAGACGTGCGAGTGCCCCAAGTGCGAATCCTGTGGCGAAAACTTCTTTGAGTGCGAGCATGAAGGTGTCAGAAAATAGTTGATGCTTTTGAAAAGCTTGGTAAGAAACAGCGTGTCTGCCTAGGTATTTACTCAAAGGTCGAGTCAGATTCAAGAGAGATCTCCTCAAACTACGGTCTTGTTTGTGGAAATTTATCGTTTACCCCAAACGAGATTTGGAAAGAGATTCCAGAACTTTTTAAAGCTAAAGTCCCAGCTCAGTCATGGGCCAGACCTGTGACCCAAAACGATTCGAAAACACCAAACTTCTTGATTTAATGTCTAGAGTTTCTTTCTTCCTCGACAAGCCAAACCTCGAATAGCGAACGTCATGGCTTATAAGGCCTCGAAGCGCCACATATGAAGACAATTCGCAAGTGTCAAGAAACAACAAGCGAGAGGTGGCTACCCGCAGTATTCACGCAGTAAGTGCGCTAGAATCCATACATATATTTCCCCTCTAATCCACAGCTCGGCAGCTCCCTTGGGGAACCAACATCAGGCATCTCGACCTTCGACAGCATTTGTTCATCGACAGAGAATACCGAGCCCCTGCGCGTGCTGTTTAGTCCAGACCAACTCCTTGGGATCTGATCAAATGCCTTCTACGTGGGAACGCCATTGCCAAAGCTGCGTAGCAAAGGCCACCGGCATGAGCCGTATCAGTTTTTGGGGAGGCCTGGGCGAGCACAGCGTACACCTAGGTCACAAGACGAGCAACAGCCCCGTGTGAAAGAGACGGCACAAGAGACAGCAGCAGAAGCTGCTGGGCCTGAAGCTGGGCCAGCACCAGCTGCACCCATGCTACACGATAAGCTATCACATCGTGTTGAAGAAGAGGCAGTAACCAGTAGCCCAGCTGTCTCCGTGTCAAAAACACAGCGCGATTGTTCCATGTCAAAGGGCCACTTAAAGGGTCATCGGCAGGAGCCGTACGCGTCGTCGAGAAGGCTCAGGGCAAAGCCAACACCATCCGTACTCGAAAAACGCGATGACCTACCGCATCGTGTTGAAGGGGTGGCAAAAGAGGCAGTAGATGACTAAAGTGCACGCATGGATGTTGCTGGGAGTATCAACAGTTTCCGAATTGGTGTCACTGCGTTTAGGAGCGCTAGAGACTTGGCCAAAGAGTATCGGGACCGTTTCATCCAGGAAGCGAATACTTGACGGCCTCGGGCAAGGGCGGTAACTGCGCAAGCAGATGGGACCCAGGAACATGAGCATGATCTCTCGGCTCCGCATGGTTCGCTTCTGCCGATAGACCTGTCGCTGCTTTGACTACTCGGAAGAACAAGTTAGTGATGGGAATAGGGAGAAAGCGAGTGGTGGACAAGCGCGAACAAAGGTCAGATGCGTTCATCCCTTCCGGTATTCTTGGGAAGAAATGAAGGTACTCAATTTCACCCTGAAGGAAGGCTTCGAGTTCAAGCATGACTTCGTCCCAGATTCATCCAAGGGAATCACCTTTACCAATCTAACTACCGATTGTGGTTCCAACCGAGCGAGATGAAGATGAAGAGTCTATCGAGGAAATACCAAACCCTTCACGCATGGCGCCAAAGTATGAAGAAGAATCAAGTCTGGGCATTGTGGCGTCATGCTGCCCGAACATAAGTCGATCAGTCGATACCGGCACCATAATGGATCAAGTCTCTATTGACTTTGCAAGGAAGCACTTGTAGCAGCTCAATTTCCATGCCTGTGTTTCCCCTGCCCATGCCATCCCAGACTTCCTGGCCTCTGAGATCCTCTTTCTATCAGGGCGCACCTAGGTGGGCTAAGTTGAGTTTGGTATGAATCGGATAAGCAGGCGATGGTGTCTAACGGCGCCGATGTCAACACGGTGGCCAAGGAGGTTTTTCGGAAATACACCCAGAGACGCGAGACAAAAGAAATCTAACAAGAAGCGACAGCCTTACACGTCGCATGCTATAACGGTCCTACGATGCGTGCCTTCATCTCCCAAATGTTTCGTTTCCTTCGGATTATATCGAGAAGAACAGCAGAGCAAGACAGTTTCTGAGATACATAAGGACTGTTGAACCCAGGGTTTATCGCTCTTTTAGATGGATATATCATATCCTCATCTCCACAACTCATACAACATGGGGGACTTTTGTTGTTTTTGCTTGGTGCCCACATCACAACTGACGGCTTATTTCGCTTTGAATGATTGACCAGCCCAGTTCGCCAGGCAAGTCTAAAGAGGTTCTCAAGCTCTTCGACAGAAGATACGTTCACGATCGGCGATCCAATGACTAGATCGGCCTCCCGGGTCAACATGAGGAAAAAGCCTTCATTGAAAACATATATACCGGCCAGGTCGGGCAGCTCCTATACAAGCTGCACACCGAGTCAAGCTTGCTTTAGTCTCAAGATCCTAGAGATACCTCTGCACGGCAAACAGAAACAATCAATTTTCCTTCTCCTGTCTAAAACTCCGTGGCACTGTCTGGACAGCCAGAACAAGTTAGGGGGCTCGGCAATAGAGGCATTGGCGGACTGCCCCATGGTTCCAGAGATATCTACCGAAATCTCTCTCGCTGGGATTGAAGAACAGGGCGTAGTGTTCCCTGCACTTTTGCTGCCACTATTAATAGCAGACAAGGTGCCCAGTTACCGGGCAATTTTCGAAGCCACTAGAAACCGCCATGATCCTGAGCTGCAAAGGAAACCCTCTGATACCAACACACACGTTTGTATTGCTGGCGAATTAGTCAGCCACGATGAGAACTCCTGTCACTGCATCAAGGCTTTCTGGTGGGGATGGGTGACAGATTGCCCAGAAACGACGGAAGCTGGGGGAACAATGATCGTCTGGATGTACTTTGGAATCTTCTTAAACTTCCAAACCAAAAAGATCTTTTCCTCAAAGTAGCTTCGGTCTTGATGAATCTTAAGCTATGTGGAGTCAAACTCTGATGTCTGTCTAGAATAGGGCTGGAACCAACTGAGACCATGGATCAAGGTTCTAGGCAAACCCAGGCCTCCAATACGATGGGTGGACCACATAAGGGAATGCCTGGATACCTTTCCTGTGTGTGGACATTATGTCAGTCCTCCGCCGCCGGGACCGCAACGAGATGCTCGCCTTTCGGTAATGTTTGAAGACGGCAATCTCAAGATTTACGGGCACTCGGTAGGATCGACGCGGGCCGGCAGGCAGCAGTTCCGGAGGCAGCTTATCGCGTCGTTTGCTGTCGACTCGGATGTCGAGATAATGAGGCGGGCGTCCAAGTTTCTGTAGGGGCTGAGGGCCGAGGCCTTAAGGATGCGGGATGAGGCGATCGAGGACGTCAACAGGCGGTATGAAGAGGATGAGGCTAGTATGGACTCGATATTCAACGGATATGATGTGTTGAACGACGAAGACGATCAGGCACCTTGAGATATTCTAGCAGATGAGATATGGGTGTCGATGATATTGTCTTTTCAGTCGAAAGGCCTGAACTTACACACACCCGGGAGGTTCGGTCGTGGTATTGGATAAAGCCCTGGTATGAGAAGAAGGGTCAACACCTGAAATTTCTGTTCAACGGTGAACCCCCCATAAACCTTGCCATTAATTCGTGCGGGGGTTTCTAGCCTGAGTTATGACAGACGAAGGATCGACGAGTTTGAAGATTCCTCATCTTGTTCACGAGACGCTGTGGGAGTTTTGAGACACAATGTTCACACGACCATATCGACCAACTCTGCATCAGGGCGCTACAGTTTATTCCACGAAATACTCAAGCCTGCTATTGAACGCCCGTCTTCTATCCTTATTAGATATGGCATGGCTCGTCTGGTTTCAAGGCTATCGCGACAATGGATCGTGGTGGAGCTAATCTCCCCAGAAATTCCCAACATCTACGGTCTCACAGTTCTTATGTTCTCCTGGGAACTAAGTGTTGCAGCGATGAAGTCTGCAGTTGAAACACCCACATCATACGTCGGATGACAACCCCACGGAGATGTGTAGTGAAAAAAGCATACAACCTATTGCAGGCCTTGAGACGGTTGGAAACATGCGAATAATTTCTCCTGTGGCAACTTGACATCAGACATGCTTCAACGGTCAATAGGCATTCAGGGCTCCGTGAGCAGTACCAGCAATACCTCAGCAACGACAGGACGATGACAATGGCGACAACCAACCTCTGGTGGACATCGATGACCAGGCCGATGAACGCATAAACGATAAGGACGACAACGCACCAGAACATTACCTGGTCGAGGGCGAACCTGAATATCTAAGTCTCGAATACCGCGACTTTGGTTGCCTGAGTACTCGCCGCATTGTCGACGAGTCTGTCAAGCGGAAACTTCCGAGTTGGTATAAGGAAGCATCATTCGAACCTGTCATCGCTAAGCCAAAGGTAAATATCCGGGACCCCAAGGATCAGGTAAGATGCACACCGATGCGAAATACCCTATGGGTGTTTACTGCGTACACGCTTGGCCTTCGGAGATAAATCAGATTGGAGTGCTCGCTGCGTACACCCAATTCCAAATAGTGGAGTCGCTAAAAGTTTTCGTCGATACAATCTGTAAGTTTCAACACATTCTAGATTTGAGGGGAGTCTTGGACCACCCAGGCTGCCACGAAGTATACCAGTGGGAAGCCTTACGCGTTCAGCTCCACCTATGAAGATGGTATTCTAAAGCTTTTCGCGCACAGCATCACAAAGCCACGACACCGGAGGACCTCTTCAAACACAAGACAAATCCACTCTTGATGGATTGTTTTGATTCTCAGTGGGTGAGAGAATGTGAGAACATGACTGTCCGTGATACAACAGGTTCCAGCACTGTTTGGTTTCCTTACAGGATTGCAAGTTATCCACTCACGGGCACCCACAATGAGCAGCTCGCCTTCACGGACTTATTCGATGATCACGTGCTCAAGATGTATGGGTGCTTGACCGATGGTCCCTCGGCCTTGCCACACTCGCATTGCTTGACAAGGACCTCCAAGAGGTGTATTGCACTTATACGGCCGAAATCTGGAGCCCCTGGGCAACGACGGGCTGCTGTTCCGTCAGAATCTCGCGACAAGGCCCTTAGAATTGCTGGCGCTCTTGATTGGATCGATCTATAGCGCCAAGTTCTTCGAACCATTTTGATCAACACCAACACCTGCCAATCGCGCTGAGATTGAATGGTATGCCGTCGAATTTCTTGATGAATACCATTACCTGCAAGCCTTCGTGATGCGTTACGAAGCCACAATATAAAAGCAACAGCGCGGGTCTAGGAAGACTAAGGATCAACGTGCAAGCCTCTTGCTTCAAGTTTGGCCAGACATTGCCAAGCGAAGACAGGGCTACATATCTACAGCGAGAGGTCCAAAGGCCGTGGGCTGCTAGATAGAGATTGCCAGGTTATCCTGGATAGCACGAAGAAGGGCACAGGCGCCCTCATATCGACGAGAGGGTGGATTCATCCTAGCCCTATTGCAAACAAGGGTCAGGCGTATTCAGCCTGCCGATATGTGCCCCCACGCGTGTATTCAGGCCCAGCACGGAGAAATACGACTGTAAGCTTCCCGGGAGTGAGGAGTCCCCGAGGCTGATTGCGTTATACGCTGTCGACTCGGACGTCGAGATGTTGAGGAAGGCGTCCAAGTCTCTGTGGGGGTTGAGGGCCGAAGCGATGAAGCCTAGTTCGGTATCAGACGTTGAGCGCAACACTGCATGATGCAAAAATGGATATTATTTCAACCATGACAATGGGTGATATCGAAGACCAAGTTCTAGGAGGGACCACAAACAGGGGCCACAGGTTGAAAAAGCGAAGTAGGCAAAGGTGTTAAGCAGGGGAAGGGGGCAAAGAGCAAGAAGGCTGATAAAGGGAAGAATTGCTGAAAAGAGAAGAAGAAAAAGCAAAGTTGAAGAGGCGAATGCCCTCGGTGAACAAGAACATTCGATTGAGACAAAAACAAGACAGCTTCGTGATCACCCAGCTGCGCATGACCCAACGTTCCAGGCCCATCGGGCAAGCTTAACGACTACGATTTCAATTCAAAGTTCCAAAGCATGGAACATCCTTAAATTTGAGAAGGTCCTCCTACGGTCTCTGGTCTGCTGCTGCATGAACATACTCCACGATATCCCTCCTAATAAGATGAGCACTGACAAGTATCTGATTCAACCCGAGCCGAAGTTAAAGAAGATTCAGGCAGATGAAAATCGGTACACATCTCTCTCAAGTTTAGCAGCCTCCTCACTCATAGTTGAGAGAGATGTCGGAGCCCGGGGAAAGGATTGATCGTCCCTGTTTCATGCGCTTGGCATTCGGTCTATTCCGTCAACTAGCCAATATGTACAGCGCTGCTGCCAATCGCCAACGACATATGCATCAATTGGGCCACTGTGACCAAGAATATTCTTAAATCTAGTGGGGAAGACTGCAACCATTCTTGCTCGGCGATCCTATGTCAAGGGCAACTAGCTGTGGATGCCACATGACGAGGCCATCGAAGAGCCAGATGATGGAGCCACCAAAGAGCTGGCTTCATGACCAACTCTCCCGTTACTCCCACTCCTTCTCTTTTATTCAAATTCTATGAGAAGCGTGACGAAAAGCGACAGCAGCCAGGCGCCACATCGGTCAGACTCAATAAGCTTTGCCGCATACAGCATCTCTAGAGGTTTGAAATCGAAGCTCCGGACCTTGCAGGGAGCTTCGTCAATGTCGACGAAGAAGCCATCAGAGTCAATCACTTCTCAATTGGTCTAGATATAGGCTTAACGTGAGTATTCCCAAATACCTTCTTACTTGGTATCAGCTCGCCTGACTGTGAAATTCTTCTAGCTACTCCGGATTTTTTTATCTCACCATCCGAGAACGATCTCATGGCTAGGCAGAAAAGAATCTAAGAACTGGGACAGGAGAGAAAGCGGATCCTCGTTGAGCATTGCAAAGAACACAAAACTTTCAATGTTCTTGCAAACGTTGAGGTTGAAAAATTCCCAACATTGCTCATTCGCGATGGCGCCGATTTTCTTAATCTTGCAGGGGCTCAGTCCAAAAGTCAACAGCTGACGTCCAGTTCATCGGGAAACTAAAGCTATTCCTTAATGAGTATGAAGCCCTCGAACTAGATATCAAGTCAGCTTATTCGGGTGACTTTTCGCGCAGCATGAAGCTCTACAAGCTAGCCTTGGAGGCCCTTGGCGCGTTGCGAGAGCACATGCGGGATATCACGCGTGTGGAAGCAATGATAATTCTTCGACAATGCACATCAGCATTGTCGTTCCTCCATAGCCAGGAACCTGCTATCATCCACAGGGATATTAAACCACATAATATCCTTGTTCAACAGAGAGATAAAGGAGGAGCAAATAGCTATATCGTGGTCAAGCTGTGTGATTTCGGCCTCGCTCGCGAGATTCCACAAGGGCAAATCGACTCGCAGCCAGGCACGCCGCGATATGCACCACGAGAGTACTACCCGGTGGGTGGCTATCAACCGCCACTTGGCGTGAAGATAGATATATGGTGCCTAGGGCTCGGCATGACAAATATCGCCAAGGAACCCATCGCCGCGCTTCTCACAGACGCGATCAAGGGCACGCTCAAGAGAGGACTAAACTACTCCAATGACGAACTTTTTAAGAGTATTGAGGCAAGAATCAGGACTCTGGGTCTCAAGGGCGAGGTCAGACAATGCCTCCAGATGTGGTTAGATACCACAAGGAAAAATAAAGACTTCTCCGATATTGCGACGCCTTTCGTTTCGCTTCTTCCGGGACTCCAACTTATATCATCTCACTGCCAGGATGTGCATGTTGGCTTGAAGTCCAATGGATGAGCCCAAGACTCACAGACTTCTCAGGGCATAAACGATGGGGCGGCATTTTTAGCATCGTGTCCTCTTGTGACTCTACCGCTCTACTCCTACCTAGGACTTGAACTCGGCCAAATTGAGTGAAGTGAGAGATACCTGCAGCGAAGATGGCGGGGAAAGAACCCCTAGAAGATTTCAACCAACAAAGATCAACCAGACATATCCGATAACTTAGCACAAAACATATGGACATCGATCAACCAAGAAGACCTATACAAGCCGTTGAATCTTCTGTTGTTGATAAAATCAAGAGCCAACATCGATTTTTAATTGTACATTGCCACGCCAGTTCCCTCCAATTCACAAGACAGACATACAAACCTTTTATGCCTAAAATGCCGGTAACAGCTCATGACACAACTCATATCTTTTTGTGGTTTCTCTACACGACGTCGGATTGAATATGCCCAGCTCAAGGGCCCGCGAGGCGCCTCAGGAGAACAAGGTTCCCACACGCATGCTCTCGAACGCCTCAAGGGAATCATCATGTTAGCCATCAAACCTATCGTAATTTATCGCTACCAAGAGGATAATCCTGTGTCATCACCGGATCTTGTGCTACAATGCAAGCAAGAACCGTCAGCGAACGACCTTACATCTAGCCAGAATTAAAGTAGCTCAGTGATCTCAACAAGCTTTCACAGGTCAAATCTGTGCCAAAGTGTACTTGGATTGATATTGAAGGCAAAGAGTAACCCTGCAATGGAATTTGGAAGCTACTTCTTTGTCTCAGAAGCAAAGATGCCAAACGACAAGGAGCCTTTACTGCGGAGAAATCAGTCGAATATCCACCCAGCACCTTTCCTGTCTTCCACCAGACATTTGGGGTCATGCAGCTGCCATGGCACCTATCAAGTTTGAAGACATTCCAGTTGAATGCGTCCAGCCGTGAATGACTTTCTGCTTGCGTGCGTTGTGGCATAGAGCCTACAGCACTTTACACCATATACGAATGTCTTGGAGAGATCATTGAGGCGCTGATATGCGAGCCAACGCTCTACGGCCTAATGTCACTGTCTTTGACAAACCTACGAAACTAGCCTTGCACAACATTTGTTCTGCTTGTTCATGTGGTCATTGGCCAAAACTTTGAAGAAACCGATAGGTGCTGAAGCTGAAGTGATGGACATAACCGGCCAAACACCTCCCAGGGGTTCACTGCGGACTCGTTCTGCCCTAGAAGATCACCGAAGGAGGCATACCTCGAAGTGAGAAGAGATTGAACAACACAGGGTAATCCTCCCGAAAGTCTCTTGGATTTGGTCCGGAGAGGAAGCCATAGAGAAGTGGAAAAGTTCAAGCTTATTTGCACCACAAACTCCTACTTCACAATACTTGGCAACGCGATGAAGGCAGAACTGTTCTGTTCATGACATTTGTGAGCCTCAGGGGCATGTTGGAGGCGAGCAGTCGAAAATCTTTTCTAAAATTGCATGCACATCGAACTGAGTGACAGCCAGACAAGCGTGCCAAGTACTGACGCTCAGTGTCAAAGGCGGCACCAAGTCAGGATGAGAGATCTACTAAATGCGCGTCGACACAATGGTCTCTGCGGCTAAGGCACACTCACTATGTGTTGCATTCGTCTCTCAGTTCTGGTATAACCCCAACCAGAGCCATGGCGAGTTCTTGCCTCTGCCAGTGCACCAGCCCAGTCCTAGATCTCTCGAATGAACTAGTGAGATTTTCGTCCAATTCGGATGAGAGTTTTGAGTACAGATTTGAAAATAGCAATGGAGATGCCACACCCGCCATCTCAACGCAATGGAATCTTGCCGAATTCAGCGGCGGAGAGCTTCCTCATGCTCAAGTCACGGGTACATCCAGACCAACGATAGGGAGCGACAAGGCTGCCATTTTATCGACAATGATGGTACGGATGGAGCACCTCGTGCGGTATCAGCTATATAAAGCCGGTGCTGAAGCAACTGAGCATCAGTTGGGGACTCCGCTCCCGAGTGAAGCTCCCGGACGGCACCTGCACATTCATAGGCGTGCGCATCCCCCCTACACTTGTGACGACCGCCGAGATCGCCTATGGCGCCGAGCGACACGCCGAGCTCAGGAGCAGCATGCACACCAGGGCCTGGAGGCGGGGGATCACGAGGCACTGCTGCAAGACGTAGCCGGGATGCCCGTTGCAGGGTGGCATCAGTCCGTAACCTTTCAGATGGGACTGTCCGCCTACCATAGCGAATGCATAACCCAGAAAAACCTCATAGCGCACAGGCTGAAGTGGGTGCTCCCTTTCCAACACGCTAATGCTCATACATGCCCGTATACTTCCCGCACCTCCGGGCGTGTGCTATACCCAGTACAAGCCTGAAATATTAGCGGCAAGAATAGAAGCCAGAAAGCCGATGAGGTGTTAGTTACCCTCCCCGGAACATATCACCAGGGCTCACCCTGGGCTACACCAAGGCCGAGGCAATGAACTACGCGGACAAGAAGTGGGCACCTTCCAAGCTCCTATGGCGTGATAGCAGTTGTCCCGAGTACTCCATCGACCGGCAAGATCAACGAATCATGGGAAAATGCAACCGTACGCATCCAGGAGGAGTTAGAGAAGCTGGACCACGAACAGCAGATTGATGAGAAGCATGAACAGCGTAATCAGCAGGATTCCGATGATGAAGCTGAAAATCCTACTGAAAATCCAGACTCTGATGGGGAAAGTACCAGGGCACCTGTGGAGGGGCAACCCGGTTCAAGCAGAACTACCAAGGGTTACAGGGACTATCGCAGGAAGCAGAGGAGTAAGCGGGCATTCAGGCGTCAGAAGAGATGAGCAGCTCTCCTCCGAGCTAAGAAGACTAAACCCCTGCGGAAGTATACCCTCAAGGAGGCCCCGGACGAACACATTATTAAAGTCTCCGGCCCGGAAAAGGCAACTTCTGTCCGGGTGTGGTACGAGCACCGGCTAGACGCGTTGAAGAAGCTGATGTTTTCGTTTGTTTTCGTGGATGAGGGACAAGTGGCCAAGAACCTACAAGGTATCTACAGTGCTGCACATCTACACAACCATCGCCGTGATATCAATTCCTTAACAACTGATACCAATTCCTCACCGGACTGAAAGCCAGAACGCTGAAACCACCATGACTACCTGCAGTGTTGAATGGATTGAGACCTAATTTGGACCGAGGCCAGAATGGACGAATGAACCTGACCATGAAGCCATATTACAGGCGGCTCGGCAAGCACTAAGATTGAACGAGCTATACTCTGTCTGATTTCTCTCACAAGGAGTCTTCAGGTATAAAAGCAGGCCTCGGAGTGGAAGCTCAATCGTCTCGCCTATGCCGCTTGCATGACTATGCCCCTATCGCTGCTTGTTGAGTTCACCAGTGGTTGCTGGCTCCGGACTTGTGCATTATCCAGTACAAGCCTGGAATAGAAGCAGCAAGAAGAGACGCGGAAAGCTTGATTTGGAATAGGCAACCGCAACCAGTGAGCTATCCACCACCACCGCAACCTGAAGCAAGGCAGGAAAAAGAGAAGTGGTACAGCGAGGTCAAGAACCTCAATACCAATGAGTTCTCGCATACTGAGGTGAACAAGTTTTCATTCTTCGCCGCCTCTTTTTCTGTCTCACTGGTGTTACTCTCGTGGCTTCCTCCACGGACGCAAAGCCGACTCTTCCATACTTGCCACCCTCCCCTTCAGCTATACTAGGAGACATGCCGCTCCATTTTGCAGTTCAATCTGCCTTCCTCTCATTGGTTAAGCTTTTTCTCCCCTTTGGAGCAAATAAACTTGCGCAAAACGACGATGGTAAGACACCTCCTGCTTATGCCCAGAGATTCAGAGACTCCGTGAATCACGATGAGAAAGAAACTACGAGATGATGAAGTAGGGCGAGGCCTTTTTAACAAACGAAACAATGAGTATTTGGTTCAAAGTCAACTACGTCCAGTAGTCTGAGCTTATGCAGATGAGGTTTGAACCCCAGATCACCTCAACCATCAGAGGGATAACAACCGACCAAATATCAACCATCTTCTCCGACAGGAAACTAAACATGTCTCAGTCATCATCACCAGGTTCCGAATTCACAGGCCCAAAGTGATACTTGAGGGAGTGGCTAGACCAGGTGCTCGCCACCTTCTAGAGTGGTGAGGCATACCTGCCCGAGAGCCTTCAGGACAGAAAAGATCAAATTTCCGCAATTACCCTCGGTGATATTGCGGACATCTACATCCTAGCTTCGACACATGACATAGACTACAACATCCTTTGGGAAGAAGGTGGACTTCTTCAGGATATGCCGTCCTGTTCTATACGGCCAATGGGAAACAATAAAAGTACAAAATGGCAGCCGCCATATCAAGCCCAGCAGCCATATCAAGGGCAGAAGGGATACTGAGGTAGTTGAAAACTTGGTTTCGAAGAAGGATTCACGGATCTATGCAGAGGCTTTCAAACAATCCAGCTAAGTGGCCTCTCTGGTATGCAATTCTCGACATTGAGCGATGTGGCCTCATTTGGTATGGAGATTGTGCGCTCTTCATAAAGAGATAGGCGCGAGACCCCATCATACTCCGACGATCCACCACTGGAGAAGCATGGCAAGTCATCGAGTACCTTATTATTCGGAGTGTTTTTACAAGCATCAAGACGGGCGGAGGGAGTCCAGCGGACCCCGTCCGCCTTACAACCCAGGCCCGATCATCTTGAGTGAAGAGCTTGTAAAGAATGTGGCGAGAGGCTGCCCAAGGATACTCAGACCAGCATGTGTCACCTTTATATAAGAGACAGATTCTAGTCAGGAAAGCGATTTTCCAAGGACTGATCAGATGGGCTTCGAGCGATACAGTTCGCAGACATCGATCAATACCACGGCATGACATAATGGGCAGCGGACGGCTTCGAGCTCTCGATATCGAGGACCGAGAGCTAGTAGAACCAGACAACTGCTGTCAATAATCCTCAAAACATAGAATACAGAAACTAAAGAGATAGATATAACTCTCCATCATGGCCACTCTACCAGTCGAAGAGGTAGTGCTCACTGAGGAGGTCCTGGAGCGCTTTGAAGAGAAATTTCGAAGCATGAAATGGGACACCTTCGAGCTCCCAGACGGTCCCTTGCCCACCCTCGAGAGGTTTGCAAGGCATGGAGGTCCGGATCTGAGCAATTTGCGTTCCATAAGTAGCTTCACCTGACCCATTCTCCTCTCACACCACCTTCCCACTCTTCCCTCGTCCTCGAGACGATCGGGTCATCTGAACCCTAAGCCAAGCGTGGAGAAACGCAGCCGAATGGCCTACTACAGTCGGTTCTTGCTTTCCAGAATCTAGCAAGTGGCTAGCGAGGTCGATCAAAACCGGGAACGATATCAGACCTCGAGCATGGTCGTCCGCCGGTGCAAACCTTAGCGATTTCGTTTCGTCCAACATCTACCTCATGCTGAGCCGAAAATTCCATCAACATGCAGTCACCGATGCCCACCATCAGAGAATAGAGTGGTAGCCGACAAGGACGGCGGGCTCAGCTGTTCCCCCACGGACCCCCCTGCATGAATATTCGAGCGATCCCACATACTAATATTGATATGGTCGGCATTCCGTGCGCAGTTATACCAGCCTGAAGTGGCCGACTTGACCGGTGTCAAGGACCGGCGCCCCCAAGGGTCGAACCTACTAGAAGGATTTGCAAAGAAGAAGAGTGTCCCAACCTGGAAGAGATGGATGCGACATCTACAACCTGCGGGCCATCGTAATGCGTCACGAAGCCACAATACAAAAACATTGGCCCAAGAAGACTAAGGATCAACGCGCAAGCCTCTTGCTTCAAGTTTGGCCAGATGTGGCCAAGCAAAGACAGGGGCACATACCTGCAGCTAGACTGGTCTTAATAAGAACCTCCAGCGAGCTTTCTACCACGGGCATCTCTCGGGTTAGCCCTTATGTTAATGAACGATGCTTTGGATTTTCATAAACTATCCAAGGGCAATTTCGACATTGAGGTCCACATGTCGGAATCGTGCCAGAACCACGACTCCAGTCTAGGTGGATGCGTCTTGCCAGCCGACTAGACTTGACACCTAATCAAGCATTCACTTGTCACCAGAAGCATCGTCAAGCCGACCAGTCTACACATAGAACCAAGGCTCCAAGAAATGATCGGCCACACAAATGGTGTGGCTGAAGATACACAAGTCTGGGTGTTGAGCCGTGGTTCTGTTTCTTCCTATCGAGAACATCAAATATGTAGTTGAGTGAGGTTTCTAATGTAGGAGGTTTTCACTGAGACATCATAACAGTCTCAATTGGGTAGCATGCTCTCAGATGATCATAGTGTTCGATCCGGTGTGGGCAACAGAAAATTGCGATACGCCCAGTCCAGGGGCGTAGGCGATCTCCAGCTCTTCACAAACAATACCGGTACGTGTTTCCTGGATGCACCTATCCAATTTCGGTCGGATCTAATCAAACTACCTTCTGAGTCTCTCCTTTAGCTGTACTTTACTAACGATGTCCATTCACAGTCGCTAGGTTTCTAGCCTGGACGGACTTCTCGATACGTTGAGACCGAAGCCTGAGGACATAGAGTAAAAATCCTCCTACTATTGTTGAATCAATAGAAAGAGATACAAGCGAAGTCCGAGAATCGAACAAGCTATGGGAGGACGTGTTTGCCGTTCCTTCGAACTCACCAGGGCCTCGCTACCAAAGTACGGAGCAGGAGGCTTCGTCCCAGCCTCAGATCACCTTTGGCTCGCCTTGGACACCTGCTTCCTATAGCCTGCCTTAATGTGCAAGAGAAAGCACCTATGAGTTGCAGTACTCTGTAGAGAGCAGAGGGAGCACTCCGGTTCATTCTACTCCTTCAAGTAAGTGAGAGCATATCTCGTCAAGTCGATGCGCATGCCTCCTGGAGGACGAAGCCATACAGTTCGACTTGGCCGATCTGAACCCGTTCTACGAGTAAACAGATGAGAAAAAAAGGCGAGTTTGAAGTTGAGGTTAATCAACGCTCCTTCAGTAACATCCTAATCGAGCTCTTGAGTAGACTTCTGGGACTCAAGGAGTTCATTATCGAACTATATTATTATCTCTACCAAAAAGGCAATACAACTTCACTCTATCAACTTAAGATTGCGATTATGAACGACCAATCTCAACAACTGGGTCCCGATATAGGGCAGCAATGTTTACAAGCCTACTTTGGCCAAGGGCTCTTCCAGGCCGAATCAGCCTTGACAATAGATCAAACATTCGAGCCAATGCTCGCCAACGACGGCTTCTTCTCAATTAAGTCCATGTTAAGCATGCTACATTACACCAAGCGTTGGAGGTGACACGCCCAACTTGCCGACATTATACCTACCATCATGACAACGACAATACGATCCATGTGGACTTGGTCACTTCGCCGTGCCTCTACAGTATCTTTTGCACCTATTCCGACGCTTTTGGGACGATCTGAAGTATCGCTACAATGGCCGGAAGGCTAGAGAAGTCGGGGCCAGACGTCAAATTCAAATACATGCGTGGCCTTCCCACGCGAGAACTCCGCGAGGAAGAGATAGCTACTGTGCATTCAAAGATAAGCAGCTTAACAACGAACCAGCGGTAGCTAAGGAAGTGCTAGCGGCACGATGGCAGGTTCGGACAACGATTGCGTCTCAAATCGTTGGTTTCACAGTTCTCGTCATCTGCGTCGTGAAGTTTGTTGCCGGCGAATTCGTCAGTCGCAGCGATGATACGTGGCTCTGTCTCAAGGCTTTCTGGTGGGGATGGCTCACATGTTGCCCCGAAACGACTGAAGCTGGGGAAACAGCGATCGTCTGGGTTTACTTGGTCTGCCGTATGGTTGCGTCCGCATGGCGCCCTTTTCGCTCTTACGAACACTCAACAATTTCACGGAGCCGAAAAGAGAGCAGGGCTCATATAAGGCTTGTTGTTCTTTCTTAGCAGAAAGCGAGCCAATACAGCCGAAGACTCACAGATTGCCCCAAAACACGGAGGCTGGGTAAGCAGCGATCTTCTGGATATACTTGACTTGTCGCATGGTTGCATCCGTCCATGGCGCCTTGTTTGCTGCCACAAACACCAGACAATTCCACGATGCCGAGAAGAACGATAAACCCCTGCAAGGCATTCTGTTCCCTAGAACGCCGGCCAATGTCGCCGAAGATCCACGAAGCCCTGACTCACAAACCCCGAGCGCACAAAAGCGAGCGTGGCCCCGTATCGAAAGCCGTCATATGAACTGCTCAAATACCTATCTATATTCTCAACACCATCCCCAAGTCGTGGGCAAAGAGCAGGTGCAGCTGCTAGTTAGACGATTACGGCTCAAGTATACAGAGATAACGCGAGCGAATTGCAGTTAGATAACTAGACTGTTCAGAATCTAGCCGTCCTCGTCCTGCGGAACGGTCGTTGAAAAGACCAATAGCCTCGACCAGGCAGACCATCCCAGCTCGTGGGTCAAGTACGAAGAGCATTATCTAAAGCTTTTCGACAGAAGACACATTCACGAACTGCGATCCGACAACACGATTGGCCTCTGGGGTCAACACAAGGAGCGAGTCGAGGAGTTGCCGTGTATTGGCTGGCCGAAGAGAAGCGGTCAGGTGAATGTGCCTCGTCGGTTTTCACATTGAGATTTACCATAGGCCTACATGAGCGGCAACCAGCAAGACCAATCGCTATTAGTTTTTGTTTGACCCTCTGGCTTAAAGATGCATCGACTCAATATGGTGTTGATATACACCAAAGAGTAAACGGACACACAACTCTGCATTTTGCCCTCAGCAGCCCCTACACGGATAATGATGCAGTCCAGCTCATCAAATATCTGGCGTCAAGGATCCATAACATCAACCAGACCGATGAGCATGGGTACACAGCTTTGCACTCGTGGCTTCTGTAAACGCAGGAGGAACGCTGGAGGGGGAAGCAAGACATCGTCTGGATCATCACTTCCCATCTACTTGATAATCACGCCAACTACACAACAGCCGCTCATTCATGGCTTCCTTTTATGGAGTTGCCTGTCACTGAGTCAGAAGATCATTCAGCCGTAAACTATCTACGATCATACGAGGCTCTTCAAACTCCAATTCACCAGACAGTAGCAAGCAGAGTCACCTTCTCCATCATTTGTACCTAGCCAAATGGATTGGAAGATCAGAGCTAGAAAGCTTTTGAAGAGAAGTTACCAATCCTTCCTTCTGGCACGCGGCCAAGTTTACGACTATGCCAAGCCAAGTCTATTGAAGGAGTGCACCTACCTGTGGTCTGCGATAGTCCAGTCTATCGAGGAGGCTAGTACAGAGTTGGTGGAAAAGGACGGAGCTTATGATCTGGACTTTCGAAGTCTCAATCTCAGCCGAGTATCACAAATAGCAACTGAGGTAGCCCCGCCGGATATAAAGAACTTCTTTATAAAGAGCCATTGCTATTTGCTCTTAAATAGTACTAAGAAGTTCTTTATATCCAGCGGGGCTGCCTCAGTCGCTATTTGTGATACTCGGCTGAGATTGAGACTTCGAAAGTCCAGATCATAAGCTCCGTGGCTTTTTCCTCCTACCGAGCAATTATGTTCCGAGCCAGATCATTGGCTAGTATCATCGGAGATGAGAGTACTCCTCGAGCAATGAACGAAGAGGACCACTTTAGACCTTTCGGCTCTGAAGCTGAGATGAAAAGCTGGGCCCATGGAGCTTTTCTCTCTAGCTCAGAACATGACTTGAACACGAAAATATCAGACGATCTTATAACCCAGATCCATTTCTTTATTAAACTTGTCTTCCCACCTATATGCATTTAGAGCCTTGTGAATGTTATTAAAGCTCAACTGCTGGCCATATGTCTCGCGAACATTTTGGAAATCCTTATCCATGCATTGTTCACACCCCCTATCCTATGAATCCGCAACGCTGGTGATGTAGCTTTCAATATTGGAGAAGCATGAATTCGATTTAGATAGTGACTTTGAAGAGATTCTGTTCACCGGCGGCCCAGAATGGTTCGGGAAAACCGGAGACTTCCATCAAATCAAGTCATGGGTCGAACTGGTTGATTGATCATGTTGTTGGGGGTGTCAAAATCGGCACAGGTAGAGAAGAAAGCAGGGTTGGGAAGATAACTCCAACTGTCGAGCCAGAGACCTTGTGGCTACGAAGGGTCGCAAGCGGAAGGATCGTGAACTATCTTCGAGAAATATTCACCTCTCAAATCTATTAGGGCTTTGGAATGGAAGACGTGCTATGGGCCTGGCTCGGATGACTTGCGCGTATGCCGCAAACAGAAAGTACTCGTTGCCAATATGATTGCCTTGGTAATCTTGACTTCTCCCACGGAAACATTAACTACCCAAGCTTGGATATTCAAAGTACTACTTCAGCTGGGGGGGCTAATGTCGGAGACAGCGAAAGTCTCTTGGCCAAATACTTGACACAAAGTACTTGACACATTCCAGGCCCACGAGACACTAAAATCATCAAGAGCCTACCTAACCAAGCGTACGTTAGTGATGGATACCATCTCCGTCTCACGCAAGCATAACCATTCCCAAAGTGATGCTCTCCGATCTGCCCACAAAACGACCTAGCGCCAACAGAATCTATCGGTGAGCCTTGGAATGTCACGCATAGACTCGAGAGAACGACTGGGAACTATAGAACAAGGGATTATTGCGGATAAAACAGTAAGCAGGTAGCCGCCATCACCATCCAACGGAATCTATGACACGCATGGCTTGAAGCATGCATTTTGACGGAAAAGGAGACCTCTCGTCTCTCATCCCAGTTATTTCTTCTGTCTCTAATTAACCACGGCGTTTCGGGGGTTGACGATGTCGACATGATGGGGGGTCTCCTGTGGTCTGCCCAGAAACAACACTGATCGTGAACAAAAGTCATTCCTTGACAGATGAGGATCACCTTCATCAGTAACCATTCTTGGAACTATCAGCGGCCGAGCGAACAGTCACCGCAGCCTGAACTCGGGTCAAACAGGAGTGGTACAGCGAAGGGGAAAATCTAGACGAAGACTTCTCTCGTATTCCCGCAAAAACAAAACAGTCGTCTCCCGAAATGGGCTTCTGCAAACACAGTGTTTTATTCTTGACATCAAAGCCGTGGACAAGCCACTAGAACGTGTGGATTGTTCCAAAGACTTGAACCTGACTACGATAAACGCAATGGCCAAAGTTCACTCGGGTGAATTCAGGGCTCATCTGTGTGAAAGGGAGGAAACAGACAAGAAAGAGGGATCTCGCGACTTCGTGTAAGTTCTGAAACAAAACACCTGCTTCCTACTTCTTCTTATTCTATCATCACTCTTCCTTGTTACCTTTTGCTAATAATATATAGAACACAATGCATGATTAGATGGGAACTATACTCTATAATCTCCTTGGACGTTGCGGAATATGAAGCAACAGGTCAACGACGCGAGCGCCCCTCAACTTCTTTGACTTTATTACAAAGCCGCTAGAATCGAGAAGGGCATTACTCGCTGTTATAGACCCCAAATACTAATGGAGATGGGGATTCTCCCGCCACCTTAAATCTAAGCCCAAAACAGTGTCTGGGTTGGAACTCCGGGCGGAGAGGAATGCTCTTTGAACAGTTGCTTATTTGTTTATCGTGAATGGTCCAGAAGCAACCCATAGCTCACCCGCAGTGACCCATATCGGACATGTCCATGCAACCGCATGGTTACATCTCTTCAGCACCCATCAGTGAAGGCGGATACTACGTCAGTGGCGGCGCAACAGGCTTCCCCAGACCAGAATACAATTCCCACGGAACATCCGTCGATGGACTGGATGGGGGCTTTTGGCAACCCCAGCAGCGGTCACAAGGCTATATCAGGGGCGCAGAAAAGGAGAAGCCAGGAAAAAGTCGTAAGCAGGGGCAAGAGGCAACAGATAAAAAGAAGGAGGGAAAGGGTAAGGAGAGGAGCAAGGATAATAGCGAAAAGGAAAAAAAAGAAAAGGGGGTTAAGTGGTGTTTCCAATCAATCTTAGAAAGAAATGTACGAAATCAGCGGGAATGGAGGTGAGCTGTGCTTCGAATTACATTCTGGCGTATTACCTCCAACGAGTGTGGAACAATACCTAGGGAACATCTCGCCGAAAACCTTCCCCTATACACATGTATCGTTGAAGATTGCTCTGGAGGCGACCAACTGATTTCGACCAAGAAATTGCTCTGGGTTTCTATGTGTTTCCCAATCTATCAAACATACGACTACATCGCAAGAAGGGTAACGGTGTAGGGCCTTCTATGCGCCAACGGAGAAGCAAGATATTCCTAAAGCGTGTCTCCTCTAGGGAGCACCCTGACCCGCGAACCTCCAAACACCGAGCTTCGCGTGGCAATCATATGGGCTCTCTACTCAGAGATCCAGAGCGGATACAGGGCTTCTGTTCTGGCGCCTGAAGCGGCCTATACGAGGGTGAAGAATGCCTGGATGAAGACGGGGATATGGAATAGAAAATGGGGTTTGCCACGTGGTATTTGCTACAAGCATGAACAGCCTCTTGAGGAGATGCTTCGCGAGGAGTTGGGTTATGATGTTGGCCCTGTTTGAGCAACAATCAAGGGTGAACCCCCATGAGACTCTAAGTCTAGGTAGATGGAACCACTAGTTCCTCTACCCTACTTATCTTCTTCCAAATTAAAAGCATTCCATTTCCACGCGCGATCGGACGGATTGTCTCACCATGTCATCCTCCAGCTTTGATTCCCAACGGACGGAAGCACAGCCGAATGAAAGTATAGGATGGGTACCGATCCCAAGTCCCCAAGTGTGGAGGAGACGGCTCTACGATATGCACGCTGCATTCTGCTCTACTCAAAAATGACCTTGTCGACGAGGCCAACGCCTTGAAGCTTGTGGTTTTCAGCATTGCTAGCAATGGTACCGAGGCTAGACTGTTTGCAATATATGCAAAACAAGAAGGAGATTTCACTACACACTTTATCAATAGCTTTCTACTATACGACGCAACAAGTAGAGCGACTCTCTGCGCCTACATTCAACACATTTTTGACTAGGTCGCGAACAAGCGTCTGGAGACGATCAAATCCGCACTCAAAGCCCTCTATGACTCCGGTGTTCGTATCCGATATCAGCACCGATCATTCTCTCCTCTCGCGCAGAGAAACCATAAAGCTACCAAAAATGCCCCACGGTTGTCCGGAGGAAGAATGCCAGCCAGATAAGCCCGACAACATTCTTGTCATTCCTTCCTCCGGTGAATCCCAGGCGACGGAGGATTTCAGGAAGTTGGCTGAAGATGTCCTGGATGTGGGCAACCGACTCCAGATGTTCCTGCAGCGCCAAATAATTTCGCCTTTATATGAGGAGGTCAACAGCGAATTGTGGTCGGTGTTCTCAATAAAGATTTAAAATCGTTCAGAACTCGGACGATGGCTACGCCTGTCCGTGTTTGGTTTGAGAAAACGGATGAATCTATGGCGCCCTTTTCGCTATCACCAACACCAAACAATTTCACCAAGCCGAGAAGACAGCAAGCCTGATATGAAATGGCCTATTCTTTCCCAGCAGAAAGCGAGCCAACACGGCCGAAGATTCCCAAGTTCCCGACTCGCGAACCCCGAGCTCACAAGTTGAGGACAACGAACCGGAAATGCAAATTCAGGACATTGGGGGGCAGCTTTTGTTCATCAACAAGGGTCAGGTAGTCACGAACATGCAGAAACTGTAATCCTGGCGTCATCAATGCGCTTAAGCACGATACATGTCTTTTGGGTAATTACTTAGTTCCCGTACGGCACTCTCCCCGCAGAAATGATCCCTTGAAGCTGGGAAACTTATCGATGCCTACACTACACCATGGCTGGAAGGAAGGGCTATCGCGGAAGAATGATGCTCCATGACCCCCGAGATAAAGACTCTATTTCAGAATAATTCCTTTATGATATTTGGAGAGCACATGTGGGAAAAGGCCACAGACTTGGTTCAGAAATCTCAGCAATCCTTCCTCATCTTTGCCCAGGAAGTCCCACGATCAAATGTCTTCAATCAGACTCGCGACTCCGATCAACATGGAAGAAAAGGGGCAAGATCCAAGAGTTCCAAACAGCCGGCGCGCCTCTTGCCATCCCCCGATGAGCAATAACCCGTGGCCCACCTATCTAGAGTATGGCTACTGCCACTTATTGTGCCAAAAGACATCTGGAGATGGAGTTATTGTCATCTAGGTAGAGCCGAGCGCGTGTTCTCTGCCAGCCCGAGCAGCTATTCAATGGAGCAAGTAACAAGCCTAACATTGGCAGGGAATACATCACCACGGTGGTGACATTTCCAGTTTGAGAGACAAATTCAAGGAGTTACTGGAATAGGAATAATGTACTCCAACATCGCATCTCGACGCCAGGGCCTGCACGTTGGCTTGAAGTCCCATGCTGCATTACGGACGCACAAATCAACACTGAAAACATATTCAACACAAGCACCAAATAAAATAGACAAATGTATTTAGCATTAACACAAAAATTAAGCGGGCACAAGCCTCATAGCCGGGCAAAAAGGCTGAAGTTTAAATACCCGGTATGGTGTCAAGCTGTTAAATTATTGGTGTTTGGAAATTTCCCCCTTTTTTTCAGCAGCTGCATAGCTCTCTCATTTACTACAAAAATTAAGAATATCAATTAGATCCATATGGATGAACAGTGTGTATCAATTGTCGTGTTCCTTTGCTATGAGTGAATTAAGAGCGTAAATATCCATATTCCCTCACACCAAACAATAGAAGATTAGGGACATAAGAATGATAGGCAACGAGTAATAAATTTTCAATAATACATCATTAAGTCCCTTGAAATCTCTTGGGAACATGGCCAAAAAATCTCCTTGTTGCCACCGTTTGACGAGTCGTTTACGCTGGTAGGAAAAAATGATTCATGCAGATGACCGTATCCCTCGCAGATACGAGGCCTGGGCAGACCTTTCCAACCTCTTCTACACCGGTTCCAGCCTGCCATGAATCGCTACCACAGCAGGGTGTCATTCTCTAGGTGCAGCAGCGGTGTAACTCTGGCTGCGCAGCTCGTCCCCGCCACCAACGACGGCCAACATGGCCAATGCATATGCAAAGTCGGAGGTCGGGGCAGAATTGGCTCCAGTCACACACTCGTTTCCATAGGATAGATGTACAAGTACTCTTCAGTAAGAAAAAAATACGTAATCCTGTGTCTGTAAACACCTGCCAGTCCTCGTGGCGTGCGACTACGGTGTCATCCAGCCCTACCCTGCCATCTCATCGGATGATACACAAGGTGCTCCCGCCAACAAAGGAACAAGGTTACAGCCGAACGGCCCTCCAAAGGTACCGATACCTCCTCGCCAATCTCTCCCCTTCTCCTCGCTACACGGGGAAAACGAGGCTACCTAGACCCTGCCTGCAGCTACGAGGGGGGCACAGATCTGCATGTCTCCGCGGGCACTGTGCGCACAGTAGCGACTCAAAAAGCAAAGAAACCCGCTAGAGGATAGGCAAGATGGGGCAAAAGTGCAACGGTGGCTTGGGTCGAGCGCCGTTGAGCTGAACACAGAACGAGTTGCACATAAACGATCGGCGAAACAGAGCATGGGGCCGAGCCTGAGTACGCCCCATTCAGCTTTTTCAGGTCGCCTCAAAGGCTCATTCGCTCCAATGGACTCCGGTCGCTCGCTTGGCCCAGCCGTGCAACGATGAAACGGTGAATGTGTACGGCAGATGCCGGTATTGGAGGCGGGGAGGGATGAGGATTGTAAGACACGGCTCGGCGTTGGATTGTCTCGCGCACCCCCCTCTCTCAAAAAGGCCAAAGCTGTGAACACAGTTGTGTGAGAAGTTCCGGGTCTAATGCAACCACAAGCCACCAAACAATCGGTGTGGCTGCACAACTCTCAGCTTTGCGCCATTTGTCTCTGCCCAGTCTCACATGGCGAGGAAAGAGAGAACAAGGAGACGAGAGGTCAATCCATTGAAGATCGTGTGTGTCTATTCTCCAGACTTAGCAAGATATCATTCTGTCCTACCGCACCAGGCATGACAGGTGTGAAATGATACCGATGCTGTGCACTACAGGTCGTCGATAGGATTCGTCAAGAGTGAAGACGTTCATCAGTCGGTGTGATCCATGCCTGATCTCACAACGGCTTTCGCTTGAGACAGTCCTAATCGAGCTTGAGCCTAACCTCGAATCCTCATTCTAGCTATTGTTGATAGCGCTCTAGGAAGGACGGATGAATGCCTCATTTGGGCAAAGTGTCGTGCGTGAGTGAACAACATCGAATATCAGCCTGATCCCACTCGAGCTCCATCAATTCCCATGATAGAGTTGTCAACTCCGTGCCCTGTTCATCATCGGCGTTCATGCCCATTTCAAAACAGTGACAGAAGTGACCAAAGAAGACGGTCTTCGATTTGCGGCCGGATGCTATCTCCGATTAATTGATGCTCCTCGAAGACATGTACGACCTGGCCAGCCTTGCTTCAATCGCTGTCCAGCACAAGTTTGCGCTGTAGCTTAGCCTGCCACAGCGATCTTCGGTCCCATGGAGTAGGCGGCTCCAGCTCTCCACTCCGCTAGCTCTACAGGCGGCCACCAGCTGAACATCACCGCCAAAGACTTCAAGTTAGCGAGTGAGTACAGCACAAGCCAGTAAATTATGTAACGCGTCACCATCGCTTGACGTTCATTGCTGCTTGTTCCATCCATCAATCGAGGACGAAACATCACCTTCACATCAACCACAATGAAGGCGACGGCAATCAGCCGCCATGTTCACCCTCCACAACATCCATGACGGCGAAGTCGTCCACCAAAAGTCCCTCCTCCTCATCGGCCGCTACAACTCGCCCCGAGACAGAGACGGCCATGTCCAGGTCCAGACGGCCAACGAGGCCGGCCGCCAGACCTTCCCCATCCACAGCTGGCCAATGTGCGACGGATGGTTCAAATGCCTGGCCATTCTGAGCCCCGGCAAGAACTTCGTCCAGCTACGAGTCGCCGGCGGCGGTGACAGCGTCAGGGTGTGCGTCGACTACGTGCCCCTTCTGGACATCCCTCCGCTTCACCTCGTCGTCATGATGGCCGCCGACTCGCCCGGCCTCATGGACTGCCCGCCGTGCAAGCCCTCCCCAGCACACGCCAACCTGCACGCCGCCGTGGCCAAGCTTCGTATGGCCGCCTGCTTGTGGCAGGCCCTGACGGCCGAGGAGATGCGCGCCGCCGGGCTCGGCCGCCGCACCTTTCGCCTCGAGGAGCACTGGTCGGCTGATTCCCTCAGCCGGTCCTTCTCGCCCGATCCCGACAGCCTCCTGTCGTGTATGCGCTCCACCATCAAGGTCCATGTCGTCAGGAGCGACAAGACCGCTGCCCAGATCCGCGATCGGGACATCGCCCAGCAGTATGACGGCGCCCGGGACAAGAACGCCCTGCACGGCATCTTCCTCGACGCCATGAAGAGGTACGGGCCGCCCTTTGAGGACCTCACGCGGCCCATCGTTGCCGGCTTGATCTTCGACTCGCATTACGACAAGGCTAGCAATCTCATCACGGGCCACGCCGCTCTCGGCTCACACAATCCAACCGGCATATCGCTGGGCATGTGCGGCAGCCACGTCGCCTATGCCTGGCCTCGCTTCATTGAAGAGGTCCCAGACTGTCTCCTGGACACGACACCGCCCGGAGACACGGTGGGAAATGACTGCAACGCATGTCCCACCAACTGGGAGGCCTGCACTGTCGGTCTGACTGCCTTCATCCACGAGGTCGGACACGCCTTTTCGGCGCCGCACACCTCAGGTATCATGGGCGGGGGCTGCTCCCGCGACTTTCCAAAGAACTTCCTCTCGACCGTTGCGTACAGCCGCGTGCTCAACCGGCGAGACGATGTCCCCATCACGATAGACACGGATCATATGTGCCGCTGGGCTCTGCAAGATCTCCTCCGCTTCGTCGGTCTTCCTCATTTCCGACACCCGTCCGATCCCGAGAAGAGCACCGCGTCCGCCGTCGTCACAGTCGAGGGCCATGGCGACTCCCTGCGGCTGGTCATCAACTGCAAGGCAGGGATCGCCGAGGTCAACCTAAACGGCACCGTGCTCAACAAGACCTCCATCTCCCACCCAGCCAAGCAGGTCCTCGTCCGCATCAACGAGCTCTCACGCTTCAGCAAGAACAGCCCGCTGCAGCTCCAGGTCCTCTCCATGAACGGCAAGCACGCCGAATACCCCGTCTGGTCGATGCTCTCCCGCATGGCGCAGATACAGATCCCCGGCACCGACATCCACCTCCGGAGGAAGAGCGTCGGGCGCCCCATCGGCGAGGACGGGGACTGGCCGTGGGCCGTGCTGCTGAACAAGCGAGACCAGCGGGGGAACCTCGCCCGCGCATACAAGATCGACCTGAGGGTCGGCTGGCGGCTGGACGGCGCCGAGGTGTACTTTGAGGACAGGACGAAGATCCCCTGCGGGCGCCGCGGGCCGGGTGGGAACGACCCTGACATGGGCGGCCACATGACTCGGAAGCTGCTCATCTCGAGGAAGGCAGAGATCACAAAGGTCCTGGTTTCCCGGGTGGATCAGAACGACCTGTGCGGCCTCCGGGTGTTTCTTTCCAACGGTAAGGCCATGGGCGCCTTGAACAAGCATTACTCCCACGCAGTGGAAACGCTAGGTAAGTTGACCACACTTTCTCGCTGCCCATATTAACGCAAGTGACTTACACACATGCCTCAGTGCCTGATGAAGGCCAGATAATCGTCGGATTCTACGGGACTACCAGCCAGCACTCGAGGTGCAACGAGTTCGGCATCATAACGGCACCAAGAAACATCCAACTCCCCGACTGGCTATACGACATGCCTGAATTGCAGAATAACCCCAAGGACGGCTCTGGTAGCCGTCTCCGACCGAATGATGGTCCCCGACGATACGACCTGGATGTCGCCGAAGATCAGGACAGTGGCTACGACTGCCATTTAGATGTAGAGGAGTCAGATTAATTACGATAAATGTAGATGTGCTTTCTTTTGTCTGTCGATATCTTCGTCTCCAAGTTGCTTTAGCTTACTTAGCATGTAAGGGGCATGATGCTGAATAAAACAGTTAATATTATTGTAGTGGTTTCTGATGGCCGCTTGGGCTTTCTCCAAGAAGAGAACCAGGTTGTTGAAGATGAGATTATAAGTCATAGCGCATTCTGTCGAGAAGAAATCCCATATTCGATGGCTAGGTAGCTTTCCCCTATGGTGTCTTAATCTCAATTCCATCAGAAATGGTGTAGCCGAGAACAAAAAAACGTAGATGGAAACCAAATATCACGATACCTTCATGTGCGAGGACCTACGATTGTGAAGCCTACTGGCTGTCTCTGGCCTTTTTTTTTTTGGCTCGGTTATCCTAGCCATTGCATAGGAAGAGCATGATACTCCGTAGAGTCATGGTAGTTTGTTCATACTTGGGATATATACTGGAATAAAATCCTCGTCGTCAAGCAAGTCCCCTGTCCAGCTTGGTTTCTCAAGTAGGATACACGGTCTGGTGGTCTAGTGGTATGATTCGCGCTTAGGGTTACCTAAGCATAAATGCGCGAGGTCCCGGGTTCAATCCCCGGCCAGACCCTTTGTTTTTGTCTTTTTGCCCTTCGAAACGGGAGGAGGAAATGGGGCATGTGAGAACATTTACGCAAAATCTGTCTCTGATGCGCTATCACGGAAATTAAATTTTAGCAGTAGATTCCAGTGGGTCTTTGTCCTGTGGGTGGTGTCTTACTAATCAAATATTAGCCAATGACAAGTCAGGTCAACCGAGCTTCCCACGTCTACAATGAGGGAGCTTTCTTGCACACAATGAACACCGTTCGAACAACCAGTATAATAATGTATATCTTGTGGAATTTAAAAATTACCTAATACATGAAGGTCGGCCTTGCGAAACCTAAAGTTCTAATAAACCTTGAACTGGGGAAGAAAGCAAAAGAGGCACTAATATGCTGGATTTGCCACTGAAAACACCCCCAATTGGAAAACGCCCGGTCATATCACATCACGTCATAATCATTAGGTACACATCCCATACACCGGGGATGGAGAGACAAAGGAGACAAGAGAAAAGAAACTTTGGTCGCCATACAGTCCGTGGGTGTCTGGTCGACAGCATTAATCGGTCTGTCCTGGTAGTGGGATTTGGGAGGAGATGAATGGAAGGTTCAGGCTTCTCCAATTCCAGAGCATTGAAAAGTCGCCCATTACATCATCATTGATGGGCTCGAACGGCATCGGGTGGATGTGGCCATCAGCTGCCGGAATGCCTGTAAATATATCAACAGGTCGCTGGGGCTGGGGATTGTGGCTTTGTAGCGACGCTGGGGAAACATGAGCAGGGTTCATATATAGGAGTTGCTGCGATTGTCCAAGTGCCTGCGCATGATGAGCCGCATAATGAGCGTCCATGTTACAGGGTTGCTGCGCCGTGGGGTAAGCGGGCGCGAGAGGCTCTTGCACCTGGGGCTCCAAGTAGGCTGGCTGGTACTCCGGAGTAGGGATGTGATTGCTTTGCGGAGTAGAGCCGCTTTCAGCGCTCTCACTGCTAGAGAACTGGCTTGGTGGGCTGGTGGTCGTGTCTGAGCTTAAGGAGGGCGGCTTCAGGTACACGGTAGGGTCTTGGATCAGGGCTGGCGCGCCGTAGGCCTGGCCAGCCACGAATTGAGGAACCTCTCCGAACCTCTTTCGCTTGGATTGAGCGGACCGTCTGCGGGGAATTCGTCGAACGAGCTGGGACAGAATGTCATAGGACTGCTTCGCAGTTTTTGATAAGTTATAGATCTTTTTGAGTGTGATGAGAGCTTCGTCGATCGCGTCAATGATCTCGGTTCTTTTCGGGATGGAGTTATCCTTGTCATTAAGAATCGCCGCCGACAAGACTGCGACAGTATCAAAGAGGGAAAAGATGATAAAGTGAAACCGGCCATCGCGGTGGGACGCAACTTTGGCCCATTCTGTGGTAGTCTCCAAGTTGAGAAGAGAGTAGTCTACGCCAAATTGTCGAATTGCATGCTCTTCTTGCGGGGTCTCCGGCGAAAAGGTCTGCGCCAGGTACCGCCGGATAGGGTTCAGAATCATAAGGTACGCCATTGTGTGGAGATAGAATCTATGATGTGTGATCCATGGGCTCCCATAATCTTTGGACTCGTCTGGCTGGGTGGTTGAAAAAACGGGCGGGAAGTTGCGAATCCACGTCTCGAGGATCCCCTTGTACTCCTGAATATCCTTAGGGGTTACGACATTTTTTGGCGCCTGGAACCGGGAAGCCAACAGCGCGATTGCTTCCGACTGAAGCTTCATGTGTAAAAGCGGCGAAGGGGTGAATTCCTCCAAGGAAAGGGTCGGCTGTGCCACACTGGAAGTTCCATGGTCGATCAATGTTGGTCGTGCGAGGCCCGAGGCGAATTGCCTAGCAAAATCACAATCAGTAAGGCTAGTAGTGGCATCGAGAGTCTACTCGGGTTATTTACCAGTCCCACGTGTCCAGCACACACCAGACACGTCGGCGGATCTCGCGTTCGAACTCGGGAAGGCCTGCCGCTCGTGCTTCGATATGAAGACCTATGCTAGGTATCAATGGATTGCTCATGGCAGGGCAGAAATTCAATCGCAATGCCTTCTGAACACTTACCTAGCTCTGTAGCTTCGCCCACGGCCTCTGAAATGAGGAGGTATGCCTCTGGGAATCGAGCTTCCGACTTGAACCAGTAGATTGTGTGCAGCATACGCTGGATGTTGAGGATGTGGTAACTGCCGATAGGGATTGCCGTCGATAGATTGCGGGTTAAATCAAGATACGACACCGACAGGTTGTCGACCGAGTCGCCCATCTCTGTCTCAATCTTGGCGCGGGTGTCGGCGTCCAAGTGTTGCGTCGTGACGGAGCAGATAATGACAAGAAGGGCTGTCCATTCGATGGACAGAGGCTGGCTTCCGAGTCTAGCATCCCACCATTTTTGATACTGATCGAGAAAAACCGGAGGGTAAATGATATAGTAGTGGTAATTGACTGTGTTGAAGAATATCTGCACAAGTGTGTCTGTGTATTACGGCAAGGTCAGCACAGGTCGACACGATTCAGTGGAATGGTTTTGTCGCACCCATCTGCGGTCTTTGAGGCAATGCGGCCAGCGCGCTTTCAAGCGCAGGGCATTCACTAGAGGTCCTCAAGGTCAGAGTCTGCGATGGTGGTCGGGGCGACTCCGTCTTCTGCAAAGATGGTCATCAGTATTGAATCCCCAGCTTCACAGGTCAGGGCAGCTCGAACTTACGCTTATGACGGTCTTGCTAAGCAGATCAGAAACCAGCGAGCCTGCCAGATATCCCATCTTGCTGAATGCGTCGGCGTCAATATCGTCGTCCTCTCCCAAAGAATCATTGTCGTTGTCATCGTCCTCGAAATCAGCCGAACGCTTCTGGCTGGTCGAGCCAGTGGTCCGGTTCTCGCCAACGGAAGAAGGTTCAGAATGAGAAAAGGCGCACTTGGATGCGACCTTGCGCTTCTGACACTGGTTGCAAGGCCATTGACGGTTGCACTGTGGTTGTTGTGCGGTGATTAGCTACAAGGCCTCGATCGAACGGGGGTGCGTCGGGCTCCCTCTTTCCACCTACTTTCTGCTTCCTTCGCTGGCACTCAGCACACGCCGAGCGATGCTGCACGGGCTGCTGTTGTATGTTCGGGTCGGCCATGGTGAAATGCTGAGCAGAGAGGCCAGGCTCCCATCGATGCGCACCTGGCAGAGCCGGATTTCGTCCCAAGAAGTAGTTTTCAACGGGCAAATGCAGGGTGAGGTAGAGGGACCTCGGTGGGGTTCCAGGGGACCAGGTCTAACAAAGCCAAACGGATCAGTCTGGGACTCCCTCTTAACTCCGTATTGGGAGGAGGGGTGGGGACCATTTTATCTTACATGCCGGTGACAAAAAACGAGATGCTAAAGTCAAATCCCGATTGGCACGAATGACAGCCATTGACAGGTCAGCATCCGGGTGGAGGCGATTTAGCGGGTGGAGGCAACGCGAGGAAACGGGAGGCAGACGCTTTCGCACTTGTTAGACTCGAGGCTTGCGCCAGCCCCAAGCTAAGGGGTGTTGGTGTTGAGGGGAGCGAGGGGAAGCCGTGACCGGTGAAAGGGCTCCCAGGGTAGGGGTGAGCGGCTTTGCATATTTAAGCAAGGGCTTCCATGGCAGATCGACTCAGCCCCGTGTGTTGAGCTGGGACGCTTTGACCGTGGAGATCAAACGGAGCGGCATACAGGCTGCTGTGCATTGTGACACCACACCGGTTAACAGTACACATATCCCATCTGTGCACTGTATCAGAGCACGCCAAGACTCTGTGGCTATCTCGCCATGCAGCCGCGGCCCAAGAGAGACAGGCAGCCGTAGGCATGAGCAGGTGAGGGTTGGCGAGGGTGCGAGTGGGAGTGAGGCGTGCCTTGACGTTGGTTGGGTCAGGTTCGGCGACATACACTTCAGGGCTTCTCTCTGTGGGACTGCGCCGACCGCACTGAGCGATGGCTGCGTGTACAGCCGACGTACCTAGATTTGGATTTGAGACAAAGCAATATCGACTGCTTGGTATGCGCCTGAGATGATCGACCAGACCTTTGAAAGCTCCATGTTACCGCCACTGCCATTTTGCCAATAGTCTTGCCCACCCAGTTCTCAGGAGAAAAGCCTCGATCTGGGTGTCCCCTTTTGTCCCACTGCCTTCCCAGCCATAAGCCCCTTTCATCTGGGGCCCCGACACACGGCACAATAAATAGCTTATTGCTTTGGCAATACATCAAGCTTGACCCCACGTCTCAGGAAAGCGTACCTAGTTCAGATAGCTGCATCGCGTGCTCTCTGAGCCTCTCTCTCCTCTTGCTAGTAGCTGAAGTGGTCGAGACCCTGCAGAGGCCCTGAAGAGCGGATCTACCGGCAGAGCCGTAGCTGATGTGGGGAAGTGAGATATCCTCTGCCTCTCGGCCTCGTGACAGTGCCAGGCGTCAGATTCGATGCTAAGAGGCAGCGATTGGCAAATTGCAACTGGACCAATCGCTTGCGTGACATAACATGGTAAATCTGTGGTGAGGCTTTGGTAGGTGTTGGAGACGCGTGGGCGATCGAGTGCAACGGCAATATCCGTTTCCAACCGTTAGTACGCAATGTCCCTTCCAGATGTTACCCACCTCGTTGGCGCGGGTGATTGAGATCAATTTTCAAATAGTAGATCGGCCGTTTCGCTGGAGTCAAAGGCGGTAAATACCGAGACAACCCCTGGCCTCTTGATTAGTGAACAATATCCTTATTGATGGCATTGGGAAACTGGATAATTGCAAAATCCACCATGTTGCCGAGTGATCTTCACAATGGACCCGTGCCTTCATCTGATGGTTCGCGGAGAGACCTTACCTAGCTCACCAGGGGATACTAGTGTGAGCTAGTTCGGGATTTACTTTCGTAGACGTCAATAAGCGATGGATCTGTGCGCACTGGCCGTCTGGCGGGCGATATTGTCTTGCTTGAGCCTTGACGCTCGATCTTGGTGGCTTGGTGGCTTGTGATGGTGGAGATTCACATCATATCTCCTGGGTCGGAAAGGTGATTCATCAGTTCCCGAGCCCAGTCGCGGGCGAGACAGCGATTGAAAAAGGGGGAAATGCAAGAGTTGAGAAATTTCTCTCTTGCACATTCCTGCTCCCTTTGAATGGGCAAATACAAATGGCCTGATTGAGGAATTGAAGGAAGGAGCGAGCGAAGGATGAAGAGGGGTTTCTGGAGCGTTGCTATAGGGTAGGACATATGCGCGCGGATGCCGAGGTGGCAGGAGCGTTGCTCAAGGGGTAAAGCACGAGATGTGGAAATTACGAGTAGCTACTGTGTCGCTGCCGTCGATTGCTTATACGAGACGGAAATTGTGCCTCGGATTCCCGCAGGATGGCAAGGAGCCGCCACGAGTCCTCAACATCACGACTTCATACTATCGGCGGTAAGCCGTGTGCTGCAGCTCGCCATACCTCGCGGCGATGGTGCTGTTGGTGGTTGCCCCGTGGAAACGAAGTGGATACCTAACCGGGCCGGCTTCTTACCTGAGATGAACGCTCGGCCAGCTGATTGGCCTCTCCTGCGATTCTCCACCTTTCCAGCTCTTTCCTTGACAGCTTCGTTGTTGACGTCCTTAATCACCACGCACCAAGTTCCAGCGCCATCGCGTCGCATCCTGTCGCGAGCATCCATCACCCCACGACTCAATTCGCACACTTCCATCCTGCGAACTTCGAGTCGCGTAACTATGGATATCTTTCGCAACATGTTCAGCCCACAGAAACCCGCCGAACCCGCACAGCCAAAGCCACAGCCACAGCCACAGCGCGCGCCGTCGCCGCCGCCGGTAGAAGCGCACATGAATCGCGTGCAAAAGCCGCGCCAGAAGGGCAGGGCAGCTTCTCGCAAGGGTGCCTCTAGGGCGCCTCGCCTCCCCGCGCGCATATTGGGCAGCCCTGAGCTGGGTGAAGAGGTATGAACCTTGATTGACATTTGATTTTCCTTTTTTTGTTTCACTTCTTTGCTTTTTTCTGTCTCTTGCGGTCGCGGTGGCTAACGTTCTTCGTCGCCTCAGGAGCCGACCAAAGTGTCCCGTCGCCATTCTGAATTCCCCCGAGCATCCGCCCGACTCAACGATCTCTCATCGGATGATGAGCATAACCAGACTATCGCTGAGGGAATCTCCGTCTCCGTCACCCGCGACGATGGCGCAGACTCCATAACCTTTGCATCCCAGCCGGCGCATTTGCGATCACTCCTCAATTCGACTCAAGAGGATGACACCGTCGCCAGCGAAGACCCTGATGAGGAGATGGCCGATGCCCTTGACCAGCCAGTCGATGAAGAAGACAACGAGGACGAAGACGTCGTCATTGGTATGGATGAGTCAGAGCTAGATGACGAATCAGATGAACGAGTCGAGAAACAGTCCGATATCAAAATCGAGTCGAAAGTTAAAATCGTTGCGACTCAGGATGACGATTCTGCGATTGTGTCCGAGGCCACCCCCGTTCCTACAACCGAGTCCGGCTCTGAAATCACACCCGCTCCTGTTTCTGAGGCTGGCGCAACTGAACTGTCAGACCTCGCCGAAGTGAATACTGCCGAGGCAGAAGACGAGGCCAAGGACGAGGAGGAAGAAGAGGAGGACGAAGGTGACCTCACAATCAACAGAGGGGACGGCCAGCATTCCTTCACTGAAATCCTTGACCACCGTTGGGCGGGCGATGAGGTTGAACTCAAGGTTGGCTGGTACCGTGGCTCCCCTACATGGGAGCCCGAGTCTATCCTTCATTCCGATGCTCCCGACTCGCTTTTCTCGTATTGGCGCAGCCAAGGCGGCCGTCCGACGAACCCTCGAGACGCAGACATCTTCGATATTTTTGCCATCCGAAATCATAGCCGCGACAAGAAGAAACTTTTTGTCGAATGGACGGGCTACGAACCCAAGGAGAACTCCTGGGTTCCAAGCAACGTTGTCGAGGAAACAGCGCCCGAGGTTGTCGCTCAGTACTGGAAGAGCATCAAAAAGGCACCCGAGCCAAAGACTGCCAAGGGCAAGGCTACAAAGGCCAACGCCACCAAGGCCAAGACCACCAAAGCAAAAACCACCAAGGCAAAGACTTCCAAAGCAAAGGCCCCGGCAACGAAGACGCCTCAGTCAAGAGTCACCAAGACCAAGGCACCAGCTAGGCGCAAAAGGTAGACGGGACAACTGGGCGGATTTGGTCGTGGGATTTGGATTTGAGGTTTAGCAGCATGGCGTTGAAAGGTTTTATTGTTGTTGCGAGGGTTTTCAATATTAGTACTGGGGCATGAGGTTACAGAAGTGTCCATGTGGCACCACCCTTCGGAGGGGCATGAACGGGATCGCGAGATACGTGTACATTCAGAGGGCAGCGCCCGTTTATCGTTTGCTTCATGTTTGTTGTTGTTTACTTGTTATTTCTTTCTTTCAACAAGGTTGAGCCATATTTTATTCATGTGGGCAGGTAACACTATTTGGCATGCAACTTGTCTGACCAAAAACATTAAACCCTCTTAATCATAGAAGCCAAGTATTTCACCGACTACGCTGCGGTAGAGTCCATCCGGGTCAAAGTCCTTGCGCACGGCGTTGAAGCGCGAGAGGTACTGCGGCACATTAGTATTTTGAAGCGAGCGAGCGAGATATTCTGCCTCTCACTTACATCGGGATCTAGGTTCTTCTTTGCTCTTGTCAGCACATCGCGTGTGTTCTTTGTCCAGTGTGGCCGGCAAGGGAACTCGTCCACCAAAGTATTAGCCAGATTGATATCTGCAACAGTCAGCCTAATGTTCACCACACGATTTTTTTTTTTAAGCAGTGACTTACAGAACTCCTCGTTGTACCGCTTCTGGTCGCCAACGGTCGGCCGGTACGAGGGGAAATCAAACATGATGGTCCCCTGGCTCCAGTCCTCCCCGTCGGCCGTCCCCGTCGTGACTTGCCCCAGAAAGTCCTTGTGCGCCTTGGCGAACTTGATGTTGATGCCGCTCCGGTACGTCGCGCTCATGATCCTCAGCTTCTTGGCCTCCGCGTCCCACAGCTCCCTCACGCGCTTCAGCATCTCGCCCGCCCGCGTCACGGGGAAGGCCAGCTCGAGGGTGTACCCCTTGAGCCCGCGCTCCCACACGGGGTGCTGGTTGGGGTAGAGCCCGCCGATGAGGACGTCGTAGTTCCAGCCGTAGACGGGCCACTCGGTGATGGCGGCGTCGGTGTTCTTGTCGTGGAAGTTGGGGCTGGACCACTGCCCGAAGAAGATCTCCTCCATGAGCCAGTTGGACGTGGGCGTGTACTTGCCGCTGTCGAGGAGGAACTGGGCGACGGCCGCCTCGGCGTCGGTCACGGAGAAGGTGGACTGGAAGCCCTCCTGGGCCGACTCGGATTCGGGGACGGTCTCGTAGTAGCGCCAGTGGAACTTCTTCTTGTATGGCCACCACTTTATTCGGCTGTTAGAATCTTATGTCCTGTGCGGATGGGTGTGTTGGATATACGTACCCAGAGGTTTGCGGTCTCCCATGGAGAGATCAAGCCGGCAATGTCGCCATTCAAGACCTCGTCCTCTTCCAGCCTGTTCTCATCTCTGTTAGAATGGGTTCTTTCCGGTGAGATTCTGGGGAACCTACGTCTCCTGCATTGCCTTGATCTTGGTCTCAGGGTAGATGGAGAGCTTGAGGCGAGCAATGATGCCCAGCAGTCCCAGGGACGTGGATGCTGCCAGCCACTCATCATTGGACTCGTCCTTCACAATGTGTCGAATCTCTCCCGACCCATCGATGATGTCCAGCTCCTGGACACCTCCGACGACGACTGCATCTTCTCTCAACGAGGTGCGGTGGGCACCCATCTGGAAGGGTTCAAGTATTAGCGAGCGCCAAGTGAATTGTCAGAGGGGAATCATGTACCGCCACACATCCTCCGATGCTAATATTCCAATTAACAAGACCGGTACCAATGTTTGCGCCTCGCTCATGGAGATACTCAGCAAGTCTACGCGACAGTCAGCCTAACGACTCATTCCCCATTCTTATAGGGCTTTGTCTAACTGGAAGAACGTAACCCCCGCCTCAATCATGACCGACCCGGCCTCGAGGTCAAAGTCCCAGATATTGTTCACAAACTCGGTGCGGACGATGACCGTCTCGTCGTCGGAGCACTGCGTGTCATACCAGTGGTGGCCCTTGGCCCCGGCGCGGACCTGCAGGCCCCTCCCCTTGGCATCGCGCACGAGGGACTGTATCTCCTCGACGCTGGTGGCGTTGTGCACCTCGGTCACGTTGTAGCACGCGGGCGAGCCCTCGCCGTCGAAGGTGTTGAAGACGAAGGCCGTGGCGCGGCTGGCCAGCACGAGGGATTGTATGAGATGGAGGGCCTTCATGATTTCTTCTGGCTAGGTAGGCCCGGGTACAGTTTCCCAGAGAGGTGGCCTGGGACTGCCTGAGAGGGTTGCTCTTATAAGGGCAACTGCTGGTCCTGGTCTTGGGAATCGTCTTGGTTGATCTGGTCCAGTGACACGGCCAGACTGAGGCACTGGGTGCTACCTCATAGCTCATTCATGCAACGTGCCCCCCTGATGGACAGGGCTGGCAGGTAGAAAGAGCAGAGCGATCCTACCTCAGCTGGCGATTGACGACTGGGCGTGTCAAATTGGGTAGCACCAGGCTCATGAAAATGAAGGTTTCTGGGCTGGAGAATGCCATTCTGCCTCGGGCCAAAGCAGCATGCACAGGGACCGAACCCCCGGAGCTGCCTTATTTGGAACTTTAAAGCGTAAAAGGTTGAGGGAGTGTTACGGTGATGGCTGGCAGGGCGGGCGACTGACGTCTTCCAGCAAGGGGGGGAGACGATCGGGGAGGGGAACGACATGGGTCTAAGTTGCATTGCAGCGCACAAGACTCTGAATGCGGGGAAGCGACCTGCCATTTGATTTAGTAAATTATTGAGCAAGGCCGGGATGTTGGAAATGATGTTGCTCGGGCTCACTGCTGGAATCAGAATGCACCTCGTATTGCAGCACCAACGTGGACGAGGGATCAAGGAGCTACAGGCGCCGTGGGCGAAAAGAGGCATTGCTGTTCATGGCATGTCGCTGGAAGAGGTCAGCGCGCCCAGTTACATCGCATTCATGCTTGCTGATTGTGATCTACACGGAGTCGCGGAGGGGGGAGATGAGTGGCTGTTGGGTTGTGTTTGGTGGCTTTACTCGTCTCATCTTTGTCCACGGGGGTTGGATTGCTTCACAAAACGACTTTGAGATGAAACACTCTTGGATCTGTCAAGAATGCAATATATCAAACGTTATACCAGGCGAAACTGTTGGTATTTGGTTCAAAGTAACCTTGGCTGGGTGTACTTGTCTGTCGTCTCGCCATTTTCTGCATCGATTGATTCAATTAAACAACAGTCCTTGACTGCTCAAACAAACATTTATAATCTCTTGATACAATTCCGTGTGTATTGAAATAAGTGATGACATCAAAAACATTACCATACTCAGCTCTTTGATGTATGAATCGATGGCGACGGATGGCGGTCTGAGAAAAAGGATGCTTCCCGCCCAAAAACCCGGGCGGACTGCCACATCTGAACAGGCAAAGAGGCCTGATATATCCTCTACTCCTCGGAGACAAACTTTACACCCCAACCACGACCGCAGCCGGACAATAGCACCTCCCTTTCGCCCCCAGAAAAGCTAGAAACGACCACTCCATGATACTCAGGTCCCTCACGATGCGAATACAAGCCCCTGGATTTGGGCTTTTGAACCCTAAAACACACCTCAATCTCCTTCTCATGAGCTCTCACACTAATCGAGGCCAACTCCCTGCCCTTTCGAGCCCTAGAAGTCTCCTCAACCTTCGTCTCATCTTCCCTGTCCATCCGCGGACGGCGAACTTCAGCAGCGGCTCTGTAGAAAATGGCAGCTTCGCGCCAGACGCAATCAACCCAGCTTCTGCTCTCACACCGAACGACCTGCTCAGGCCTGCATATCAGCAGCACAGGCGGAGGGGCCTGGCACCAGTACGCAGGCGTCGAGCGCAGGTACCTGGTCAGAGACCGAAGGATGTTGTCAAGCTGCCCCTCCGACGCGATGGGCACCGGCTCGGGAACGCCTGGGAACTTGGTGGCGTACCCATCTCGCTTCAGCTCCTCCTCGGTGCAACCGATGCGCGCGAGGAAGTAGGGCCAGTGCGCGTGGACCGGCTGGTCAGGTCCCTTGGGGTCGAGCCACTGGCGGCATGAGTGAGGCTTGGTGTCGCGGCCGAGACGGAGCCAGTAGACGAGGTCCATGACGGACTGGGAGGTGTCGGGGGCGGCGTGGACCTTGGTGCAGGGGGATTGGGTTCCCCAGAAGCGGACGTTGAGTCTCTCTGGATCAATGTCTCTGGCCGAGCATATCTCTTCGGGCCTGGGAGGCATTTTTTGTCTTTTGGCCTGTGGAGAGTCAGTTTTTTTATCTATACCTTGGGTATTGGATTGCCTACAGGATGCATGCTGTCTAGAAAATGTCTGGTAGGATGAATGTAACGGCCTTGACAGTGGTTGAGAAATGAGAGACTGTAGTTGGAAGATGAAGGAGAAAAAAGAGTGGGAGAACTATTGAAGAGAGCTGGCACTCTTAATATAAGACCAAGAAAATAGGACAGAAAGGCTAGGAAAGTAACTGATGAGTGGGAGGCAAGTGAATGGAGCAACAAAGAGCAAAACTTCCGGTACGTGCAGTCAATAATTTAACAACAGGCAAACAGTTGACTACTTAACAGGCCGTTCAATCTGAGACCAGCTGTAAAATATCACGTGGGGGAAGACAGTACGAGGTAAAAATGCATATTTGATCAGTGATTCACAGCTTCGCCTGCTGAGCCCGTGGAAGAAACTTGGTCGGTATGGGCACGTGAACCGCCCTGATGTACTCTGCAAACCCCTTCCCCAGGCAATCAAGGAGCTTTGAGCTGCTCACACCCCTCCCGAGAGGCCCGTAAACAACAAAGTGAACTGCATAGATGTTTGGCATCTCCACACGCTCGATGAAATACCGATCCCTCCAGTCGCGCCCCATCATCTGCTTGAGCCTCTGACGGGTCATGAAGGACCGCAGCCAGTCCCATTGCTCAGGCTTCTCAACGAACAGACCCAGATTCACGTTTGCTCCTTTGTCTCCTGATCTTCCCAGGGCTATGTCACCCAGAGGGCGTGAGATGGTAGGGCCGAACGAGTCGAGAGGGACGGGCTGAGCAGTCTCGTAGTTTGCCCTGGCCAGGAGTCGCTCTGTGACAACCGGAGGGCCGACAACACTTCTGTCTATCCCTTCCGGCCGGATGATGGAGATCGACTCTTCAATCTCAGTCTGCGGGACAATGGCTGGGTAGTATGCTAAGAATGGCTTCGGAGCTGCAGTGCGCCAATCCAGCGAGCCGTGCATCCCTTCAACGTCGTCAGCTTCATCCAGCCCAACACACCACTCACGGTGTACTCACCAGCAAAATGCGTCATGAATGTGAAATTCCAAGCGGCAGCAACCATGGAAACCACCTTCTTATCTCTGGACTGTGCAAAGATGCGCATATACGTCGTCGACGCCAGCTGGCTGTCTGGATTCTCCATCGGCACGCCCACTCTCTGGAAGTCGAGCACGTCCAGCTTGTCCAGCACCTGCCACTCCCTCAGCTTCTCTCTGATCTGCAGCTCCTGGACCTCCCATTTATGTGATGTCGCATACCCGGACGCGTTCAAAAGAAGCTCGTTCTGGTACCCGCCCCGGTAGAAGACGGCAAGCTTCGTCGTGGGCGGCGGCGGGAATCCCTTCACTCCCTCAACATGCACGCGATCCTTTGCCACCTCCTCCACCTTGACGCCCGACACGTCCGCCTTGACGTCGCTGTTGAGGTATACATCTCCCTGCAGCTCATATAGGAACTGGCACTTGACCGTGTCCGCCGTCACAAGCCCCCCCGTCCCCTCGGCCTTGGTCACCACGCACACCCCGTCCCCGGCAACCTCCACGATCGGGAGGCCCAGATTGACAAACGCCTCGGCAGGGTACCTATACGCGCCGGAGAAGTTGCCGCCCGTGACGTACGTAGAGCACTCGATTAAGTGGCCGCCCACCAGCGCGGCGGCGAGGCGGTCGTAGTCGGTTGGAGCCCAGGCGTGCCACCATGCGGCGGCGGCGATGACGGGGGAGGCGTCGGCGACACGGCCGCAGATGATGATGTCGGCGCCCTGGTTGAGCCCGTGCTTGATGGCCCGGTAGCCGAGATAGGCGTTTGCGGAGACTATGGGCATGGTATCTGGGTGTTGGAGGAACGAGAGGGCGGACTGGTCGAGAGTGACGGATAGGTTGTCGTGGTCCAAGTGATGCAAGGCAGGTGAGCTGTCTTTGTCCGAGGATGATGAAGAGGTGGATGACGGTTTTAGCAATTTATGGACTTTGTGCATGAGATCGTCGCCCTGAACGTAGGCTATCGTGAGATCGAGACGTTTCTCTTTGACCTTGTGATTTGATTGCTGTTAGAAGAGAGTCCATTCTTGAGGCGAGTCTCACTCACGAGCTTGTCTATCTCCTCTGCTAGGCCCTTTGGATCCAGGGCACCTCCATTGACGATTACTTTGATCTTTTTCTCATTGATGACGTCCAGCGACATTCTTATCCCTTCATAAGCCGTATTGACCCATGCATGGGGCGCGTTTTTCAGGGTGCTCTCGGCCAAGTTTGCCTCTGAACTTCCGTCTCAGCATCTTGGGCTCTGGAAGCCAGTGATCAACTTACCGGCTAGATAGTCGCCCGTTATTACATCTACCTGTCCATACTTGGCCTGGTTGTACATGTGAACCCCAGGGTCGGCTGTTGGAGAGACGGTTAGCACTATGTACGTTCATCGATACTAATCGTCATAGCCTGAGACTTACTGAGGGCGCCGGAGCAGTTGGCGATGCGAATTGGCCGTGGCATTTTACTCTCTGGTTCTTTCTGGCTAATTTGGTGAATTATCCCGTGTAATGGATATATAATCGCTTGCTAGAGGCCAACGAATGACCACGATACGAATATATATCCCCACTGCTCAGATCGTGCTCGATCATTGGGGATGATGGATCAACCGAGGCAGACCACATTTACCCCAGGATTTGGAATGCTACGCTACACATGCCGTCACCACCCTCTCCTCATTCCTTGCAGGCTGGTAGGATATTGATTGCCGAGAATTCACATGGCAGACCTGAGGTGAAATCTACAGCCATCGATGGAACAGGGCCTCTGTCGGTTTACACACTGTCATTAGAGTCATATGGAATCATTACATACAAATCCCGCGCATCCATCCATTCCACGACCATTTTCAAGTACTCACACACTACCTAAGGTAACATAATTACGCCGAAGGGGTCCTGCTGTCAAGACTCCGCTTCTTCTCCATATCCTCACTCGCCGCCACTGCGCCCTGCGCCCTTCTCTTCCTCAGCAGCACAAACGCAATTGCACCGACAATGGCCACGACGCCGAGCGTGACCATGGCGCCAATCACACCAGCCACAGCGTTGGACATGCCGCCCTTGGAGCCGCCGTTGGTCTGGACCGTGGCATCGTCGTCGCTCGTCTTGTACGCGGCGCAGAACTGCTCCTGCGAGGAGCAGGTGTTGCACCACGTCTTGACGTCCGAGATGGCTCGCTTGTCCATCTCGGTGCGGAACTGCATGTAGGGGAGCGCCTCCTCCTTCTGCCCGAAGAGAGGGTAGGCAGTTAGGGCGCCCGCGGTGCCGTTTCGCAGCATCCACCTGACCTTGAGGTCCGCGACGTTGTCGGGGAACTTGTCCGTCGTGGCGTCGGTGAAGAGCTCAAAGACCATGGTGGACGCGTAGTCGGGCAGACCCTCAAAGTCGGTCGACAGCGAGGTCAGCCCCGTGATGCCGAAGAACGATAGGAAGGTGTCGTAGCTCCCCGCGAAGAGCGAGAACTTGAGCTTCCCCTTGGTGGCGACGGTCTGGTTGAGCTGGGCGAGGACACCGCCGGCGAGGGTCTGGGCGCCGATGGACCGCGCGGGCTGGGATTCGTTGTAGTTGGTCCCGAACTCTGCCGAGTCGGCGAGGGTGCGCAGCTGGAACATGTCGGCGTCGGAGATGTTGCGCGCCGCCGAGGACGAGTTGTGGATGCGGGCCGTGTTGGCCAGGTCGAAGATGTCGTAGGCGTTCTTGTACGTCATGTTGTCGGGCTTGAGGTCGGCTACCCCGGGGGACAGGGCGTCGTAGAAGCCGGCGTAGAAGTCCTTGGTGGCAGTTGAGCGCGCCTTGAAGTCGGCGCTGTCCTTGAACGACTTGGAGGCGTTGGTGTAGGACGGGCAGCCCACGCCGCCCTTGATCCAGATGGTGTCGGGCGACTCGGCGCCGATGCTGGTGAGGAGCACGTACTGGTAGCCCTCGAGGGGCGCGGTGCTGTCGCTGCCGTTGTTGAGCTTGCTGATGGAGAGCTCCTGGTTGATGTCGGCCAGGGGAGGGTACAGGCCCTGGAGGAAGGCCGTGGCCGTGTTGGAGAGGATGCCGCTGGTGGGAGCACTGGCGAAGATCTGCGAGGGCTTGTATTCATCAGGCGAGATGCCCAGGATCTGATGGGCAGATCCGGCCTCCAGGTAGCGAGCACGATAGTCGCTGCCGACCTGGAAGTTTTGTGAAGCACCGAGGGACGTCAGTCCGTACCCAGAGTAGTGCTTGGAAGTACCTAGAGGCCATCAGTTAGCCACTGATTGATTACTTTGACAGATGTGTGAGGTTGCTTACGGTCACCATGACGGGAGAAGACGACCACGCCGTGAACAGTCTCAGCGACAGCCTGCCCGGCGGCCAGGCCGAGGGCGAGGAGAGTAGAGTGATGCATGATATGATTATACGGGTGGATTATTAGTATCGTATAACTGCACAGGTGGTTATTGAGCTCCTCTCGAGGAAGATTGAGGAGAGAAGATCAGATCAGATAACTGCTCGGAAGAGGAAGGGGACAGGGAATAAATAGTGTGGCCACTGAAGCTGCAGACGGCCCGAACAGAGCTCTCTATCTATGGAGCTATCCGAATGGGATACCAAGTGGGGAGAGAGCTGCAGATGTGGTGGATGGATGGGCGGATGCCAAGGTTGGTCGAACTTTTGTCGGATCATGGGCCATCACACGAGGAATATTTTACGCTTTTATGCAACCTTGAATCTTAGCCGGACGCCCTTGGAGCGATGGCCTGGTCTCCGGCCAAGGACACGCCAAAGACACGACTCTTTGAATGCATCTCCTCGCCGTCAGACTGTTGATTCCATCACAACTGTCACTTCCCGCGAACCCTGCTTCTGAGGCCTTTGCAGCATGCGAGGATGCGGGGACGTGCTGCGATGATAAGCCGATGTCATGCAGCCTTCTTGCTTTGGTGTGGCACCGGTGAGGGGAAAACAGGCACTCGACTTGCAGGCTGGGGCAGAATTACAGGGAGATGAATCGGGAAAGACAATTCATCGCGTGTGATGGATGGATGAAGCGGCTGATTGTTGGATGGTTCGGCGATGGGTGGAGACTGGCGAGCTTCGGCGCCCGCCACATGCCATCTTCGTTCGTCGACGAGGCAATAGTCGAGCCGCGGCGTGGTGTCTGTTATCTCCATTACACATGGAATCGAGGGCTCTGACCAAACAGACGAGATATTGATCCCATATCTCAGATATCCTGGATGTTCTGAAGATAAGGCCTGGTGGTTTGCACTGCATCTCCGCGGAGGCGGCAAGGACGGGTCGGCATCGGCGACAGCCGCCTGAAAAGGCCTGAAGAGGAACCCCCCGGTCCCCGGAAATACTGAATCAGCCGCTAAAAGTTAGCACATCAGGTTGTGGGCCACTAGCTCCCTGGCCACTAGGCGATAGCTCCGAGGCTATCATGACCCTGATGCTCTCTTACTACGACCAATCAACTTTTACCTTGGGCCGATAGCTTTTTTCATCTTTATTGAAGGAAAGATAAGACTGAAGAAGTGGGAAAGATCTTGTTTTGAACAGTATCGGCCACAGGTGAGCTCGATAACCACGAGCATGCCCGCTGATTAGGGAAGCGAGAAATTAGCAGCTGATATCGGCGACGAGGCAATTGACTCTCTCTAGCAATCCCACATACGTCACGTCCAGTGGCATTTTACCGACAGACAATTGTGGAACCGGGAATATCTCTTTAATTGCATTTTGCTTTGCTCGAAGTACCCCAAAGATCACACTTGTAATCAGAAGCATAACATGCTGAACGTGATGTGATGTAGGGTAGCTTGCTTCTTGGCCACAAGTCTGGGTCGTGGAAAGACAAGTTCCCAACCCATCTCCCTCACACTCGTTACCTTCTCCTAATTTGATCATGCTACGCTACCTTAGGTCTGGTTACCTGATATTTGCTATAGCACCTCTAAATCCCGTCATCTTTTGCGTACCCAATGTGCTTGATGCTAAACCACTAGATCACCCCCCGTCTTGGACAAATCATAATGGCATCTCGATATAATTCCAGTGACCTTGAACAGAGCTCTGGTACACACTTTTGAAACTAGGCCCCCAGAGAGGAATCGTTTTGGTGACGGCATTGTATCCTGCATTATCACGTCAGTCACTACCCTCTCTCACACACTTTAGGCGCGAAAATGATGGGCATATCTTGACTCAAGCTCAATAGCTGGTTTATACGTAGGGTATCTTCGAAATTCCACCAATTAGATGGCGTGTAATTGAAAGGATAGGAGAGGAACGGATGAGATATAGGCCTGGATCTTGAGACTAGGGAAACCTTCCGCTCGTCCTAGCGTTGTTGAGTTGATGACTTGATGATGGGCGATGAGATGCGCTGGTAGAGGGAACGTCGGGGGCGAATCGTTTCCTACTCTCGTATTCAACACACTCTACTTAAGACTGTACATGTCTCTTTAAGAACATACATTTGCCATATCTGTGTTAGGCCTCGATATCAAGTAGATTAGGAAATCCTATACAGTCCTTTCGGTAGTTTTCTCGGCTACGTTAAACAGGCAACTGAGTTTTACTTGAACTCAACTATATGCAATCTCTTTTGAAGGTAGATAGTAGGGCAATAAGCCTCCATCTCTACTGAATGGTGTTTGAAATCAAATTGTCATGTTGATATTATTTATCTGCAGTGAAACTCTCAACCGAGATCATCATGTGTTACCATGGTTCTTTAACCATCTCATAGGAATTTGCTCACTATCCATTCCAATATTTTTAACAGTCACCCAGTTCGTCCTTTCTGGCCAAGTGACTCTTTCCCGTCTTGGCAACAAGGGACCTCATGCCTCATGGCTCGAAGTGAGGCTTATGTCCGTAGCCCCACACCGTGTTTCCCAGTAGCAATTCCCCCTCAAGTTTTTCAGAGGCGTCGACTTTTGGAAATGAGTCACCATCCAATGCCTTTAATCTACATGTAGTTTGGCCACGCATTTCTCTTCTTATCAACACGCAAAAGAGTATCCTCGAAGCCAAAAGTATAGCTACAAGGTTTTCAATATGGGGAAGAAGAAAAGAAACAAGAGCAGTCGCGTAGAAAAGCCGACACCGCCCGTCGTGTGTGTCGCAACATCACCCTCACTCTCTGCACAGCCCTCACCCGCACAGGAAGCCGTCTTTGCCACCCGAGAGCTCTTCGACGATATTCTGCTCAGACTACCGATCGAGCTGATACTCACGGCTGCTCAGCGCGTCAGCAAAACATGGCAGTGCCGGATCGAGAGCTCGCGCCCGCTCCAGCGCCACCTCTTCCTCCTGCCGGATACCAGCAAGACGCTCAAGGAGACGGGAGGCGACTGCACTATGAACCCTCTGCTCTACAAGCACTTCGGTCCCATGCTTGGCCGGACAGAGGTGCAGGGCGGCGGCACAAGCTCTGCTGATTCCCAGCCTCGCGTCAGTCGCCATGGGACGGGCTACACGACCATCAAGGCGATGCAGGATATGCACCTGAGCATAGCGGACATGAGCGGCGGCCGGGCTCGGCACAAGCGCTTCGCCTGTGCCGGTGCCACCTGGCGTAGGATGCTCGTCTCGCAGCCGCCGCCGCGAAGCGTGGGATACGTAGAGTATGCGGAGAATGGACAGTCTCAGCGGTACGGGGATGCGCCGTTGGATGTCGTGACAATCCCCGACGGCCTCCGGATGGGAGTGTTATGGGATACGATCTACCGCACGCTCTGGAGCCCTTACGGGAAGGACGTAGAACGGCGGCTGGCGTTTGTGTCATGGCGCATCCCCCGGGACCTGGACAGTGGAGAAGAGAATACAGATATGTGGACATCAGGAGCACTGCCGGTACGGCTCAGGTCGCGGAATGTCGAGGTTGAGATGATAGTCGGGCATGGAGAGGCGATTGTGGACGAGCAGCAATGCCACCTGTATCACAACCACTCGATCAAGGGTGGGAAGTACAAGTGCCGGGACGAGTATCATCGATTTGTTCATGGGAGGACGCGGGCGAGCACATCTTGGGTGTTTCGGAGCGAGGATTACAATGAGGAGCGAACACTAGCGAAGATAGATGTGGATTGTAAACGGGAGAGATATTAATCATCATTCACTTCGCATAGACCCAGATACACATCTTTCGTGAGGTTCGATTTCTTCTCCCTTTCTGACTTGGTGTTTAGTTAGACTGAGGTTTTCTAAACTTGTCATCACTCTCATGCAGAAACTCAACGAACACGTCACTCAATTGCATGCCATGCAAATTCCATATGCTTCTGGTATTATTATACAACCACAGGCATCAAGCTTATTGATCAGACTAGAAAAGAAGCTTATTGTTCGCGCGGCTTGCGTGATCTACCCCTCAACCTTAATTGAAGCCGAACCACATTTGTCATCAAAATCAAAGCATGCATCAGCATCGGCTTCGGCTTCGGCTTGAATCCCTCCTCTCATTGAGACAATCAAGACGACTTTTGACTGCAAATGTGCAATATTGATTGGGGGACATATTCGGCATGAATCTCATTCATATTATAAATCAGAAATCAGGTCATTTGGGAGTGGGCGCAGTTTCGTATGGTAGGAACTATAAAGAGTCTTGCTGAGGATTCAGATATGATGGTAGCAAAAGGAGAGTGAAAGGAACACAAAAAATCCGAGTTTTGCATCCTTAACCCTACAAAGAAATTGACTTGTGAGATACAATGACGATTAACAAAACGCTTGTGTATAAGAAAATCCCACAAGCTTCCCTTGTCGCCGGGGAACACATCGTCGTGGAGGATCTCGAGATCGACCTCGACACCGTTCCCAAGAATGGACTGATTGTTGAGATTCTCTACGTTTCTCTTGACCCATACTTGCGAATTATGATGCGGGATCCCAAGATCAAATACAACATAGACCCTTTCCCGGTAGGCTCTGCCGTCATCGAGACGGCCGTGGTGAAGATCTTGAAGAGCGATGCCGATGGTTTCGTAGCAGGCGAGACGATTCTCGCCAACGTCCCTATTGCTCAGTACGCCCGCATTGAAAGCCTCAAAGACGCCGAGTTGCAAAGGATTGATAACCCGCACGGGCTTCCTCTTGCACACTTCCTTGGTGCGCTCGGCATGCCTGGCTTAACAGCCTACTCGGGGCTGTACGAGGTGGGCAAGCCGAAAGCTGGCGAGACCATCTTTATCAGCTCGGCGGCGGGAGCGGTAGGCCAGGTCGTCGGCCAGATTGCCAAGCGCGAGGGTCTGACGGTGATCGGGTCCGTCGGATCGGACGAGAAGCTTAAATTCATCACCGAGGAGCTGGGCTTCGATGCAGGGTTCAACTACAAGAAAGAGAGCCCGCACGATGCTATCCCGAGATTGGCACCGGATGGTCTTGATATTTACTATGAGAATGTGGGTGGAGATCACCTCGAGGCTTCTCTGGTTAATATGAAGAGACATGGAAGAATCGTTGTCTGCGGCATGGTATGTGAAACGAAGCAACGTGCAATGCGCTTCTAGTTTTTCGTGTCTATTTCAAGGCAAAGCAGCTAACAAGTTGTAGATTACCACATACGGAATCCCTCCATTAGAACAAAAGCCCATTCGAGGTCTGGGCCAGCTGGACGCGTGCCAAATCAAAATGCAAGGCTTTCTGGTTTGGGACGCTGAATATGGGCCAGCATATCACCAGGAGCATCAGAAGAGAGTTCAGGGCTGGATTCACGAGGGTTCTTTTCAAGCAAAGCTGGACGTAACAGAGGGTATAGAGAATGCTGCAACTAGTCTGGTAGGAATGTTGGAGGGGAAAAACTTTGGGAAACCCGTCCTCAAGGTGAAATGAATCAAAATCGGTTTGGGTTGGAGTTGAGCCCTGTTCTGCACAATACTTGGTTGGCGTCTCGAGGAATTCTTAGATTGCATTAGAGAAAGCCCCATCACGGTAGCTACTGTTACTATTATCAAGCACTGTCTGCTTGAATCTGACCACACGTTGTCGCTTTAATGGCATGACAAAGCACAGTATGCAAGTAAGCACACCGAGACACGTACTGACACGTCAACACTTCGGCTGAAAATAAAATCAATCATTAAAAACCCCTCTCGAACATCCTGCAAACATACTTAAGCCATCCACAGTCTTCTCTCCTTAAACGCACTCTCAGGATTAATTTTACCGCGGCGCAGTACATGTAACAATGGAAGATCAAGCCTTACCACAACATAGCGAGGAAGTTGATTTTCTATTTGTGCCAATATCGAATCATCTTATGCAGCTTTGTGAGAATCATTTCGGAAAACAATTGGGCTTCGCCAACATCACAGATTTGGATGCCGTAATTCAGCGGTTTCAAGATGTCCTTGATCTCGAGGGTAATGATTTTGCGCGAGCCATGGACTTCTGCAACCTGGGTTGTGGCTACGTCAATCGATTTAAAATATCGGATGAGATGGCTGATCTCGAAAAAAGCATCGAGAACTATCAAGCGGCAGTAAAAATGACACCGCCAGAGGCCTCATCACGAATACCCAACGTGACTAATCTAGCAATGGCTATCTACATGAGGGCTTGGGTTGTCGACCGAGCTGCTATGATGTCACGGGATGCGACTTTTGTAGACGATGCTGTCCAACTACTCGAGGACCTCTTGGCACAAAACGGATCTCAGTATCAGTTACCGTTCCATCTGAGAGCAATCTTGGCCGACTTGTACAGAATGAGATGGGAGCAGAGACCGCAAGAAAATATCAACGATTTGAGCAATTCCATACAAAACTTTGAGCAATTATGGGATCTGATACCAAATGTCGACTCTTACCGTTGGAACCTTCTTGCCAGTCTGGGAAGAATCTATCTTAGACGTTCCGAGGATTCTGGCAATATAGGTGATGTGGACATGTCTATAAAGTTACTCCAGGAATCAGAACAGATCTCTACAAAAGAAGATACCAGCGACTTGGAGAGAGTAGATATCCTCCATGAGCTAGGGAGAGCTTTTGGGAGAAGATTCATGCGGTTGGGAGGATTAGGAGATGCCGAGTCATCTATTCATTTCAAACAAGCGGCGTTGAACAATCTTCCAGGGGACTCATCGCCCCTCGAGCGGTTTCACATACTATCGTCGCTAGCTTGGGGTTATTATGATAGGTACCGAGTGCTTGAATCTATAGAAGATCTTGACATCTCGATCCGAGTGAACAAAAGGGCTCTGCAGCTCGTGCCAGAACGAGACGACCTCCAACTTGAGATTAATCGAAACCTGGGAGACAAGTATATTTCGAGGTTTGAGCGAACCGGAGATCTGGCAGACATTGAACAATCTATATCGACATTTCGAAAAGTCTTGGAATTAGATTCAAACAACGAAGAAACCATCATCACAGTATCGCAGAGGCTAGGAGATTCCTTGAGGAAGAAATATGAAACATCAAACGGATGCAACGATAGTTTTGAAGAAGCTATCCAAAGACTCAAGAATGCAATATCTCTCAGCAAAGATTGGGACAAAAGGCACCGGGCAATGCTTTTCAAGACTTTGGCAAATCTATACACGGCCAGGTACACAAAGACCGAAACATGGGAAGATCTCGAAACGGCTATTAGCTACGGTCAGACCTCCGTGGATGTTCTCCCCAAAGGACACCCAACGCTACCGGAGTGCCTATTCTCCCTCAGCTTGAATTACATGAAGAAGGCACACAGAACGAAACTGGAAGCTGACCATGAAATTGCTATACAAACAAGTCAAAAAGCCGTGGATTTGACGCCAAACGACCATCAAGAAAAATGTTATAGGCTGCTGAGCCTTGGGCATGAGTACAAGCTGCGTTTCATGAGACAATTTCATATCCTGCAAGAGGTGTCAGATATGGAGCTTGCGATCGAAATATACGACCAAGCATTCAGGCACCCTCATGCTTCCATTCGGCACCGAATACAAGCAGGAAGGGCGTACGCTGGCTCTCTCCTAATGGTAAAAGGTTTCATGGAAATACACCACGGTATTGATGCTGCCGCCCATGATGGAATAAAGGAAAGGACCTCCGGCAAATTGTTAACGAAAATATGGGATACCACTGTTGCCTACCAGATTGCAGCCGAAACACTCTCTCTATTGTCCCAGCTAACTCCATTGTCATTGGAGGTCTCGGATAAGCAAGTGCTGCTGAGGGAAATTTCCAGACTACCAGCCCTTATTGGAGTGACCTCATTGACTGCAAACAAGAGTCCATCTGAAGCAATTCAATATATTGAACTGGCCAGAGGCATCATAGTCGGCTCTTTGAGTAATCTACGTGTTGGTATTCTTGATCTCGAGACATTGCATCCTGAATTATCACAAGAATTCACCGAACTTCGTGATCAGTTGGATGCCGGCCCTGTGTCAATCAACGGAGTTACAAACCCGCGCCATGAGGCTAGCCAGAAGCTGAAAGATACAATCAGCAGCATCCGGTGCCTGCCTGGTTTTGGCAAGTTCTTGTTGCCCTTAGACGAGGAGGAATTGATAGAGGCTTCAGCTCGCGGACCAGTCGTCATTATCAACATGTATTTCACTCGATCAGATGCACTGATAATTCAAAATGGAGAGACACGGTCTATAGACCTACCAGAATTATACGAGTATGAAGTCATTGAGTATTCAGCGAGGCCTGAAATCGACCGTGATACACTGGAATGGCTATGGGATACTGCCGCTGGTCCAATACTCGACTCGCTGGGCTATCTTGGGGCGCCTACTAACAATTCCTGGCCTCGCGTGTTCTGGATCCCAACTGGTGCCTTGTCATTCTTTCCCATCCATGCAGCAGGATACCACTATACCGGCTCAACGAGAACCGTGATAGACCGCGTGATCTCAACCTACAGCTCTTCCGTTAGAGCTCTTATCAACGGCCGGCGTGCTAGTTGGGCATCCGCACCACAGCAACCTAGGAAAGCTGTTCTAGTTGGAGTGCAGGAGCTCTACCACGCCCCAGAAGAGATAAAAAAGCTTGAGAAGTTGTGTGACGAAATGCATCTGGATGTGATAAAGCCAAAGCCTTACCGAGAGCAAGTTCTCGCTTTGCTAGCTGAGTGTGAAGTCTTCCACTTCGCGGGTCACGGGAACACGCACCCCCTCGACCCCTCGAGGAGCTCACTTGCCATGAAGGACGCGCCACTGGCGGTCAAGGACCTCTTCAACATCAAACTTCATGAAAGGGCCCCGTTTCTCGCCTATCTCTCGGCATGCAGCACTGGCCGCAATGAGGATCAGGAGCTCCAAGACGAGGGTCTTCACTTGATCGGTGCGTGCCAGCTAGCTGGTTTTAGGAATGTTATCGGGACTTTGCGAAAAGTGAATGATGGGATTTGTGTCACGGTAGCGGAGATGACTTATAGATGGATTAGAGATTTTGGTTCGACTGACCAGTCTGTTGCCGAGGGGCTCCACCATGCCACAAGATTTCTGCGTGACCAGTGGATGGCTGGTGATAACACTGATGAGTCTTCACGCAGGAATGGGAAATCGAAAGGACAGGTGAAAGACAAGCAGAGTCGGCTGCTGAGATCGATAGACAGGACTGAAAGATTGGAGAGGGGAAGAGACATGGTGAGATGTGATGAAGAACCACTATACTGGGCCCCATTCGTTTACTTTGGCAGTTGAACTGGCTCGGATCGAGTATGGTTTATATGAGCAGATGCTCGCTTTTCCTACATTGTTTTTGTCTATAAACAGGACAGCAATGTGGTGTGTATAACAACATACCACAGAGCGGGATTTGGATCGGATTCTGGGGTGGCAACCGGTAGTATAAGACATTGGAGATAGAATGTGACATAGTCTTGCGTGATGCTAAGTCTAATGATTGATATTGCTCGATGATTGAGTGGCCAGGGAGATGCTTCCAAGGATCGTGGCCGAGGATTGGCCTGTTAGCGAGCCATGTTGATTAGGTAATTTTGAGCGGGAATATTAGATTCACGCTTGGCCGACTTTTCCCTGGCATTAAATCTTTCTCTTGGCTATGATCAAGAGGCGGTGGCCAGGTCTTGTGCACTCAATTGCTAGAGAGTCAGGCCGAAATGCTGGTGTGGTCGTGATCCGCGCTGGTGATCGTGACTACATATACCTACATACCTTACTATAGCTTTATGAACAGCCGCCAATACGCCCATGAAGTGGCGTGCGACTCCCAGCGCCGTGCTTCTGCATGCTGCTCTCATACTACTGTTGCCATGGTACTGCCTGGCACACCTCGCACAGCCTCTTCACTTCCCGACATCTTTTGGACAGCCTCTTCAATGCCTTGCTAAACAAGACCATCTTCAATCTGTTGCTGGATCGTTAATCTCAAGCCCTTTTGACATACCCGCCTATCAGAGAATACGGATCGCAACGGGGGCAGACGTTGATGGCCTCATGCCACTTCTACGGGCCTATATCCAGGAGCCCTCTCTTGCAGCGACGGTCACTGAGATAATTCTTGATATTGATCGTTGGGATGCGAAGACTTATACTCCTTCGACGCCCGACCAGCTCACTAAGCAAGGGGTAGAATTGTTCTCTCCAATATTCGACCGTGGTTACAGTGCCATTGAGGACCATATACACAACTTGGAACTTGGCGATGAACTTACTAGGGATACGCTGTATTGGATTAGATGGAAGATATACGAGCGAACGGGCGCCTGGAAAGGGCCAATCCATCTCCGCGACGAGTACAACTCCCGCTTTGCTGAATCCGCCGCAGTTGTACTATTTTCCATCTGCCATAACATTTCCACACTATACATCGGATACGTGGGCCCTCATGAACGCCCAGTGCGTGAATACCTCATGAAATCCAACTATGGCCTGCTCCCCAAGCCTGGGCTGCAGAAGTTGAGGAATGTTATCGTGATTTCTGGCACCGTGTGCGGTGACATGGATAACACCTATGTAACTATCGATGTGCTGGAATACATCCAGTACTTTCATCGGCTTCCTGCGATTGAGTCCTTCACCATAGATGGCGTGCAGGAATGGGAGCCCGAAAGGACCATCTTCGTGCCTTGGACGAGCAACATGAAGAAAATCCACATTGGACATTCGGCCTTTTTGGCCCAAATGTTTGACACGATACTCTCTATACCCAAGGCACTTGAGGAGCTGGAGATATCCGTGGGCGGGCTTTTCCTCTACCACGGCGACGATGTCTTCTTCCACCCATCGAGAATGGGCAAAGCCCTCGAAGCGCACAAGAAGACGCTTCGGGTGCTGGACTTGGACATTGACTGCGGCTTCCAATTCGTTAACCCTGAACACTGGGAGCGTGATGGCCTGATTGATTACTGGGGATATGACTGGGAGTGGTTCAATTTCCACAAAAGCGTATACGGGGATGAGTATTTCCAAATGGATGCCGACATATCGTCTGGGCCGGTGCAGGTGCTGAAGCCTAAGAGCGACAGGCCCGGTACGACGATAGGGTCTTTCCACGCCTTTTATGCCCTCACGCATCTGAGTATCAGCATTAAAGCAATCCTAGGCTACACGGATCCATGGGAGCCTCCTTACGAGCTCTACCGACTGCCTCCATCTCATCTCATCGATATCCTTCCCCCAAGCCTTGAGTATCTGTGCATCTATGGGTATATTCTGGGGGCGAATCCATATTTTGACTACCAGATCGATGAGTTCATGAAACACAGGGCGAAGCGGCTGCCCAATCTGAAGGAAGTCTGGGGAGTGGATGTGACGGTGCTTGGGGCGAGCGGGACATACTCGGACTGGCCGGATGACGTGTTTTGGGTGAGACCTGTGAATAGACTGGACTGGAGGGAAGTCAGTCTTGGCTAGGTAGCTCAAAGATCACGACTGTGTTTCAGCAAGGCTCTTATAAAGAACCGACGTGGCACAATGATTGGACATATGGCACAGGAGCGTACATAAAAAAACGATTAATTCAATATGAACAACTGCTTCTGGCAATGGGATCATTTTGACCAAAGCGATTATCCATTTGAAGAAATATTCTAGAGGCAGTATACACCCTCTCTGCTTGGTCAATTGCCTGAGGGTTAGAGTAAGCATCGTCAACGAAGCACTGACCCATTGCTACGAGACTCGCACGAATAAACTTTTGGATGATGATTGAGGCCATCGTAGAGTTTGTAATTTCATCGATGAGCGCATCTTATCTTATCACAGGGATCCAGGATCTGTACGATGTGCACATGCATTTCATATGTCATCTCTGTTTCACCAGCGCGGCCCCAAACACACTTGAGACAGGGTCAGCGGGCACGGCGAAGAAACAACAATACAGCCGCTAGAAATCAGCCTACTATTGTTCTTTTATTACAGACCGCCACACTCGATAGTGTATGCAAGCCACGGCTACTACCATGCAGCTTCTTCATCGATTGATTGGGCGAGTGGGTGATTGAATGACGGAGAATGCCAGCATCATCACCATCTCGTATTTCGCCGGACTGTAGTCATGAGCATCGTAGCTCTTGTCATCGTACTCTGAGATTCTCAGACCCGTCGGCCAGACAAGAGTTCCTCTTCCTAAGCCACTGTACCTGGATCCATCCTTCAATCAGGAAGGTAAGCTTGAAAATAGGCACATAAGAATGCTGATCAGTGCAGATCACGTCCAGGCGCTCGTGCCACCCAAAAGGACCATCTCCAGAAAACAGTGGACGCTGTGGATTTGGCCCCCTGAATTGTCCCAATCAACCAGAGACCAAGCTGGCTGAGCTAGACAGGCAGCCAGAGGAGAATCCATGTCTGTTTGGGGCATGTGCCACGGGGAAAGCTGAGACTGCCTGCTATGATTGGGTTGGGCGCAGTTGGAGCTACAGCTTGGTCCCTTCCCGCCTGCCTGTCACAATGAAAACTCCCCTTCATGCAGTGCAGTAAGGAGCGGCACAGGGCTCAGCCTGGCGATCACTTGCTCTCTTGACATAATTCCCGTGCTTGTACCAGGGGGACCGATGTCATCGTCGTACGTAAACGGTAGGCCGGAACAGTGTAGCTGTGAAAAGTGCCGCCGCCATCCGAAACAAACATCGCCTTAAAGCATCATCCCCTCCCCCATCGACCGCTGCCCTTCAGACTCACACTCTCGTCTCCTTTTCGCCTACCAATTGTCAATTGGCTCCTCTCCGACACCACAGGACACACCAATTGCTACCAGTCACAGACAAAATGAGATTTCTCACTGCGGCACTGGGCTTTGCCCTTCCTTTCGCCGCCGCCAAGGTCTCCTACGACGGCTACAAGGCGTTCCGCATCGACGATCAGCTCGACTATGCCGGTGTCCAGAAAGCTCTCTCCGACATCTCCTTCAAATCTCTCAGTGTTGAGAACACCCGCAAGGGCATTGAGATCGCCGTCGCCCCTGAAAGCATCAAAGCTTTTGAGGCCCTTGGTCTGAAGACGCACGTCGTCCATGAGGATCTGGGCGCCGACATCGCTCTGGAGGGCCAGTTCAAGCCGTATCGGGGTATGCATTCGCCCAATCTCCGACCCTGTGTGTCCTAAAGTAGCTAACGCTCGTTAATCTTAGCATCCATCAAGGCTTTCGGCGCCAATTCGTCTGGAGAGCTTCCGGACATCTCGTACTTCAACTCGTACCATGAGCTTGCAGACCACCACCAGTTCCTTGATGACATCAGTGCTTACCTTCCCGACAACTCTGAGACCTTTGTCGCTGGCAAGTCCGTCGAGGGCCGCGACATCAAGGGCATCCACCTCTACGGCAAGGAGGGTGCTGGCAAGAAGCCTGCCATCATCTGGCATGGCAATGTCCATGCTCGCGAGTGGATCACCGGTGTCGTATGTTTCTCTGCTCCCTAAGTCTGGCCGCTTGCTGAAGCGTCACTCTCTAACTGATTGTTGCTCTAAAATTTGCTGACATGCCTCATTTTAGACTGTTGAGTACCTCCTCTACAAGATCGCTGAGGGATACAAGAAGACCGGTGACGAGAGCACCGCTACGACCCTGGACAACTACGACTTTTACATCATCCCTGTTGTCAACCCCGATGGTAAGAATCGATTCCACTACCCTTTCCCTACACTCATTGTCAAAGAATCCCTTCTGACCCTGCGATCGATAAACAGGCTTCGTTTACACCACCGCGGAGGACAGAATGTGGCGCAAGAACCGTCAAGTGCGCCAGGGCAAGACCTGCGTCGGCACCGACATGAACCGCAACTGGCCCAACCAGTGGGACATCCCCGGAGGCTCCTCTCCCGAAGCCTGCTCCGAGACCTATCGCGGCGAGGCTGCAGGCGACACTCCCGAGATCGCCGCCCTCACCAACCACACCCTCAAGGTCGCCGACGCCGCCGGCATCAAGTGGTACGTCGACTGGCACTCGTACAGCCAGCTGATCCTCACGCCTTACGGCTACGACTGCAACACGGACCCTGCCAACCTGGACCGCCAGCTGGAGCTGGCTGGAGGCCTCGCCAAGGCCATCAAGAGCGTCCACGGCGTCGAGTTCGTCTACGGCCCTACCTGCAAGACCATCTACCAGGCTGCGGGTGGTAGCATGGACTGGGTCTACGATATCGCCGAGGCCGAGCTAGCGTGGGGCATTGAGCTCCGCCCCGGCAGCGATGATTCCAACGGATTCGTCCTGCCCCCCGATCAGATCGTGCCCTCTGGCGAGGAGCAGTGGGCTGGTGCGAAGTGGGTGTTTGCCAACTTTTAGATGGCGAGGCTGGCGTGCTCGGGTCGCCGTTTGTTTCTTGTAGCATAGATTCCCATCGAGATAAAATAATTTCGATATTCTCACTATCTTCCACATTATCCATGATTATTTGCGCCTCTGCCACTGTTTCCAACTGGTCTCAGCATTGGAGACTGGGATGGCATTAGCATCGATCTTATCCTGATCCACGTGCGTGAAGTATTGTAGTAGAGAAGGATTGAGTAAGCTAGATGGGACAATTAGACGCATATCACCACCCCTCGTATTCAATACACACATACTCACTTGCGTAACTAATCTTCCACCTTTGAATAGAAGCACGGGCGGAAGTCTCACGAGGCCTTAGAGGCAACAAGAAATATTATCGTGACTATTATGGTATTTAATCACGCACGAGTCTCGCGACTACGAGAAACGCAACTTTCTAACGTGTCACGTCGGGAAAATTATCCAAATCATGACCAGATGCTCGAAGCCTAAGTTGTCAAGGAGCATCTGGTACTGTAGAAAACCTAACAAACATACCTAAGATTTTGTCTGCATCACTCACGAATTGGTTTCCGCTTGTCACACTTGTTCAACCCCGTTCGTAAGTGCTTAGCAGTCTAATGTACCAGTCGCACTTTCCTTTTGCGTTCTTTCCAAGTGATTCAGTCGCCCTCGACTTCTCTGTGCAGACATCATAAAGGTAGAAAGAGCAGTAGTGAATCTGATATACGAACGGCGCATAAATTGGCCATTCATTCTTCCTTAGACATCTCTCTCAACGAACTTCATAATCACAATATCTCTCATTTGATGGACGAGTATCAATCCCGGAGAAGTAATTACAATCTGACTCTTCTCCCCATCTCTGCAAATAACTGAAAAGTACAGAAAAACATTCAAACAACCTCAAATTCTACCGCTTCAAAATGGACTCTTACGCCCAACGCCAAAGCCTTTGCAACGACATCGCCTCCCTCGAGAGCACTATTGGCCGGATGGAGGGAGAGAAGAACGACATTTACTTCCAAATCAGGATGATTGAGGGGCAGATCGACTACTTCAGGCGACATCCCCTTCCCGGGGAGATTGAACGACTCGAGATACACAAGGCGATGCTCAACGGCCGTTTTCTGGAGGTTCAGGGCAAGATAGGGGACAAGCATTCAGAGCTCAGGGTGAGGAGAGCGCAGTTGGCCCAGCTAGACAGAAGCTGAATCACGGATGGAAATTGTGGTCGCGTAGGCATGGTGACAGCTCTACCGATGGGCGTCTAGCAGATTTCGAGTGCTGAAATAAGCTTGGGTTATCACCTGGTTTGGTGGCCGTAGAAAGCTGGCGAACAACTGAGCCTATTACAGCTGAGAATTGAAGATTGGTCCGCTGTCTACTTGTTTTTGTTATCGATGCAAGCATAGATAAGTCCTTGAAGAACTAACCATCTCTCCAATATTTATGGCAATCGGACAATGAACATGAACGGATTAGTCTGATGCACAACACATGGCCTACAAAGCGGTCGTGTAAATGCAGAGATATAGCGAAAGTGAATTGATGTACTCCTATCTCTCTACGAATATATCCCAAAACCTTCGCACGGCGAATGCATCGTTATTATACAACCCACGTACATCCCCTTTAACCGCGACGCTCAGCATAGCGGAGAGTCTTACTACCTTTCTTAGGGGCAGCGGTAGCAGCAGCATTCCCAGGAATAGTGGCCGATGCAGTGGTAGTAGCAGCGGGGACAGATTGCTCAACCGAACCACCGATGGAGACGACCTCCGGACCGGGGATGGAGTAGCTCTTGAATTTACTACCATAGATGTTGACTAGAATTCCCGCATCGTCAGGCTTGTAGAGCTCAGTGGCAGAAACACCCTCGGGAAGCTCAGTTCCAGAACCCTCAACCTTGAGGTTGAAACACTGGGGGTAGTTCTGGGCACCGTTCTTGTTCTGTGCCGAGTGGAGGGCGATGAGCTCGTGACGCAGGACATAGTTGCCGGGCTTGAGGTTCGCGGGGATCTTGATCAACCAACCCATGTTCTTGAGGAGCGTCTTGGTGTACCACTCAGTGGTGCCATCCTCGAGGCCAGCCTCGTCGATCTTGAAGAACTTGAGGTCCTCCTTGTTGACGTCCTCGCAGTTGGCGTCGCCGCAGGAGGCAAGGTAGTCCAAGATGGGACCGAAATGCCTCTCTGGCCAGCGGTCCCACTCGAGAAAGATCTCGGCTTCCGCCTTGACGGTGGCGTGGCCGCCGGCGTTCTCGGCGTCGAGGTGGCAGATGATGTCGGGGGAGGTGTACTTGTCCGGGGCGATGAAGCCGAGCTCCTTCTCCTGCTCGGACCAGGCGACGACGGTGGGAGGGTTCTTCTTGTATGGGTATTGGTTGACGAGGTAGCCGCCATACTCAACGCCGTCGGCAATGAGGGCCTTGACGAAGCCGTGGGCGGAAACGGTTGTGGCTGCCACCAGGGCGACGCCAAGGGTTTTTGTAGAAATCATCTTCAGTTGCAGTTCGTAAGGGGTTGCTTGCAGAATAAGTACGGATGAAGGCGAGAGAGGCAAAAGACAAACTTCAGTCAATGAAGTGGTTGGGTAAAAAAGGAGTGACAAGAGGCTTTGTTGTAAAGAAGGTAGGTAGAGGATAGGAAGAACCTGAGGAGAAGAGAAACATCTAAAGAGCGACACTGGGAGTTATATATGTATTCAAAACTTACTTTTCTCAAGAAAGGGACAATGATTTCTTGAGACAACAATGAACAATACTCTCAGCCGGGGCGGCTAGGATGGAAGGTAGGAAAGGGCAATCCCTACCACCCAACCGGGCATGGAGATCGGGTAGCGTTAATCCCCAGAGAATACGCCTCGTTCCGGTCACCGACAGGGATGAAGTGTTTCTGCCATGTGGGCGGCCAAGGATGATAGGATTAAAATGGGATCATGGTGCTGCCAAGGCCAACGCCTTCTCCTCGTCTATCTAGCCCATGATTGGCTCTTTCGCGATGGCCAAGGAGAGGAGGCAACTCGGAAACCGCATTCAACAAAAAGGAGAGAGCGGCTATGTTTGAGTAAATTTTCTTCCACAACGTATAATTCTTGAAATTGTAAGTGTGTGATGACACCAAATCTCTGGTCAAGATACCGGGCAAAGTAAAGTCAAGATTCGGCGTACATGTCCCATATTCAACTCATTGGGGCTCTCTTATCCCTCTCCAAAGGAAGAGTCATCTGCAACTTTGCTTTTTGCATAAAGATTAAGTGGTATGTGGCTGTCCTGCTTGTATCATACAATGCATGGCCAACTCATGGGCCGGAATGTCTGACTTGGCGCCGAGGGGGTTGCACGCGCTATAGGAAGGAATCGAGCTGGATTTCAGATGAAACAGACCCTAGGTAAAGCATCTCAAATCATCATCTATCCAATCATCTGTACATGAATCAGCCAGGCATCAGCGAAGTTTATAAACTTTAATTCGGCTCAGTGGAGTTGGCTCATGAGGCCTCCCCCTGCTCTGCCATATCCCCAGCTGAAGACCCCAGCAGCCAATAACTTTAATCCTTCGTATGAACTTGCTGCATGGCAGGTAATGCGACCTCCTTATAGTGTTGTTTACCCCTTGCAGTAGAAGGAATCTTGAAACGTTGCAGAAATCTGCAGTGTCCTCTGTCTTGAGCAGTAGTGGAACAATACCCTCTCTAACAATGCGGTATATAGCCAACAGAACATCATCCGAAGCTGCATATTAATGCCAATGGGATTCCAAGTACGTAAGACAATCATGGTTTTTAAATTGGAGTTGTGGCCAGGCCGCTCTAGGCCTGCTTGAGGTGCTGCCTTAAGATGGATTGGATTGCCTTGGCAACTCCCATGAAACCCTACGTTTCCCTTACCCAAAGTATTATGGTTCACTTTTTTCAGACAGATTCACGCGCCGGATTCTATGAAAAAGCGACTAATACAAGAGCAAGATCTTTGTGCTTATTGACGAAGCTTGCCCAGTTACATCCAAGAAGCAGATGACTATAGAACAGCCAATAAAGCCTTGACACGAACTGCACGCAGCTGCCTGCGGGTCTTTAGTCAGCTTCGCTTAGATTTTCACTTCCAATGAGGACCTGAACTCAACAGTTTCTCTTTCCTGCCAGGGCCTAGAAATGACTCCATCCGAGTGAACAGCCTAGGCCGATCGCCCATGGCACAACTTGATGCTCTATGATATACTTGAAAACCGAAAAACAGAAAATTTGATCGCCATCAAATAGGTCTGATCATACTCCATGCCATTGTAGCCATGGAGTCTGAATCATTCGCCTACACCGCGCTCCCTCAAACGGGACGCTTCATCCGCCTGCTCAAAATCTATCCTGGCTCGCCCGGCGATAGGTTGATTTGCGAGCTCTTCCCCTGCGACTTGGAAACCAATCCCGCCTACACAGCCCTATCCTACGTCTGGGGCGACCCAACCAAGAGCGCCGAGCTGATCTGCTCAGACCACGCGTGCAAAATCGCTCAACGCCTCTCCGATGGCCTACGCTGCATCCGTAAGGGTGATGAGGCCCAGATCGCCTGGGCTGATGCCATCTGTATCAACCAGGAGGATCAGACTGAAAAGGGCCAGCAGGTCAATTTGATGGGAGCAATCTACGACAAGGCCCGAGATGTCACCGTGTGGCTTGGTCCTGATCCGGCGGGATCGTCAGGGGAGGCCTTTCGGTGCTTAGAGGAGATCAATGAGAAGATAATAACGGGCAAGCATCAAGAGTGGTATGATCCAAATGAAGAGGAGCAGCGACCTAATCCCCTATCGATGGACATGGCGGGCGCGGGGCCTCTTTCTGGGAGAAGGTCGGTTCTCCCCAAAGTCTTGGGGGACCGTGGAAAGGACCGTATCAGGGATTTATTTGCACTGACATGGTTCTCTCGTGTATGGGTTCTTCAGGAGGTAGGCTTGGCGACCACAGCCACAGCCTTTTGGGGTGATTCCAGCATCGACTTTGGACAGATTGCCGTCTTTGTCTACAATGTCTTCACTAACGAGGAACTAAAGTTTTTCCTGGGTCCTGAGTTATCTGCTACACTCTTGGGCTCTCCTTTGTATGCTCTTTGGAACGTTTGGTCTACTTATGAGAAGAAGGACTCATGGATGCAGCGGACACCCACTCTTCGCAGATTCGCCGAGGGGATCATTTCTGGCTGTGATGTCGACTTCACGCTCGTCTTAGAGGCAGCGCAACACTTCAACGCGACCAACAGCCTGGACTACGTGTATGCCTTCCTGGGCCACCCGAAAGCCAAGAAACCAGGCACGGACAAGACGTGGCTTCAGGCGGATTACTCGCTCACTCTGCATGATCAGCATCGGCTTTTAGCTTCTAGTCTAGCAGAAGACTCTTTGAACTTCCTCGCGCATTTACAACAGACGGAGGAAAGTTTGAACATATCAGAATATCCATCATGGGTACCCCAATGGGGCGAGAAGCATCCAGTGCACGCGGAAGCGTTCTGGGAAGCCTGGGATGCCAGTCTCCGAAAGAAAGAGCGTTTCCATTATCCAGCTCAGTCACGCGGCGCAAAGCTCTCAATCTCTGGGCTAATAATCGACACCATCGACCAATCCACGCCAACGATGAAGCCAGACGACTTCGAGCCGATAGACTGGGCAGGCGCCCGGCTCATCGAAGATTGCTGGAAGCTGGCCACGCAGAACCCCTACGCCTATACTCGCGAAAAATTCATTGAGGCTTTTGCGTCGACTTTGATCTGTTACCATCGCCAACCTGGCCATTCTGCTGTTGAGCTGTTCGCCGGGTTCTGCATGCACGCCGACATAAAGTTCTTCAAGAACATGCAGACCGAGGGTGGGCTTTGGAGCTTGAAGATTGTTCTGGAGGGAAGCGAGGTGTTCGGCACGCAATTCAAATGGTACGGGACGAATCGGCGCTTCTTCACGACTAAAAACGAGGGGTTTTGGGGGCTTGGCCCGGCGGCGATGCAGCAGGGGGATGTATGTGCTGTGCTATTTGGTGCCGACGTTCCGTTCATCCTCAGGCCAACCGCGATAAAGGGTGAGTACAAGGTTGTGGGGGAGTGTTATATGTATGGCCTAATGTACGGGGATGCTGTGTTGGCGTGGCGGGAGGGCAATAACAGCTACGCAAAGGAGGACATTGTGCTGGTCTAGTCTGGTCTAAGAGCAGACCATTGATTTAGAAGAAATGAGACCAGGTCATGATAAGAGAAA